TAACAGAAACAATTTCACATTTTAATTACACATTTAATTTATTTTAAGTTGTATTTAGAGAAAATGCAATATATTCTATAAAAACTTAAGATAAAAATTTCATAGAACTATTATATTATTGTTCATATTGAATTACATGCACCAACTTAAGAAACCTTAAAATATTTAGATTATCAGATGAATGCTTGGATAAGAAATCTTGAAGATAGATATCAAGTTATTAATCCTTATTCAAAAGATGATATCCATTATATTATGTTCATGATAATGAAAAAAAAAAAAGTACTCAATGATATAAACTAAATTATTTTATAAATTTTGATTGATTTTCACAGATAATGAGATACAAGGAATCAAATTAAGAGTGTTGTCTGCTACTTGGAGTTGTAAGAAGTATCTCTCTACACTAGTTGCTATAAATTGAAAGAGATTTAGTGGAATATAGTCTAAGAAGTAATACAGCACAATTTTAGATTTAAAATACTGTTTGGAAAAACATTTGATGTAGATTGGCAAAACAATATAGAGAAAACAACATGAGATAGACGAACATATGAACTAAAAGACCTTATTTTATTTTTGAAAGGATTACATAGGAGATATAGGCAATTTGTGAGCACGATGCTATTTTTGCTAGAGTTATGTTCTCATCTTCGATTCCTACCATCAGCAACGATCAGCTCCGAGATCCATTCCCTCTTCATTCGCACGACATTAAGGGAGAAGCCGACGAAGCCCGAGGACTGGAAGTGGCAATTGCATCTCGTTTGGATTTGACCAATCGGCCTCGCGTCGCGTCGTTTACACGTATACATACAGATTTGTACAATATTTTCTATCTGGTCGTTTCTTTCATGGATTTGCGCCATTTTCCAGCGCAATAACTCCAGTTTTCGCGATGAAATGGAGTTATTGCCTGATGCAAATGAGTCCAAACGCCCACTGAAAGGTTTGAATGTGTATAGTGTACTCTTCAGAAACGGCAGAAAGCGAGGGTGATGACGATGCCATGACTCGCAATAATATTCGCCTCATCATTATAATGAATCTTTCTAACTCATGTCGATTCTGCATGACATTCCTGAGATATAACGGCACCACGATGGTGAAGAGTGGACCTCCTACTCTTCACCTGCCGAGACTATACGTGGGAAAAGATTTGGCCTCCAAGATTGTGCGACCTTCTGCTGTCCCCATACGTGAAATTGAGGCTGTGGTGTCAGACCTGGAATGAGTTTATTGCCCCTTCAAACATTGCTCGACCTTGAATCTAAAACCAGATGTAACTAGTCCACACTTCTAGCTCCTGGGGAGCAGCCAATACTGGAGCTGAGTGCGTCAGATGCCAATGATAAATCTGCCTTACATATGAGGTACAGTGAGGAGTTTTAAGCTAGCAGTTCGATGAGAATTAATAAGGTTGTAGCTTGTGCTTTTTTATCATGGAGAGGCAACAATTTTCTTCGACTAGTCCATTCATGTAAAGCCGACGAGATGTCCGATCGTACTGAGAGTAGTTTCCGGTTTATTCGACGACATGCTAGCATACATGACTAGAGATTTTGCGCACAATCCATTCGCAGTCACGTCGATGATCAGAGTGAACCGTTCATTTATCATGCAGGTACCATGGCATAGCGAGCAAACTTGTGAAGAGTATCAGAGAATCCCTGTGGACAAAATATCACGCTCAGACAGAGCCTTGCTCAAGGCCTTAGCAAAGAAAAAGAAGTGTAACCATATGACCTGCAGGTATGGATTGCATTCAAGCAGTTCAACTCGCCGAAAACTCTCTCCGCTTGTAAAGGTATATGTTCTTCAGTTGCATAATAGTTTTGAAATATATCAGGGTATCAAATAAGGTAAGATAATCTACTTGTTGACATAGCATTTACATAAATTTGACTTTAATTGATCGTGAAACAATATGATCCTGGAATGGCCATAGGGCTAGTTGAGATCGTATGAGAAATTAGTTTTGATGGGTCTTCCACCAAAACAAAATTTAGTATTAAGAGAGAATTATATTTTCACCGTCGTTACATTTATTACAAATATAATTGTTGAGCTCCGTCATCAAAGTAAAATCAAGTTGTATGTCATTGGCAGTATACTTCTCATTGATGGTGTTATCGCTATCAAAACTATATTATGCAATACAACACGCGACACATCGATTGTCATGTTTTGATTTCTCATGGGATCGCACGTTGTCTTTGACGATGCTATAGCAAATCATATGATCTTTAATCATATTTTCTAGATCTTTTTTGCCAAGCTCAATATCGGCAGAGTCGATGCCATACTTGTCAAGATGACACTTGGTTTTAGGATTGAGTAGGGCTGCAAAGACATGAATATCGCTCCAAACAAACTTATGCTTGATCAATTTGGCAAATTTTGACTATAATGCAATGAATGCAGGAGTGTAACTCTTCAACTCTTTTTCCATGATGATGATATCCGCCATAACAATCTGACAATATTTTAGCAGATAGAATACACGGTGTAGGATACAGTGAACTCGTCATCAATGCAATGCGTAGTGATTGATAGGAAAGAGATCTTGTTGATGTCATCGGTCTAAATATCAATTGTGCTACCAATCCAAATTACTTTTGCCAGATATAACTTCAAGCCGGTAGTCAATATCTCCTATCCAGTACTAGATTGGGTCTGCATATTTCTACTGATTGTGGTTGGATCAGAAAGTATATTGTCCACAAGCATGCCCACCTTCGAGTTGACGCCAATGTTCAGAACGGTTTGCGTGTAGTATCTGAAACCGCTGCACTTCACAATATGAAATGGACGCATGTCAACGGCGCACATGTCCGCCAACGATACGATGATGAGTTTATTCTTAGATGTAGTTGCATCACGGCGCATTGTTATAGCTGTCATCACTTGGTTGGTCTATGCAAGCGGACATGAATGTTTGGGCATGGCGGTGGTTCAATTGGTTGATTTGTATTGATAAACAATGAGACATATGTTGTAGCAAACAAAAGAATTATCACTATAAGAAAGATGTTTGCCAAGTCTCCTTGATCACAACAATCCAGAACGATGACTCGACATCCGCCGTAGCTTTACGGTTTTTCACTCGATAATAGAGACCGTATGCTCTCTGCAGATCTGCTATGATTTTTGTCTTCAAAGTCAACATATCTTTGGGCGTCATTTCAATTGTCATCATCAATCATGACAAGCGCTGGGAGTGGCGTATGATGAAAACAAGTGCAATCAACACTATGTGTCAGGAAATAGTAGTGATAGCAGTGTGTCAAGAAATCCTTCACTACCAACTTATTTAGTAACCCTAATGATACATTTTAAAACTGAACCCTATGCAAACCATGTTACTAAAAGTCCAACCGGATCCCAACCATACCCATGGATTGGTGCGAGTTTGGTTTGGGTTTTGCGTATGAGTACCCGCTGCAGGTCTAGTTAATAGGGTATATAATTGAAGGCAAAAGGATTGCAATCTTATCACTACTATTAGGATTTATTAATCTACTAGTTCTGTTACATTTTATACAGTATTCACTTATGTTTAAAGAGAATTCAATTGATTCGGTTGGATTTTATAAGCCTAACATATTTTCCCGCTTATTTTAGTTCATATATTTGGGCCTTGCCCTTATTGTACGTTTATTTTTATCTTTAAAACCGTATATGACGTCTTCATTTACGCTATTTCCTGACCCCCTTATCAATAAAAACTACCTTTTTTATTGGGATAGTACCATATCTCAACCTCCAACAACCATTCAAAAGTCTCCTATTCTCAAATCTGGCAACCTGCTATCTCCCCGGATTTGTTTTCGCAAATATGGAAACACGGCCAAATTGAAGTGATAATGCTAGATTACAAATGATCATGAGTTTATGCAAAAGCATGATTTGTAGTATAATAGAATTGCTTTGTGAAAAACATTCACTCTAAGTCTGTTTAAAGAAAGTATACGTAAAAGATGCACTTATTCTTGAAAATGCTTGAGAAAATGATTGGGCATTTGTTGGCAAAATGGAGCCTAACAAACCTTCACAAACATCTTCAGCCTTTATGACGGTCTATAACGCCAGACCTGTTTATTATCTGCATCGGTGTGAAAACGATCAGAATTAGATCGACTTTGTGCTCCTTTCACAAAGTGGAAAGACTACCTTACCTCTACGTAACTTCCTCGAATAGGTACAATGATAATAAAGCAAGACCGCAAGTCACAATAACTAAGCACATAATAATTTGAAACGACTACTTCCCAACTTGTTCAAAATAAATGAACCAGGTAATTGTAAGTAATGGTCGGGGATGTTCAAAATGAATGAACTAGGTAATTGAAAGTAATGGTCGGGGATGATCATAATTTCACTGAATCTGTTTCTGAGATTTCTGTTCTGTCAGCGTTTATGTGCAGCCACCGGCTCCACTTGACTTCTAATTCACAGTGCTAATCCTCTACCTGTCTCGAATCATTCAGTTGAAAGATGATGCGATAGACCGGATGGAATTTATATTGAGTCTTCAAAATCAGGTGTGCAGTGCAGTGTGGACGAGATTCCCGAGCCAGAACATCAAAGATTGTGATCTGATAAAGAAGCAAATTTAAATAGTTGTTACTAATGGGTAATAGCTCGCATTCAGAGATGGTGTGAGATAGATCTTAGGCACCGGCCATATCTTTCTAGATAGACTTGTTTATCAGCTTGCTAATAGATCTTTCATAATCCTCGGAATTGCTGTTGGTGACGTTTACTGTTCTCTAGTCAAAGATTGAAGATTGTGAGGACATTCACTGTTGATGAGCATTTAGTCATCGAAAGAAACTGGAAAACATTGAAAGAATGAGATGCTTGAAGAATGCAGTTGATTGTCGTATTGCATCACTACTCCAAACGATCTGAACAATGAGCAAAGTCGGTAATAGTTCACATTATATCTAGCCAAAGCTGGTCGGTCTTACACATAAAGTGCGTTGCTCTCGACAATGCGGAAAAATGGTCATGACCTCGAAGTATCAAGATTAGAGCAATCTCAATGCTCATCATCATTGATATGATTCATGACTTTCATATATACATTTATACAAAAATATACATAGCTTCCTGAGCATAATAGTCTCGACAAAACTTAGTCTTGATTCGTCAACGACGAATTGAGGTTTAGATGCCTGAAGAAAAGAGCCTGATGTTTACATTGCATAATCAGTCTCGGTAATATTATTAGGGGTCATAGCCCGTACCCCATATTACGACGAATTATCGTCCGTATCACAGGGCAAGGCTGACCAAATTTAGCGTCGCGAATCCTCCTGGCACACATGACCGTGCCTAAAGTCCTCGCCGCAGATATAACAGAAATGCTTGCCGCACCTTATGATTCAGAGTTAAAACGTCAGATATATTATTCAACTAAAGGAGCAGATACCAAAACGACAACAGGGAATATCGGGGAGTTGAACATCTTGGAAGCAATCCATACCTGCAAGTAATGTGGTTACACCCGTACGCTAGCTCCACTACGTGGCCGCAAACACATGTTTGCCACTTCTTTTGCTTTGCCAAGGCCTTGAGCAAGGCTATGTCAGAGCCTGATCTTTCGTCCACAGGGGTTCTCTGATACTCTTCGCAAGTTTGCTCACTATGCCAAGGTACCTGCATGACAAATCAGCAGTTCTCTCTGATCACCGACGTGACTGCGCATGGATTGTGCGTAAAATCTCTAGTCACATATGCTAGCATGTCGTCGAATAAACCGGAGACTACTCTCAACTCGATCGGACATCGCGTCCGCTTTACTTGAGAAATTCGAAGAAAATCAGTGCCCCTCCGCGAGAAAATGCATAAGCAACAACCTTATTCATTCTCATCGACCTGCTAGCTTTAAACCTCTTACTGTACCTGACATGTAAAGCAGAAATATCGATGGCATGTGACGCACTCAGCTCCAGTATTGGCTGCTTGCCAGGAGCTTGAAGGTTCACCTACGTCTGGTTTCAGATTCAGGGCCGAGCAATCTTTGAAGGGGCAATAAACTCGGTCCAACTCTGGCAAGGCAGCCTCAACTTCACGTTGATGGAGGGTGGAAACATCGTCTGGGGAGAGCAGAAGCTCGCATAGTTTGGTAGGCCACATTTCTCCACACATATAGTCTAGGCAGGGAATTTGGAACCTCCCATTCTTCACCGTCGCGGTGCCATGAGATCTCAGACAAGCCGCGCAGAATCTATGTCCGCACTTCGGAGTCACGCGACATGAGTTTGAAAGATTCATTGTAGTGGTTTGGCAAATTTTGCAGGTCCTGTCATCGTCATCGACCTCGCTCCCTGCCTCTTCTGCAGAAGAATGTGCACATTAACATTCATTCTCAACGGGCATTGACTTCATCCATCGAATCTTACATTCAGAAAATCAAGCTAAGCCATGAAACAAACAAACCAGAAATGAAGACTTCTACAAAGCAGAGTGAGTACGTGAAGATGTCGCGACGTCAGTCGCATGGGTCAAATTCATTGATGCCATTATCACTTCCAGTCCCCAGGCTTCGTCAAGTGTTCCCTTGAGGCCGTCCGAATGAAAAGTGAATGGATTCTCCAGGTGATCTTTGCGGGTGTCAGGAATCGATGGTGAGGACAGATGTCTAACAAATTTGGCATCGTGATCACAAATGGCCCTTAGCTCCTCCAGCCTTGCTTGCTCTCTCAGAGCTTCCGCTTCGTCGTCCACCACCTGCTCAGAAAAGATTTTTGATGATGCGTGTCACTAACCGATCATCCAAGACGTTTTGACAAGTCAAAGGAAAGTGTAGAACGTGTTGAGAACAGAACCTGTTGTAGACTCTCCACCTCGAGCTTTTGTTCTAAGAACGCAGTCTTGTGGTCGTCCGGTACGCCGGCTTGGGAAATGAATCCAGTCTCCGATAAAACACCTGCTGACAAAGTTTTCGTACAGAAAGTCAAGACATCGCAAATTTTAAGTAAAATCGAGGGGTGCAGTCACGCTCTTTGGAAGTCAAATCTAATGGCTCTTGAAGCGGTCAGCTAAATTTCTGTGAGTCGGAGGCAAATGTCCGCGAGCATGTCGAATTGCTCGGCGGAGTGGCAGCAAGCTGCTATTGTTTGGACGAGCCCCATGCACGAAGCCACTGACCTGTTGTACAACACTTGTGGACTGAGGCTTTGGAAGTCGACCCAATCCACGTTTCCATGCTGAATCGCAATGCTTCCTCTATTTGCAGTTGAAATGCCAATTCATCGTCGTCCCACTCGTTGGTCCACAGACGCAATTCAGCTGCTTGCAGCTGCATGAAGAACAGATTCTCCTCCACGGTCGTCATCTTGCAGGAGCAGTGTAGACCCTCCAACTGGAGACGAATTTTGGGACCTTCTATAATTCAACAGTCCAAAATTCGTCACTTGCTTCAATTCCACCCACAATTCCCAGTGACTGATCTCCGTAAGCTGTTGAACGAAGCGTACACTAGAACTTGACTCCTATGTTCTCCCGGAGCCGAGCTTCTCTTGTTACGGCTTTACGAAAGAAAAACCTGAAGGTTTCGGGTCGAGCACGTAGTGCCTCTCCCTAAGGTCTAAATACGATTAGTGAAAGGAAATTACCACGTGACTCTTTCTACAACTTCAATCCCTACCCCGTCACATGTATGCATACATATAAGAACTATGTATATATGTTCGTTAATATGATTGTACTTTTCATAGATCACATGTTTTAATTAATGCTTTCCGTTGATTTCGGACACCGTTATGTAGTCTCTTTGAAGTGGTCACAAACTGATGACCACTTCAAAGATATGGAAAGACCACAAAGTTATGACCCACTTCGTGTAGATGCGTGTATTTAAGTGTTTCATGGAAGATCGATCATAACACTAACTGATCACAAATACTTTAAGAATAGAAGGTGCGTGCTAATTTTAAACCCAAAGGAGATATGGATTGAACACCCAACAAAAAGATGATTCACATGTATAAATAACATTTTATTTATATTTTTCTTATGATTTTGAATGTAATCAACAATAATTTGTATAATTGAAAATTTAGTAGCTTCGAAAACTTAACTGTTTGATGTACAAAACTTAAAAAATCAGGATGGAAAAGACGTTAACTTAATTTAAGTCAAACTGATTCAGAAATAAAAATATGATGGACAATAATAAAATCTTTTCACTTGTAGTTAAGTTCCTCTAGAATATAGTTATACAAGTTAAAGTCTTTAAATATATATGTAATAATTGTAAAATATAGTTACACAGGTCATTCGATAGCTGTGTTTCTTCTCATATAGTTTCACATTAATCAAATATACATTGAGACATATGGATGTCTGGATTTTTTATGCTAAAGTTTTACATATGACAAACCGTTGTTTAAGAAAGATGAGATAAGTGAATTTAGTCTGTATATTGATCAAATTTGGAAATGAATCAAACAAAAAATAAATAGTTTGTAAGTGAAGAAAACATTGGGGTATTTATTCAATCTATGTGATGCATTGAAGATAAAGAATGTGATTTTTTTTCATTATAGTATGTGAATGTTCATTTTGGTTACAAATTTTTTTATGAAAACCATTGTAAAACGAAAAATTTCATATAATAAATATGTACTATAATTCAAAATCATATTGGATATTTTTATATATATTTAATATGAGTCTTAAAAAAGATGTGGCAAATTGATATCAAATCCATATAGCTTGTGATTGAGTTATATATTATGGCTAATCCAAAAAAAATCTAGTTTATTCAAACGTAACATATAATGTTGATAACAATTACAAGTATTGATACTGAAAATTGTGAAAAAATATTATCAATTTTTGAGGATAAATACTTGAAAAATCTCACGTATTTAATATTCTGCATAAGATCTAATGTTGATATTTGTATGATTTTGATATGCATATAATTATTAAATCTATACAAGATATATTGGAAAAATGTGAAGTCAATTTCAAGTTGTTCAAAAATCAAAAGAATAATGATTTTTGTTATAGATCTACTCTAATGTCAAATTTTTTTGGAAATTGTCAGTATTAATCAAAGTTAAAAGTGTAGATTTGATTTGTTTACACTTGAATCAAAATAACAATTGTAGAGACTGGAAGAAAATTTGAAATCATGTTAAAATGTTTGACATACATGAGATAAAGTATAGTTGATGTTGCAATGTCAATTTTTCAACTTAAAAAACGGTTTTTTATTCTAACTTCAAAGTTATTAGTAGGTTACTAGCATATATAAAATTAATATTGATATAGTGTCATACATTATTGTCCACAGCAATTTTATCTACTCTTTTGCACTTAGGATCCACTTTTATCTTCCTTTAAGATATTATCTTAATCTTTTATTTCATCACAGAGTTGCCATCCACAACATGTTGACTAGTGTACACTACTAAATTTGTCCCCAAAAGTTTTAAATAATCACTTTGTGATCGTACAAAAAATACACAATATGAAAATTTATCACTTTGTTTACTTGTGAACCTCCAAACATATGAAATTCAAATTGATAGTTGTTTATGTTATCCAGATGCACAACATGATTCTCATGCTACAACAAGATAATACTAGAGTAGAATTTGACATGGAATAGCTCCACATTGCTCGCACTCCAATCCATGTTTTGGTTTATTGAAGCAATTCGAATTATAAAAGCACCTAAAGAAACTAGAATAAATGTGCAAGAAAAATTTGACGAATACTGTATGAAACTTCAAAATTTTGTCAATTAAGTTCAGCTTCTATTCTTCCACACATATACTGAAAAAAAAAACACAAATCGGATTCATTGAATCTACATTCATTCATTGAAACCACATTATCTTGGTATTTATCATTATTGAAAAAGAATTATACATGTTTAGCAAATCTATATCATTTCTTGGAACGATTAAATCTGAACTTGGAGAAAGATATCAAACTCCTATAGCAACAACAAAAATTTGAACACTCCAACAACGATGGTTGCATGTGATTTCAATTGATACAGTACTTAATACATAACCATGTTTTGATGGGACTCCGTAACTATATCAAAATTTTGTTGCAAAACTTGCCCAACCCAAGTACTCTTTGACAGAACATTATTCAAACAATACTCTTCTACAAATAGGCCATCTAGCAACTACAGTTGACACTATTGTATTTTGATCATATGGAGCGGATTTATAGTTCTAGGCCTACAAACATCTTCAAGCGCTCTGACATCGAAGTACATGCAAATTAACACCTTTGAGAATCAAGAAGTTAACGAAAGAAGAGAAAAAAAATTCTCAAAGAACATTTGTGTTTTTATTGTGGAGTCAAGAATCACAATTTGAAACATTGCAATGTGAAATTTTTGTTGGTAATCATAAATTACTTGTTGTAAATTACTATAAATTATCATGTTATAAGAATTCTTTTAAAAACAAGGATGACATGCTCACCATCCAGGAATATGTACACTTCACCTGGAAAGAACATTTATCTATAATAATTTTTTAAAAAAATTACCCTAGATTGGGAAAGAAACTAAGATTCTTTTACACTCTTTCACCGCCCTGAATACAGAGTGTAAGGATGACATGCTCACCATCCAGGAATATGTACACTTCACCTGGAAAGAACATTTATCTATAATAATTTTTTTAAAAAATTACCCTAGATTGGGAAAGAAACTAAGATTCTTTTACACTCTTTCACCGCCCTGAATACAGAGTGTAGTGTCAAGAGAGTGAATAACCGTCATTGAAGAACGGAGGTCATATTAAGAAGATTCATGCATTTAAGTGAGTGATTTTAGCCGTCTTCGCATGTCCGGTGGCTAAAATGACGGCTTCAATATCCAATAAGATTCATTCAAGACAGGAATTTGATTCAATTGCATGAATTTTGACGGCTTGTAGTGTTAGGAAGATTGCGGAGCATTTATTCCTTCTCTCTCGCTTTTACTCTCTATTCTCCACTCCAGAGTGTGTACCCAGAAACCTCTCCGTTTCTAGATGTAGCTCATTGTTCAAATTTCCTAATTTTGGCTTTGGAGATGCCGCAAGGATTTCTGTTGCATATGCCTGCGGTACGGACTATTTGCACGGTCATACAGTATTGGAGGATTTTGGAGGCAAAATCCTCCAATAACTAAATGACCGTGCAAACAGATTTTAGTGCAAATGACCTTGGTCACCGTCCACCTCTGATACGTACCATGATTTTGGCTAGTGAGGTACGGGCTAAGGACCGTGATAATATTCGAAGAGTGCTTGTGAAATGTAACGGAACTCGATTAAATGTTCTGAACATAGACTTCGATACTTAGCAAGCCTTACACATGCGTATATGAAAGTCATGATATGATGATACTGACCTTGCACCTTTCAAAAGCTTTAAGCATGAGCATGGAGTCAGGGACAGTTTGAGTTGCATCGAATTATCAATTCAGCCTAGAGCGGTGATTTCTGATTGATGTTGAGACTCAAGACAAATACTTTCCCTCATGTTTCTCACACTGGATGTTTAAGAATGACAAACTTTGGCTTTGTAGAGTATCTTCGACGGTTCTATCTATATTTTTTCAGCTGATTTTTTTGTAGAAGTCGATCAAAGACATGTTTTTCTCTGTTAAAGAGATGTCAGGTTTCTATAGCTCAGATGACTAACATGACGAGCCTACCATACACGTGGTTCGTAGAAGTGATGCAATGTTACAATCAGCTGCATTATCCGAGCACCCAGTTCTTTCAATATATCCCACTTTCTCTCCATGACTGAATGTTGAATGTTTGTTTGTTGAATGTTCTCCATTGAGTGTTCTCACAATTATTCGTCGAGTGAACAACAGCAAACGTGGTGAACAGGTACTCCGAGCTTAGTGAAAGCTCCAGAAAAAGCCTACATTTCATCATTTTTAGAGGAATTATTCAATTTTACAAGCATAACAGTCTGACTATTGCAATGTCAGAGATTTTGAAAATTTTTACTACTTATAAGCTCAAAACATCAAATTCTTCAAGATATTCGATATAATTTCGTTAACGGAAATTAACATGAAAGTAACGTATACATTCCTTAACTTCATTAATCAATCATATTGACGTTGTGTATGTTTTAATGATAATTCAACATTTTATAATGAGAAATTTTAAATGACAACTGCAAGTGAGTAATTATTTTCTAGCTAGCGCATTGAAGATTTATTGCAGTTAAATATTACTGTAAAAAAAATTACATAAATGATATGGTGTGTATGACGGTTATGGTACAAGATTATCATAAGATATTATAGTAGAAAAAAACGGTTAACACTGCAGACTACAAAGTAGATAAATATGGCTCAAGTTGAATTTTCAATGCAAAAGGTCAAATAATAATCACTTAACATAATGATATTTAAAATCTTATCATTTGAAATAAACTTGAATGCACGTTGTTAAGAACAGCGAAGCCAAATACAAGATTCTAGACATCTCTTATAAAACTCAACGTTTATAGGTTTTCATTTAAAGCAATGTATATACAATTGTGCACAGAGATATTGTGCACTCACTTTCAGTGATAGCCATAGAGATCAATACATAGGGGTTAAAAGTATGCAGTTAAATTAAACCAAGAAAGATATGTCAGCTTGAAAATGACATATTTCCCTGCTATTAGAAGTAAGCACCGTCCTACCCATTTGCTTTCATTCCTTGGCCGAGTTCATGGAGATGTTTATGTAATTGTTGATATTTTGCTGGTTTTTTTTTCATAATAGCAAACGCCACATGTCATGGGCACGCAATATTTAATGAATATTGCTTACGACGAAAGGTTCTAACAGCTAGAACCCTACATGAAGATGTTTATATGGTCACATCTATGTGCGCCATGTGACACTGACCAACCAATGTATACATTAAAAATGATATCAATCTTTTTCTCAAACCTCCAATCTCAAGGCTGATCTGAGAATGACTTGAAATCCTCCCTTGAAGTTCTGTCTCGAGTTGACATTGCCAGAAGCATCTACTTAGGCTTAGCCACGGTCCGGTTAACCGGTTAAGAAAAAAGGTAATACAATTAACCTGTTAACCAGTCCATTTGAGTAGTACTTCCTTTCTCTGCTTGTTTTCTCCTTTTTATAACTTGGTCCCCTTCTGGAATTCATTACATTTAATTAGATCCCACTTCACGTCTATCCATAATCTTTTTCCTTTTAGACCACGGTTTTTCTGTCATAAAATAAGACATGTATCACTTTTTAAATCTTTTCGTCTTTTTTCGTCGATAGTATATTAAGAAGTACAACCATAGCCTCCTCCTTACATGGTTGTGATCCCAAAATCAACTCCACATAAGAAGGTTTCGGTTTCTTCTAATGTGCAATGTGAATCAAAATAGGGCATCGAGTCGTCCTCAATCGATCTGAGCTATCGAAGTTGTGCCATCCATCGCCTGTAGCAAGCTATCATTTGGACGTCTATGAAAACATCATCAGCGCTGTAAATGAGAATTGCACTTTTCTCCTTTTGCCTCCTTTGCAAACTCTCGAGAGGTCCCTCATCTTTCAAAACGAGGAGAGGGGCGTACGTGAATATTAAAGGTATAGCATGTGAGGCCTGCGCTATTTATTATATGGGAGGGCATGTGGCTCGAGTAAAATGCTCTTGCTCAGCAAGAGCAAGAGCAATTTATGGGGAGAAAAAGAAATGGGGACCAGTTAAGCGACCTGTTAACCGGTCCCAGGGAACATTGAGACCGGTTAAACCGGACCGACGATTAACCGCCAGTCCGGACTGGACGGTGGCCAAGCCTACATCTACTGGCCGGTGGCAGTTCCCTCACTTGTCAACTTTCAGATGAAGTGTTGGCTCGACCACCAGAAGAGCGCCACCTGGTTGCAGACTTGGCTCTCTTTTAAGCGAAGATCTTCAAAGTACAAGGCACGGCACGAGGACACAGGCTTTCTTGCACGATCTTGGGACAGTTCTTCAGATGTTAAAACTTGACTCTACTGGTCGGAATCATTTCTAATGGCTACACGTGTCAAGCGAAGAAGGATTTACACTTCATTTATATTCTGACCTCGGTGACTTCGGAGCTACATTGTGTAATCAGTTTACTGTGAAGGGTGTGAAGGTTGGTATTGATCTACACTGTGTATTCAGCTGCTTCACGATCAAAGTTCTGCTCTTGGCTAAAAATATGTGAGTTCATCTCGATCATCTCGGCTATATCATCTCACCGGTGTGAGATGATATAGCCGGTGAGATCACCGGTGAGAATAGACAGCTTCAAGCTGCTGTATTTTGTTGCTGTCACAGTCTTCTCCAGACGTTAAAGTTAAATTTGGGCTCAGATGCAAGAAGCCTCTGCTTGCGCTCCGATTTTGTTGCTGTTCTGATTGCGCTCCGAAGCATCGACCGAGCCCGGTGCCCATCGCCCGTACTGAGCTTCATCATCATTCCTTCCCTCCCTCCCTCCTCCTCCTCGTCTCCTTTTCTTCTCCTCCTCCTTCTCCTCTTTTCTTCCTCGTCGTCGTCGTCCTTGGACCGGCGCGCTCACGACCCTGGGGTCGCTTCTCATCTCTCGTGTCCCTGCCTGCTGCCGCTGCACAGCGCGACGAGATCGGCTCTTGGTATTCGCCCGCTCCTCTCTCCAGCACACGTCGATTTGCATGCCCTTCTCGCAGCCACTCTCGCTCGCTTGTTGCCGTGGATTTGTGGACTCTGGTCCTCGTCTTTTTCTGCGATGAGGTCTGTCCGTTGCTCGAGTCCTTCTGCATTCTTTCTTGATGCGCGTCCGAGGGATCCAAGGGATCCTAGGGACCCGGATTCTGTGAGATCCAGCCCCCCCGGTGTTTCGTATATTGCTGGTGCATCTGTAATTTCATTTCGTGCTGTCTCGGTTGGCGTGAGGACGTGAGGAGGAAGTTCTACCTTGTGCGGAACGAGGCTCCGATCGACTGTTTGCTTCTGCCAACTGTCGACTTCGCTTTTTGTCCAGTTTGTCGCATCGTCGTCTTGCGCTGTGCCCGCCTTCCGCCGTCCATGTGAGAGTACATGCAGACGAGCCCAAGGAAGGAAGGAAAGAGTGCGGGTCGGGTCAGCGTTAGCACTTGAGATTTCCGGCTTACTGCCTACGAGTGGAGACTCGCTGGAGCCTAACCTTCCAGCTCGAGGCAAAGGTCGGATTGTCTCCGGCTGTTCTCAAGACACTCGCTACTCTCGCGAAGGTGTCCGGGTCGGTGTCGTTTCAGCCGACTCGCGGTTCTCTTTTATCTCTGTTAGTTCGTACCGGAGGACTACCGTACTGGATGAGTTGAGGAGTGTGTAGCAGGGTACTTGGCGTAATTTTTTCTAAGAGTGTTGGTGAGTCCTCATTTCTTCTCCCCATCACAGTGCGCAGCTCGTGAGGATGAATGTTCGGACGGACCTTAATCTATTTCAATTCAATGGTTCCAATTCTGTGAAATAGGCCGGAGTCATCCCGGAGTGCCGCAGAAGGAGGTTCTTCGAAACTCCCCCGGACATCGTCAAGCGCAAGCAGCAAAACGCCCAGCGACGCAAGTCACGGTACTACGCAAGAACCTTTCTCGTCTGGATCTTGTTTTTTTTCTTGGATGGGGATGGCTGAGGGAGCGAGAGAGTCTCAGTTAGTCGGACCGCCGGGAGTGGGGAGAATCAACAGGCGGATATAGTTCTTAGACCTGCCACCGACGAATTTTCTCATAATTAACGAAGGCTCTCACGCGATGACTTCTCCTAGCATTCTTTCCATTCTGCCTTCGGTGAAGACTAGGACCACGAGGTGAGCGAGCACGAGGGTCGGTGTCGTTTCAGCCGACTAGTGGTTCTCTTTTACCTCTGTTAGTTCGTTCCGGAGAGACTGGGTGAGTTGAGGAGTGTGTAGCAGGATACTTGGCGTAATTTTTTCTAAGAGTGTTCGTGAGTCCTCCCCCTTTGGGAACAGGTGCAGTGCAGAAGAGTTCAGACCGTCGTGGTGAGTCTTACCCCTCTTGTGTTATGTTGTCGCTGAGAGCTGAAAGAGTACGAGTCTTGGAGGTTTCGGAGTAGTATGATCCGAAAGGAAGGAAGGAAAGAGTGTTGGTCGGGTCAGCCTTAGCACTTGAGATCTCCGGCTTACTGCCTGTGAGTGGAGACTCGCTGGAGCCTTACCTCTTCTCGCTTCATGGGCCCATTGGCCGGCAGGCTGGGCTACACTCTTCCACACTTGGAATATTTTCCAAGTGCTTGTCTACCTGGTTTGTCCTGGCAGTAGTCCAAGGTAGATAGAGTCAGTCCTATTCCGACGTTCAGGCCCCCGGGTGTAAATGCAGAGGGTGGGAGGGGGCACCTTTCTGTGTAGAACGCAAGTGTTCGGTCTTGGGCTTTTCTTCTTCCACACTTGGAATATTTTCCCTTCTTCACCACTGGCGCTTGCATATAAGGGCTGATGGGTCTGACAGTTTGTTACTGTGTTTGCTCCTAAGCGCTTCTTCCTGTACACTTACATGACATCTATCGATTCTGCAATGAGTTCTTAGTTTTCGTTATATCATGAAACGCATGAGGGCAAGATGCTCTCGTGCAAAAGCATGGAGCAACAGTCAGCTCAGATTTCTTCCTGTAGATCATGAAGACTTCTAATCTTGATGCTCTGAAGAAAGTTGATGCTTCGCCTTATCCTCTCTGATGTTAATCCATCGGTATTGATGAGTCGCTATCCGTCGTCTTTCCAGCGAGCAGTTGAAGTCAAAGCAAGAGCTTTGCGAATGGCCTCAGAGCTTGGGCATAACTCCTCGGCCGTTGGAGCTAACTTGCCCCCTTCTCCAGCTGCAAATCAGACCAGATCTCCGCAAAGAAATTCTGGAATTCAACGAAATTATTCTTCACTGGCGAGGACTAGGTCTTGGAGTGGTGGATGCATGTCCGGTGGACTGCAAAGAAATTCATTACGTTTCATTGATATTGAGATGACCAGACATACCGTGAGAAAGAGGTTTGATCAGGTGAAAGAATACACAAAAATTCAATCAGCAGCTGGGGTGCAAAATCAGGGACATGGTAACTGAATTAAATATTTCCCCTTTGATTTGTGGAGGTTTAAAGTAGGGTAGTTCCATATGAGCGTGCGCAATTTAGTTGGACCTGCAACGCAATTTGTTTTACAATATCGAACTTCTCCAATCAATCCATGCATTTGTTATCTCCAGATTTTTTATTGTCTTGAATACCTCGCCGTTTGTGTTACTCTCATGCAATGTGTTGTGGAGAATATTTAACGCAGATGTATGCATGACAACCAAGCTTTGTGAAAGAAAGCAAACTTGGAGTTTAATTGAAGCAGACACTGTTACAGGTTGCTTCTTTGTTACATTTTGGGAGGGAGAAGCTGTATGATTGACTTAATCTCATTTTTTATAGACAAAAAATTGTAGCAATAGTTGTTTTCAATCCAGCAGTGCTTTTTAAAAGACACTTCCTTTCATTAGTTTACAACTTACGTTGTGTGTTATGAAATATGCAACGAGTTTTTGATAATTTGAGTTTGTGAATATGTATGACATGGGATAGAGACAAGTATATTAAGATCGTTTCCCGTGATTCTTCCTATCAAAATTTACGGTCAGATATACCTGTCGGTCTGAACATTCTTTTCACATACAGGAGGGAAGATAATTATGTAAAGCCTTTTGACATGTAATAAGTGAACGTCATTTTCAGAATACAAGGTGACAAGGGAAAGTACAAAATTTGATCATTATTTTTTCATTTGAATTTATGCTCCCTCTTCTAGCACGTTTGTGTACACCAAATTTTACATCATATTTGTTATAAACATGACTAAGATGGATCGTGATTAGTTCGATAAAAAGATAATTTTTTAGCTATTGATATTTTACCTCTCTACTGAAAACCATATGTTTTCCGTTCTGAGGGATAAATTTTAAGAAGAAATTCAGTGTTTTAAAGTATGATTAGCTTCAGTTTATCAAACTTAGGTTAAAGATGAAACACGTAGTCCAGCTTATATGAAATGAATCAAGGAGTAATAGATTCAATTCTCGGCTACATGGTTGGATGGTTACTTGCAAAACTCAATTATATGTATGTATCAAAGAAGCATCAGTTGGTAATTAATACAGCATATTCATTTGTCACTATTTGTCATCAAGATGCAGTGTTCCAACCCTTATAGGTGGTTCCAAGAGGATAGATCCATTATTATAGAAAAAGCCTTGCTTTGACCATAAAATATTGTCCAAAGATATATTTATAAGAAATTTTTTTTACTTGTTACCAAAATCAATCCAGTTTTCTATTAAAATGATTTAATATATTTTTATTGCATAATTTTCTTTGGTGTATCCAATGAAATATCAAGTTCATGGAAATTTCATACGCTAAATGAAGATGATGAGAATTTTGTTTTTTTAAGTATGATATATTTCGTTAAAAATCGTAACATGATAGGTTGGAGACAAAATCGGAATAATTTTTAGGAAGATAGATATATTCCAAAATTGTTTCATATTTTTTACAGATTTTTTTTAGTTTTTAGTTTAAATATAAGTATATAACATTCAAAACTTAAATTCTTTGTAAGAGATGACTCAAGCAAAAATTTTACCAAAATCCAAAGTCAAAATTTTGTGAAGAAATCTTCAGACAATTATTTTAACAATACTAATGAATATTCTTATTTTATTTTATAATTATCTTAAGTATGTGTTTTATAAATATTTTCCACTTGATAAAAGACCTCAGTGAGCTCTTTTGAAGAGATTTCAGTTGTACTCGAGAGCTAATCTTTGTTATAACTCTGAGAATCTATTATGAATAAAAAATATTTAAGGGATTATACTTCCAAATAACAGGATTGCATTTAAAATTGGCTTCAAAATTAAATTAGCCAATAGTGACCAACTTTATAAGTGTCATCTAGAGTATTTAAAACTTAAAAAGACTGGCATCGAGATGAAATGATGACAAAAAAATTGTAATGTCTAGGTTATTCTTCCTAGGTAGTGAGCGGAAACTAAAAGCAATAACAATGATACACTTGGAAAATATAAATTAGCATAGTCCTATAAAGATGAGAAGATTCCATCGAGTAATACAAACAAGTTTTTCAACATAAATAATGAGGCTAGATCCAGTAGCATCACAATGAACAAAACATCACCTGGGAAAATGTAAAATTCTCGGTTAAACCAATAACATACAACATCAGCACTCAAAGAATCATCAACGAACTTGTCCATTGTCATGTGGATGATTCAATCCACATGAAAGTGGACAAGTTGGTCAATCACTTCCATGTGGATTGCATCTACTATTGCTGTATGTATAACAAGAAATACACTTTGATTAAAAAACACCAAATTTTTCAGAACCCCGTAGGTTTAAAAAATTATTTAAATTATCTAAATCATGGAAAAAGTAGGATAGGTTTAGATCAAATTTGATTGAAGAAACTCCCTCTGAGAAGCATCACGAATAACATAGTTTTAAAGGATCAGAAACCTGGAACCGTTGTTCAGATGGCGTATCCAGATCGTCAACTGAATTGTTAAAACATAACATATCATATGATCCGACATTTGTGGAGCGGAGCCAATTGTATTAGTTGGGTTTGAGTCAAATGGTTTAATCGTTCCAAAACTTTTGAATTTATTTTCAAAAGTTATTGTTTTATTTTATTAATTTATTTTCCGATCATCGACTATAGCATTAGCTGCGAATCATAACAGCTTTAACACATTAGCAATGAGTTTGTTTGTCAATGATGTTTGAGAAAGAGTTTGTACATATGTTAGTAATGAGAGTGAAATTGATGATGAGATCTTATCTTGATGCATCTTTTGAGAAAATATACAAGTAAGAATACAATTTATTTAGCTATATTTTAACTTTAGAATTATAGTATCATTTTTTAAGTTATATTCTCAGTTTTTCTAATATCGTTAGCACACTTGTATATCAATAACCAATTTAGTCTGATTAACTATTGTTAAATCACTTTGCAATTGTAAGAACTTTAGTTTACTCAAACATCAAAACTCAATAATGTCATAAAAACTTTTTGAAATGATTTAATTTCTAGAAATATTCACATAATGTAAGAGTGACTATGCTTGATGCCCAACTAGAGTTAAAGCATATTCTTACTTGATTGGAAAACCAACGTAATATCAATCAACAATGATAAATATTCATGTTCTTGGATCGGCGAGAAGTGGAACAATCTCCAAGTACTGAGTTATGGAGAATATTGTCACTGCAAGATTGAGTTCTTATCTTGTTAGTGGGAGGGTGGCGCGTTCTTTGATCTAGCTAAATATAAATATTTGATGTAAAGGAGCACTCTCTCTCAATACGACTTGACATGTGAGTCATTTATAACTTGATTTGACTTGTTTGCACTTACTTTCTATCGTAAAAAGCTTTAAACTAGACGAGGGATGGATTATAAAAAAATTTTAAAACCCAAGGAGGATGCAAAAAATCATCAAAAACTCAGTTTTAATAAATTTTAAAAAATATTGTTTATAACTTAGAATTTTCAAACAAGGAGATGAATAAAAGTATACAGAATTGTGTGTTGTTGGACAAAACGTCCTCGACTTGATTCCTGAAGTCCCAAAGAAACTACAATCCTCCTCTTATCATCACTTTGCTGTGCTTTTCATGAGAAAGTTATTCAGCTAGAGACGTGTGTTTTTAGCATAGTTCATGAATAAATTTAAAAAGACTCGAGATGTATCGACCGAAAAAAGTTGGTAGTTTTATCTATTCAATTTCTACACATCAGATGCAAACCGATCCGAGAAACCGTCTATAGTTCATGTCGTCGACAAGTCAATAGCCCAAGGAGACCACAACGTTCCCTTAGTGGGGGTGGTGTAGACTTATTTAGGCTGGGGCTCTTTGATGAAGGTGGTGGTGGGTGGTCATATCGACCATGCCGAGGGGCATAGCGACGGGTATAAGTCGAAGGCCGAGCTAGGCGGAGGTGATGCTGAGAGCTTCCGAGACATTGCCACTCATTGGTCTATGACTCTCCCCCTTCGCGTCAAGGACGAGGAACCGGACAAATGTCTTCACTCCCTTGCTCAGCAGCGCAAATGGTGTGCGGAGAAGAGGGAAGAGAAGGAAGCCGTAGGAGATGACGGCAGGCCCAATGCTCTCGGGATCCCTCCACTTTGCTGTCACGAGGTTCCGAATTTGCACCGCGTTGGAAGAGAGTCTCGTCGGCAGATCAGGAAATTATGTGACCCCGTCTTCCTCCTCTTGCTCTTCTGTGCAGAGTAGATCGTTTCCTCGGGGTCGGAGCTCTGTGACGGGACGCGACAGAATCTCGACAGGAAGGAGCGGGCAATTTCATAACTCCACGATGCGGCCAGAATTCCGTAGTTACACGGCTGCCTGGCTGAGTGCCCGGAATAAGGACTGTAATGGCGTTGGATCGATGGAGTCTCGTGCCTTTGCGGTGGAGGGGGAGTCATCTTCAGCTTCTGCTCCTCCTCCTGCTCCGCCCTATTTTGATTTGAAGGCACATATGTCAGCAATCGCTGAGGCCGTGAACAGGGAGCTGGACGTGTTGGTTCCCGTGAGATATCCGGAGAAAATCCACGAGGCTATGCGATACTCGCTGCTGTCTCCGGGCAAGAGAGTGCTCCCGTTGATGTGCATCAGCGCGTGCGAGCTGGTGGGTGGCTCGCAGGACGTCGCCTTGCCTGCTGCTTGTGGCCTGGAGATGATTCACGCCATGTCCTTGATCCATGACGACCTTCCGTGCATGGACAACGACGATCTGCGGAGGGGCAAGCCCACGAACCATAAAGTATTTGGCGAGGACATGGCAGTTCTTGCCGGGGATGCTTTACTGACCTTGGCGTTTGAGTGTATGACCAAAACGCCGAGCAGTGTTCCAGCCGGGCGGGTCGTGAGGTCCATTGCCATTCTCGGGAAGTCTCTTGGAGCTCAGGGAGTTGTCGCTGGGCAAATTATGGATATCGCTAGTGAAGGGGATCCCGACGTCAGTCTGGAAACTTTGGAGTACATTCATGTTCATAAGACAGGCGCGCTTGTGGAATTTGCTGCTGCTTGTGGAGCCATTCTCGGGGGTGGTTCGGAGGAAGAGATTGCAAGTTTGAGTGAGTATGGCCGGTGCCTAGGACTCCTTCACCAAGTAGTTGATGACATACTGGACGTCACGAAAAGTTCACAGCAGCTTGGGAAAACTGCTGGTAAAGATGTGCTCGCAAAGAAGGCTACATATCCTAAGCTGCTTGGGTTGAAGGAGTCGCAAGATTTTGCTCAGGAGCTTGCTCGGAGAGCAAAGAGCTTCCTCTCTTCGTTTGATCCACAAAAAGCAGCTCCGCTTTACTCACTTGCGGATTACATCGCTAATAGGCAATCATGATTGTGCTTTGGGAAGAAAGTGGCAGCACTCTGAATTGTTTGAGTGTCTTATCGCAAGCAAGGACATCATCCTCTGGAAATTCAGCCATACATTCGAAGGAGGAATTGCTCATAAAATTCATGGGGTTATAAAACCATTAGAACTAACTTTCGAGCGTTCCAATTGAGAAATGCTCGGCTCTTGTGTTCAGGAACGCGATTGATACGGAGTTGTCATGTACTCCACTTTAACTGTAGTCACACAGAGTCACGGGTTTTTTTGCTTTAATCAGTTGAATATCACATGGACCAGCTCTGAGATCGCAAGCAGATCAGCTTTGCTATCTCCTGGCCTGGTCAGATCATGCAAAGAATCTAACTTCATCTGAATATCAGACGACACGCATAGTTAAAGCAGTTCCAAACCTTGTATTTACCCTCCAAGTCCTGGTTGGTGACGCCAGAGTTGACGGGTGCACCTGAGAGCTGTATGCCTACATTCCTCACCAACTTACACTCCACGACTGAAGCTGCCAAGTCGCGTAGATTCACTTGGCTACGGTTTATATCTCATGCAGTGTAAATCCAGCAGCAAGGACGGACCAGTTTTTATCAGTAACTAGTCATAGCATTAATCAAAAACAGAAGGCAAGGTATGAGGGAAAGTGTATGGTCTGTTATAGCTGGTCATACAAAATCTCAACATGCGAGAAAGAGTTACCACTTCTTTAGAGGGAGTTGTTTAGAAGGATTTCTTCTGACAAACTTTAACAGGTGAGGTACATTTCAAAGACCCTGCATGAGCATTCCACCCGTTCCTGTATAGACGTTACTAGCGCCATGGCAGTCTGGAAACCTCACGTGCATGGAGGCAGACGATTTAGGCAAATATTGCAAAATGTTCTGCGTCGGCATGGGACTCACGAGCCATGGGAATCCACCTAGAATCATATGCTCATCACCACCTCATCAGCCAGCCGCATTGCGCCAGAAGGTGAGCTTTCATTGCTAAGAAACTTTTATGCCCAGGCAGGCAATTTAGATCCGGCAGCAAGGAAAAGGGACCACTGTGTATAATAACTCCGAACGAAAATAAACAAGGAATTCAAGTGGAAGTTAGAAGGTAACCTTTGTAACCTGTTCGGGTAGGTCACAGATGACATCGAAACAGGTAAAAACAGGTCGCAACAATATTCTTATGTCCTTGCGGAGTACTTTGTAGAGTGGAGACTCCTGTTGCCCTTTCTGATTATACACCTTACCTGAATTACAGGTTCAAAATCCCTGCCGGTATCCTCTTGGTTACTATGGTTTACTAAGGACCAATTCCTAGTCGTCACGCAGAATATTTTAGAATAATTTAACTCGACGAAAGTATTCACAAGCCATGTGAATATCCAGGAGGAAGAATCAGCTCGAGCACGATGTTGTTTCTTGTGGTAGCTGGAAAAGGATCGCTGAAAGCAATGGGATCTTGCTGATCCTTTCTGCAATCTAGATGTTCACTATAACCTTGAGAAGGCAACATATGTTCAATTCTCGCTCGCCAAAAGATCTACAAACGTCATTCTAGTAATGGCATGACACTATACCGAGCACTTTTGAGATCTGGAAGGAAGAAAGTGCTCTTTACGGAGATGGGTAGGTCTTCCTGGCAAAGTCCCATGTCTGTCTATCAAGAACCGATGTCAGAAGGTCCAAGCCAGAGGAGGACAAGAGAGATGATAATCGTGTAGCCTTTTGGTCATGAGGTCATCTAAGCTCTTCTCTACCGTTTGCAGATCCCAACGAAAAAAAAAGGCTAATGACAACAATACTTCGACAACTGTATTCCTCGACGATCAGATCCTCTGGTAAGGACAAGTTTTTCCTTATGAAAGGGCTCGTGATGAAACTTACTATCTCCTCTCCTTGACATTCTCAGCCATGATTACATCCAATCGGAATCTTTGAATCCGAGTCTTCATACCGAGAGCTGCGTACGCCGTGAACCACGAACATACCCAAGCTTGTGGCGCTTGCTATTGCAGCGTAGGAGTTTTTGTTACGTGGAAGCATATTTTAATCGTTTTTCTAGAGAGTTGCTGTTGAGTTCTAAAATCCCAGTTCATCTGTAGTTTGCTGAAAACGAGGCGTACAGAGGTACAGTATGGCCAGAAAGTCAGAGTGGCGTACACTGCAGTCTGATAAGTTTCGAGTATGATTCTGTCCTGGGTGAGACTTTTCTATACGAAGAGTCCAGTTGGTGAAACTCTTTCTCTTCTCATAAGTTTCAGCTCTAGAATAAACACTAGGCGACACATTATCAAGTCTTTGCTGTAGATTTTCGAAGTTAAAGCATGGACAAAGATGTAGGAGTTTGTACTCAACTTCCATCTGATGACGTGTTACACTTTGTTGATCAAAAGTGCCTTAGCTGAAAGGTCACACTAAGCCAATGCACAACAAAATGTTCTCGCAGCAGTGGGACGGGAGTAAACATAATGCTCAAGAAGTGTAACGTCCCTACTTGCAAACCAATGGAAGTAAGCATACAGGAACTCAAAGACCTTGGGAGACTTTGACTGAATTGTTTACAAAAAGAGCATCCAAGCTCAAGTATTGTGCTTTACTGAATGACGTCTCAATGTCAAAAGACGAAGAGCAATATGATTTCGACGTTGCTCGGAATCCGACAGAGAGCACGAACCTAAGTTGACTGTGAAATTTGGTGTGAGCGTACGGTAAGCACGAAAAACTTGCTCTGTCCTAGAAAGTAAATAATGGTGTTACCGATGCAATACTTGACTGTTGCGAGGACACTAACTGCATTAGTCCTGCTAGAGATGGGAAATACCGTGAGAGCCAGGCTTTTAACAGGCTCTTGACGAGGCACTTCCCTGTAACATATGACCAGCTTGTCCTATGGTTGACAATATGTCACCACCATTTCTTCTATCAAGGGCCCTAGCCTTGTAACTAAATGAAATTATTTGATACAACATCTAAGTAACTTTGTTTTCAAGCGCTTGCCTTCACGTAGTCGATAGCTTGCTTGCAGATACCTGTCATAGTTGCTTCAGGACCATACACCTGCATAGATCGTAGCAAGAAATGAGCCACCTATTCTCAGCTTCTAACGAAAAAACGAACAAGCACCAGAGTTCTTTCTACAATTACTCTCCAGTTGACAGTAACGTCTCTAACTTACCTCAATGGTGATTCCTAGTTCTTCACCGAGATCACGCATCTTTTGAAGTCCCTTTTGGTAGTTAGGACCGCCCCTTCGCACGTAGATGCGCATTTTTGCAGCTTTAAGCTGAGCTTGCTGTGAATACATAGCATACACAAAATAAGGTGTTCAGTATACGAGACAAAAAGTACGACTCAAGGAAGAAACTGCGCCTCTTCAGTTTCAAGACCTTGCATGTGTAATGGTATTTTCCTTCCACGGAAAGCAATTTTCACTAAAGCCGGCATTTCACAGTGTAGATTTAACAATCTGACCAACGTGCATAGACTATGATAGACAGCTCTTGGAAAAATTTACTTAAGAACCAGGAACATGATAAGAGGATACCTTCTCCCGAAGCGCTCTGATGATGCCACTGAAGGTAGCAGCAACATCAGTAAAATTGGCGATACCACCTCCGACCAGAAGAGCCCTTGAACGACCATCTGGATCAGCAGTAGCGACCTGCAAGCCGGAAACACCAAAGCGTTGGCAAGATTCGGACATCCAGTTGTAATTCGCAACAGTCCTTTCCTCTTACGTTGTAATGCTCAACACTAAAAAGGCCTTCATCAAGCATACTTCTCAACCATCTACAGATCCGTTGATTTTGGGGTTGAGTGCTCACATCTATCAATGAGCGAGCATATTGGAGTGTCTCCTCTTCGTTAGGAGCACCACTGTACTCGGCGTAGTTTCCGAGCTCATCAGCGTAACCTAAGTCTCCAACCTGCGCATATGAAAACACAAATATTACCTATCGAAGGACGGCAAGCTCATAAACCACGATTGCATTTTGCAGATTTCACAAATAGTATGAATTCGGGATAACTATGTCTAGACGATTTTATCTAAGGAATTGCAAGTGGTAGACACCAGGTTGAGATCATAAGAAGAGGTCAAATCAGAACTAAGTCAATAAGTCTTATTCTTTTGACTAGTGATTCCCCACATTCAGTTTGGCAGTGGGCTCGAAGACCGCCTCTCGCGGATCAAGAGACACGAATACAATGTTACAAAATCTCTGAAAGGGATAGATTGAAAGTTAAGATTTCATACAGTATCGGCATAAATTACACTAGCACCACCTCCAGCAACCATGGTCCAAATGCGGCCCTTTGGGTTCAAGATCGTTAGCTTCAATGAGGCACCAGTCTGCAAGAAGAGACCGAAGTATGAGTGTTAGTACAGCCGAACAGTATATGCCTGCCTCTGCCAGCATAGATACTGGATGAATAATGCGACAAATTCATCCACTCCCAAGGCATTGTGATGGACCACAGAAAGCGATCTTTAAACTCTCAATGAAGGTTTTGGACTGACTCTAAATAGAATAGTAGTTCGAGAATGCCTGGAAACCGGGTGAACACTACCTTCTCATCCAGCTTGTGAATCTTCTCTTCAGCAGGGCTCATCGTTCTTCCGAATGGAAGAGGGAACTCCACATCGGCCCATCTGTAAAAGAAAGGTCCATCAGCACAGTAACTGCAGGCACATCAATCTACAAATGAAAGTGAAAAGAAACCATTCAGTTGTGAACATTTTGGCACCATTCCACCGTTGAAGAACCGTAATATGGTGCCAAAATCACTCTTTCAGTAATTACGCAACAAGCTCTTACTTTTTGAAGTTCTTGAACATCGCAGTGTCATCTAGCTCTCCGCGCATGTCAAGAGGATAGGGGCTTCCATTCACCAACGTAAATGGATTCATTTCCAGAAGAGTGAAGTCCAGATCTGAGACAAGCCAGAACGTAGAAAATAAGGTCTTGGTTCCACCAGATCCACCGACAGGGCCAGACTGACACAAAAATATTTTTGAGGTTTAAAATTTACATGTCAGGAATCAATTTGAAGTGAATCGCATGATAGTAGCTCCCTAGAAGGTCGCAAACCTACCAATGTAGACATCGAAGACGCCCTTGAGGAAAGTCTCGATAACCGGACGGACCTGGAAAGAGAAATCAGTGTTTGCAGTGAGTTTAAGTAGGTTCACACTGCTTATTCCAGTGCAGGCTTGGCGATCCTCAAGATCAAAGATTCGGGGAACTCAAGAGCAAAAGTTACCTCCAGCGGAAGTGTAGCTATCAGAGGCGCAAGAAGTTCAGAGTCGAGTGTCTTCTCTGTAGGAACAACAACTGTCTTCACCTGAAGCACAAGGTTCAACAAACTCAAACAATTCAATCTTCGATTTGAAATTTTCATCGAAAATAAGGACTGAGGCATGTTCTTTACACTGTAGTTTCAACCCGTATTTAAAAAGTAGAGATTTCGATAAATGCGCCAATCGTTTTCCTACTCATTGGCTGAATGTCAAGAAACACGCGCAGACTCACCTTGTCCCAGTTTTCTTCGATCTCAATTCCTCCACATTCCGAGAAGCTAACGTTAGTTCCAAGGCGGTCTGAGACGATAGAAAGATAGTACTCATCGTCGTGAGGTACGAAGGGTTCCACGATGAAGGTGGTGATGGCACCCTTGCATCCTTGCATGTCAACCTGCACACAGGAGATTGTCAGAGCTGATCCCCGACAACAAAGTCCCATGACGGTGGGATGCTGTGACTAAGCTCTGTGATCTTGAACCAACACACCTAACTAACCCTGCTCTAGGATAACGTCTTCCTTGAGGTTCTACCGTATTTCCATAGATAGTCCCCGAAAAACTGCCTGCTTGCATTCGTTCTCCAATGTACACTCGTGCAAATCTACCATATTACAAGCCGTCAACCAATTCCCCCAACGGTACAGCACTAGTCAGTCTGGCCCTTCAGGCGATGAGATCTTAGAAGAGCCACTGTACTGCTACGAGGTGCACGGCAATGCCAACCCACCTCCTTGCCGAGTCTTTCCTTCACAAAAGCTTCGACGCCTGCAAGATCCAAGTTCAGCGCCACCTGAAAGAGAACAATGACATTAAATACTGCAGCAAACGTCGTCCTCTTGCTCGCAACACAGATGGTATCCATTTTCCAAGTCTGCTGAGCCTAAACATCTGAGTTCTCGTGGACGCCGTGTTACGGAGGGAGAAGTGGTGGCCAGATCTCAAATCCAAGTTAGCATCCGAGCATAGTAAGGCCATGGCTGTGATATGGTAGTAGGTGAGGAGAAAGTCGAAATTCCTGATCCAAAGTGTGATGGGAGAGGGGCATTTGTGGCAGGTGGGTTGGGTAAGAACGCACCAGACCACTCTTTCCTCGCTTGCCGAACAACATGTCGGGCTTGACGACCAGCCGAGTGGAATTCAGCCATGGCTCGGCGTCAGCCAACGCGTTGAAGTCCGTGGTCTCAGTGATCTGCCGTCAATCGACATAAACATGCTTTGTCAGTCCAGTCAAACACGGTCATCTCGTATCATATACTCTCAGCTGATAGCCTTCATGCGCCTTGTGACTCCCTAAAGAGGATTGAATGTGGAGCATTATCCAATTTCATTACAACCCAAGGTGCAAGAACATAATAGCTCTGACACAAAAAATGGCAGCCTCGCAACCTGCACCAACATTGAAACTCCACACTGAAGACGAAAGAGGTGCTGTTTTTACAACCAAATTGAGGAGCGGCAAAGATCTCACACAGCGGGAACGTATGTTCGTTCGCTAGCTCGCCGACTGATTGATTACCTGAGCAGACTTTATGTCGATGTCAATCTGCGCGAGCCTCTTCAGATGCTCCTTCAACAGTCGCTTCGAGTTGAATTCTCTGATCTTTTTCCTGGCCATCGTCGCCTAGATCTGTAGCTGCAGAGTAATATCCCACGACTATCAGCTCCCCCTCAACTCGCAGATCGACGCTACAAAGAATCCTCAGAGGAGAGAGGCAGAGCAGAGGAGGTTCGTCAATGCCGGGAGGCAGAGGGCGAAGCGAATGTTCCAAGAACACGTTCGAGCGACAGTTTCTATCAGAAAGGGCTCGTCCGCCGAGGGAGAGAAAAAGAGAGATGCAGCAGAGATCGCAGACTTGTGGAGGAGCTGCGGGAAGAAAAATGCTCGCGAGCGCCGAGGCGCGAATGCTCACGACGAGTGCGGGGCCGGAGCGCAGAGCACCTCGCTGGCAGAGCGCGAGCCCACTGCGCCTCTGACGACACAACAATAAAGAGGCGCTCTAATTGCAGCAGACGACTGACAGGACCATTCGAAGCGTACCGTGGACGGAGAGGGACGCAGGAGGCGGATCCGGCAGGAGAACGACGCGAGCGAATGAATGAAGGAACGAATGAAGGAATGAATGAATGCAGGGCCTTGGAGAAGACAGAGCTCGAGAGCAGAAATTATAAGAGCGAGCGATGGAGCGATGGAGCGAGCGAGCGCATGGAGGCGCGGAGACGCAGAGCCGACGACGACGACGACGTGGGGTGATGGGACAATGCTGCTCTCTCGGTCGCTCGCTCCCTCGCGGCCTGGGCCCCACCGGCAAAAGGCAGCGAGGACCAGTCCCGCGAGTCCGCAGCCCGGAATGGCCACCGGCATTCGCAAGTCGGCCCAGCGGCAGCTAGCTGGTCAATAAAGGCTGCCAACTCCCCGTCACATGACCTCCTCCGAGTCCTCTCCTCTCTCGTGCCTCCGTCTCCCTCTCCGGTTCCGCCTCTTGCCTGACCTTTGTCTACCGGGTACCCAGCTCTCCGAACCACCGGATAAACCACTCTTTCCCGTAGATCCAGAATCATATCACCAGTTCTACACTTGCCTCAACGTGATCACTTTCCTGATTTTATTTCGTTATGATATTTAAACCCTGTGAATATTTTCTGAGATCATTTGTTCTACACTCCTTCAATCGACGCATGACTTTGATTTTTCAAAAATATCTCATTTTAATATTTTAAAATTTCCAAAAAAATTAGATACTGTGAAAGTATGTATGTGATATTTGCGATGGCATGTGATGAGTGAATTATAGTGAGCCTTGCATGAAGATTATGTATTCCGCTCGAGATGATTACCTTGTAGTTGCATACTTGTTTAGGATTTAGAAATTACACAAAAATCTATCTTTGGTGAGTGTAGAGGTGGTAACCAAGGTTTCTTCATGTAGTACTGTTCAAAAATTTATTCTCGCTTCAGCATTTGAGTTATATTTAACTATGGACGTGGCTATGGCACATTCTAAAAACATAGAGTGTTTTATAAACTATAATGTACATTGTCTTTCAGTTTTAAAAGAGTATTAGCTAGTATTATACATAAAAGCCCAATATAAAAATAAAAGAACTATTTGAATTATTTAAACTTGGGTACTCAAATGAATTATAGATTTAAAAATAAGATAAATACTTAGTAAAAATCCTGAAAGTTCATTTATATGAAAGGCTATATGTATAAATATAGGATGCAATATTTTAATACATACAATAGCATTTTGCAAGTATCTTGCCTGCATTTGATAACCAGTTTATTAACACCAATGTTGAAGCTTACGAATGCATCCAAGTTGATTATGGATTTATATAGATCACATAACTATTATGAGTGTACATAGTTCGAACAATGAAATTGGCCTTTTGAATTACCTAGGTTATAAGAACCCATTATCTAGAATATACTCTTCTACATTTCAAACAAATATAAGAAGAAATTAGGGAAATTTCACGATATCATTATGTCCATTAGTTATTTCAAATCTACTTTGATATATGGTTTCTATCGGTCTCGAGCTACGGGGTTCAGCCAAAGCACAATGTCCTCGTGTTTGAGTCGAATTAATCTAACCACAGACTAGTTAAAGAATTGAAGAAAATAGATAATCGTTTCTTTACCTATGTGATGATGTTTGAATTGACTGTCGATATAAAATATTAGAAAATGCCCGAAGGCACAACCATCCCAACTCTTACGTTTATATTTCTTTTATTTATTAAGGTGGTTGGATTTCCCGTAGTTCTCCTACACCATGCGTGGACCTTTCCCTGTTTTCAAGTGAAAAAATAAATCTTCCATATTATAAGTTACAGTGCAGAAGTGAAGTCATTTCTCCGGAATGAGCATCAACGCATGTGCAATCTTAGAGTATACTCAGCCTGCTATGCGGTCCTAGGATTAGCCTCCTAATTTCACGAGAGTTTTCGGTCATCGATCCAATTCGACTCGTTGGATTTCCTTGTCCTTACTCCACTCACTCTTATGCGTCACCTTTAGAAAAGAAAATAATTTCGAGGCCCCGACGTCTGCTCCGAGGGGTTGCATGGGCTTTTGAAAGATGGACTTGCGAATTAGGCACATTGTCTACGAATGCAATGCTATTCTCAACATTTTGGAGGTTGTTGGCCACTGGCGTTACCATGTATAGCAGTGTAGAGTAGGCACGCCAGTGTTAAATACAGTAACCTACAGAATCTAGGAATTAGCAAGGCATTTTATTGTATTGTACTTTATTTTATTATCTTTCCCATTGTGGTTCGTTCGTTACTACGCGATGAGACTAGAGACGAGAGAATATACGGCCTCGAGAGTTTGGTGACTTTGAGGACGAAGGGAAGACTTTGAGGAGAGCGGGTCAAAGGAGCAGGGGAGCACAAGGGTTCGAGGGTCAGACCTCTCCCGGGAGAGAGAGAGGCCCATGGACGAGGTCTCGTGGGCTGCGACCGTCTGTACCTACCACGGTGCTCTGCTGCTCTCGAGAGTAGCAGGTCGCTCTCGCCTCGGGCGCTGCACTCGGCCGGTTTTGCCGGTCGGCCCGGCTCCGAGGAAGTCGCTGACCTCAGGACCGGTCGCTGGGGTGCACTCGATATCCGGTTCCGATCGGGAGGAAAAGAGGACCATGACATTTAAAAAACCGCGATGGCGCCCGGCCTCATTGACCATGTTTAGCTCGTGGTGCCACCCGTCACTCATTGACTCTTTCTCTCGTGGGGCCTACCGATAGACGCCGGTGCGATGGAAAAGTCGCCTTTTCTTGCCATCCTCCGGTTCTGTTCGCTCTCCTGGACAATCTCTCAGATTTTCCCGGTCCCCGTCTCCTCCACCCAACCACAGTTCGCACCAACCGGCGCCGCATGCATCGAGATCCACAAACCTCGTCCCGGCCTGATTCCACAGTTCCGCATTGCACGCTGCCCCGTCGCCTTGCAAAAAGGCTTGTAAGGGTGATGATTTTAAGTAAAATGGTCTCCTGTCATTTTATAATTTTATATAAACACGTGTTTCCGATTTTTATGAAAATTGAAGAAATGTAACGCTTGTAGGACCTGATACGATGGTCACAATTACATCTCCCAGTTTTCTTCTACCGATTTGTGAGCTTGCACTGACCCTCTCCAGCCACCCAGTGAATCCTCTTTTACGGAGTTGAACGATTCCATCGACTGTGAGAGGTACTGAGATGCCGACAATCACGATGCTGCGACTGCCATGGTGGTATCGGTAGGCAGCTGTGGTTGCGGTCCCGAGTGTTGGCACTGCAGAGGTAGGACGCTCGCTCTGTCCCGCTGAGGGACAGTACTCCAATTTAGTGCCAGAGATTGACGGATCTACGAAGGTGGGCCCATCCATCATGTGTGTGTGAGTGTGTGTTCCGGGGCAGGACATGATTTCGATGTGCCCCGTGTGTCAGCCAACCGGCGCCTCTGCGTGCATTCAGGGCAGGAAAGAACTGCGTGCTCCTTTCCCCGCGCAACTCCACCAACTAATCGGGAACCGGGTGGACAAGCGCGGTGAGCCTGGAGCCTCGAGAGCGGGATGGCGATCACGGGATCTCGGAGAGGAATATGGTCGTGCATGGAGGTCGTCGCTTTCCCTCGCTTGGCGATGGCGCTTTTGGCAGTTGCTGCTCACCCTGAAAAAGGCTCGGCATCTCCTCCAAGGTCCGAGGACCGGGCCGGGCACAACATTCCCAATTCACGCAATCTTTGGCGGACTCGGCCGAGGACGGAGGTCTTGCGGGCATCAGGTGGTCAGGTATGGAGACCAATCTGCCCCCTCGCATTTGCGTCGTCGCTCGTCCCGTGGTCTCGATTTGACTCGTGAGCCGATTCACGGTGGCATCCGAGACATTGAGATCTGTGGCGCAGGGTTTGGTTCGAGTTGGTAAATAGTCTCGGTGATTCGCCCTGTGGACATCAGTCTCTGTGCGCCTGCACCTCTCTTGTCCTATGCCACCGCTGCCACTGCCGATCTTTGTTCGTTGACGCTGACGGTATGTTATTCGCTGCAGTGTGTATGGTAGATGCTGTTGCAACCTGGGCGCCTTCAGCTCTCGCGTCCGTCGTTTGCCTGCAGAAAAGGACATGTCTTATGTAGGGTGCAGGAAACAATGTCGGACGGCGTGAGTGCTGAGTGATCGTTCTTAGTCGGTGGGGTGCACTTGAATAGAGTGGAATCGCTGCAATTTGACCTATTTCGCTGATCAGGCTCTCACTGTCCTCGTCTTCTTCACCGTGCAGAGACTCAGTCGACATGTTGGGTGTTCAGTGTCAAGTTGTGAGTGGTCTCCCGTCAGCGCAGAACGCGTTGAATGTGGGGTCTTCGTCCCATGCGGACTTGAAGACGACATTCTCTAAGGGGAACTTGAGTGTGCACTCACGAGCATGGGCCACGGGAGGCTGCGAATTTAGCCTTCGTGCCCAAAAATTTCACCAGAGGTGCTTATACTTGCACAGTTCTGTTAGAACGTACTCTGAGAGTTCACTGAGTTTTGGACTTTCATATTCTCACGGGATGTTCTGCCCAGGAATCAGCGATGATCTGATCGTTGTGCACAGACAAATGTACACTCAGTGACGATCGGGACTAACATGCATAAGGAAATTTGTAAAATACTTGTTGTAAGCAGCCATCTGTACACACTTGTGCCGATCGGAATGTTTGACCCTTTTTTTGTGTCAAATAAACGTTCGGCCTTGCAGATTGTCCGAGAGAAATTCAGGAAGCAGCTCGATTATCACAGCCATGGCGCCAGCACCTTCCAATGGTCAATCAGGGGCGACATCCACGCAGCAGCTGGATCTCTCCCTGAATCCCAGGGTTGCGGCCTTAAAGTCTTCTAAGACTATGTTTGTTGCTGATAAGGCTACCGCCATGAAAGAGTCCGGCATAGATGTGATCAAGCTGGCCGCAGGAGAGCCAGACTTCCGCACACCACAAGCAGTTGTCGAGGTTACATCCAACTTTCTTTTGACTCTGTGTGAAGATGTTGATATGTACACATCTCAGTTCGATGAACGAACTTGCGCAGTTACGACTGAATTATGGTTGGAGGTCTTCGGTTCTGCACATGACGAACGTACTAAGAATGCTAGATTTTGTACATCGCAGGCCGGAGTTTGGGCGGCGCAAAACAATCTCACTCGGTATACACCCAATGCAGGCACAATGGAACTTCGCAAGGCTATCTGCCATAAGTTGCAAGGTAAAGCCTGTGCATCACTTCAGTATATTGTGTCCTTGTTTTCAGCACCATATCCAGATGAAGGCAGCAGTAGACAGCAATTGTATTCTACCGTTTCTCACAGGAGATTTTAGACAATCTCATTTCAGAGTCCTCGCCGTCGCAGAAATCCTGAGCTATCCAGCGTTTACCGGACAGGATCTGTTGTTGATACGTGGCTTGTGATTGCTACGTTCAGAGGAGAACGGGCTTACATACAAGCCAGATGAAATTCTTGTCAGCAACGGGGCAAAGCAGAGCATTGCGCAAGCCGTGATGGCTGTGTGCTCCCCTGGGGATGAGGTATATCCTGATCAGAGATTACATTTCAAGAATAGAAGTCATTACAGGATCAAGTTATAAAAATGTGGTTGACAAATTGAGCCATTCACCTGTGATGCCCTGCAAATATTTTAACTGAAGTAGCACCCATGTCCTCAACGTAGCAATCTCTTCCACAAAAGCCATCAGCTATCTTGTTCAGCATTCGACCTTGAAAACTTGTGCCTTCTAATACCACAAGATTGCGACCAAACCATGCACATGTAAGCCTGGCGTTTACCAAGTCTTCACACCTCCTTGCAGTGGAAAGTCATGTTAAGCTGGTGACTTAAATGGAGCCTACAGACGCCCGCTTCTCTTATCCATGATGAATGAAAGACAGCTGACGACGTCACTACATCTGGAGTTATCGAAGGTGGTTATTTTTTGATATAATATAGAGAACTCCTTGACGAATCGCAAAACTACACCGTGTGGAATTGTCTAAGATGAACTGGACTAAGAAGATACCACGTCATTTATAAGGAGTAATTACTTTCGTTAAACTTTGTAAGTGGTACAGGATGATCATATGCATCATAATACTCATACAGCGTGACGTTGCTCAAAGTTTATGATGCCTTGCGGGTTAAGATCACGCACATCCTAACCATAAAAAAATTCTTCTAACATTGTTAAGTTCGCGTGTTTTTTCAGGCCATAATCCCAGCACCTTTCTGGGTTAGCTACCCAGAAATGGTATCTCTATCAGGTGCTACTCCAGTCGTTGTACCAACATTGTTGGAGGACGACTTTCTGCTGAAGCCTGAGCAGTTGTTGAAGGTTCTAAATGAGAAAACAAGACTTTTATTTTTGTGTTCTCCTTCTAATCCCACGGGATCTGTCTACAAACTTGAGGATCTAGAGGCAATCGCAGCTATAGTTGCGAAACATCCACGGCTTTTGGTGAGGAATCACCTTCAAGCCTACCGGTCGTTTCTTTTAGAACGGTTTATTTTCCAAGTTCGATACTGTGTTATATAAGTCATCTGGTTTTCCTCGATAAGTGGCCTATTAGTTAGTATGTCCCTTGTACCTTGCAGTCATCCTCCGTAGGATGTGAATTGTTTCCACTTTTTGGCGCCAAAATTCTGTTTCATATGAAATCAATTGTCAGCGGTGCCAACGTTATGACTGTACACGTGCAGGTGGTGGCTGACGAGATCTACGAACACATCATATATTCTCCTGCAAAACATCACAGTTTTGCAGCTCTGCCGGGCATGTGGGAGCGCACCTTAACCGTCAACGGATTTTCAAAGGTTCGTTAGCCATATTCTACATATGTTTCTCTACTGCGCTGATCCATTTGCAAAGGAACCTTTTTGCCGGTTCAAAGTAGGAAAGTTTAAAGGAATTGTACTTTTCAATATGTGGCTGCCTTAGTCTGAATTCCATAGATCCCTGTCTGAGCCTGTCAAGCAATTGTGTACAAAGCTGTGCTGTGATGTGATGTCCTGAAAGCAGGGAACTTATGCCTCGCAATGAACTTACAGGCTTTTGCAATGACGGGATGGCGGTTGGGTTATCTGGCTGCCCCAAAGCATTTTCTTGTAGCTGCCAACAAGATTCAAAGTCAGGTGAGTAAGAGACAACGTGCAGCAAATATTGAATCTGCAGTGTGGTGATCCACAAGTAAGAAGACCCTACGGTCTAGAAGTCAAATTATCTCGCTAGTTCGCCTTCTAGCTGCTTACTCACTAATGTCTATTCCTTCGTTGTGCTGATTCGTTGGGGGTTTATTTTCAATCGAAACAAAAGAAGATATGGCGCCGTCTACGTGCCATTTGATGTTGTAGTACTCCATGTCAGTGTCAGGTCTGATGGTCGGGTATACATTTACAGATTACATCAGGAGCATGCAGCATATCACAAAGGGCTGGATTAGCAGCATTGAACCTTGGTTACGCTGGTGGCGAGGTTGTGGCTGAGATGGTGGCGGCATTTCGTCAAAGAAGAGATTCTATGGTGAAGAAACTACAAGCGATGGACGGTGTAAAGCTTTCTGTTCCGCAGGTACAAAACAATCGAAATTTTTTGTAGTCTAGACAAATGCAGGATTTGTCAAGCTAGAGGCGTTCTTCAGTTTTTGGAAATTCCCTAGTAAACTTTCTGCATTACACCATACAAGATTTCACGGTTATACACAACGAGCCCAATCCTCACATGCAGTCCCCAAAACAATTTTAAAATAAGACTTGCGAACTGAAGATGGTGAGACGAAAGACTTGACTGGTGTCTTCTCTCTGTGTTTCTGTAGGGTGCCTTCTACTTGTTTCCCGATTTCAGTTCCTATTTCGGAGCCAAAATCGAGGGAGGTGGAACTGTCAACGATGCTAACGAGCTCTGCGAGTTCTTCTTGGAGAAGTGCTTGGTAATGTGCTCTCTTTATTTCTCGAATAATGCCTGCTCATGTAGCAAAAGGGTTTATGCTAAGGTTAGCTGTCAGTAATTTGAAGGAGGAAGTGGAAGGTATCTGTAATTACCTCCTTTCTTCTTCAACCTATGCTTTATTCCTTCATTTAAGTGTTCGTCATCTCCTAGTTTTACGTGGGCTTTAGAATATCAGGAAGAAAGATATGATTGTGGTGAGTAGACCTGATCTGCTTTTGAATCTGAGCATCCTTTGGCCTCATCTGTACGTAGTACACAGTGCTGTCATTCTATGGACCACACAAGCGACGGCATAGACGTGCCACGTACTGACCAGAAGACTGTGTTGTCGGTATATTTGACATTAGACTAACTTGATGTCGGCAATTTGACTCGACAGGTAGCTTTGGTTCCTGGAGATGCATTTGGGGAGCCTAAGTGCCTACGAATCTCCTATGCTGCATCAGTTGAAGAACTTGAAGAAGCAGTGTCCAGAATTGAGAAGGGTTTGAAACTTCTTACGCGAGTGGAGTCAACAGTATCCTCCAGCTAAAAGGCTTGTACTTGTAGATTACCCATTCTTTACATGGCAGACCCATTTTATTGAGACGCTAGAAATTTTGTTCATATCTCCAGCCTTCTACCTCTCAGTGGGTCGCGGGTTCCAAATTTATCCACCTATTCATATATTACATGTGCCTTATTAGCCGTATTTAATTATGAGGTGGATAATTTTATTCTAATTAGAGGCATGTATTCATGCATATTTCACTAGAATAAAGTTACGCTCGATTCTCACGCATTTCACGTAGTCCGCACTGTGTCTTGGTGAAATAAATCAAAGTATATTGAAGCTAAGGATTATAGTGTCTTCATGATCCTTTTTCGGAGCTTAATGGAAAACGTTAATTCTGTGCGTTTGATTTTTGAAGTATGAGTTGGAGTAATATCAGAAGTCTGTGGTCTAATCCATCATTTGTTATGTAAGCATATTGAGATTGATCTCTTACATTATAAATTCATCTCAATCTTGTTGAGACTTGTACGGCAAATTCAAAAACATTGATCGACAACATTATCACAAATCTACAGATCCTTTCTTACTGGATTTGCGGAACTTAAAGCTCGTTCGAAAACATTATCGTAATTCCACAAATCCTTTGTAATTGGAATCCCAAAACTGATTGGTTTTATAATTACCATAAATCTACCTCTATGATACAAAATTCGTTATCAACGAAAATTTATTCAAACTGAATCGTAGTTTAAATGAATAAACTAACCCAGTTGAGGAGAGTGACTTCCTTGCTTATTATGTCTAGCAGTTTCTTTAACACTGTTTAGATTTACTTGGATGCGACTGAAATTTCAATGTAACCTATCCAAGTTTACTTTTGTTCTAATCCGTATATACAATTTAAATTGAAGAAAAGTTAGTTTATGAAATGACTAAATGGTTTTGGAGATAAATGTATTTCAAAAGTAAATTTTGCAATTAAATAAGACTAAGAACATATATTATTGGATTGAAGCTGATATATATTTTTAAAAGATAAATAATATTGAAGTATCATGAACAATCATAGATCTCTAGATATAAAAAATCTTGAATAATGATTAATATTGAAAGTTAAAAAAATTCATATATATAATATTTATAATAATTACTTATATTGGAAAGAAGTATTTGAGTATTTTTAAAATATGATTTTTTCATAGGAAAAATTCATAGAAGTTGTTTAACTATTATTCAATCATGATTACATTCGAAATATTATTTATTTAATATATAAATTATTATTTAAAAATAACCATGTTAAAATAATATTATAAATAAAATATTTACATGAAAATTATATAAAGTACATCGAAACTCAACTAACAAGATTAATCATTACTCCATCTCTAGAAATTATATCCTATTTACCGAACAACTTTTAATACTCAGTATATATTTTACCTTGTAAATATTGGCAAAATTTATGACAGAACCAATGTGTTCTTCGTAAGAGGAAAGGAATCTCGACTCGCAGAGACAATTGCTCGTGCATGGCATGGCACGCCGTGTCACATTCGGCTGCTTCACTTTCTGCCATGGCTTGATTGTCGGCGCGAGCATTCGAGACGCAGCGGATCCGCAGTTGACCCCATAGTTCCGGAAGACGAATGCCGGCGGGCGTGCATCTTAGACTCAATTCTGCGTGCATCACGCTGATGGACGCGACTCGTCGACCTCGAATTTCGACACTGCGTGGTGCAGAACAGTTTCGGTGTCCTTGTTAGAGTAAGCATATCCTCAAATCCTGTAAGTCGAGACGCAGGTCTGGACGCAAACTTGCCCACCTGGGTTCGTGTGCACCACGCTGCTCTTCTCACTTGGCTCACGTCGGTCCTTCCCCACATTCCGGTTTTGCAATTCTGGGGATGCAGACTAATTACGAGCTCAAGTAAGTACTGGGCAAGGATCTGCACATCACATAGACATCGGCATCGCTCTGTTGGGAAAAAAGATTCGAATAGTTGGAAGGCCGAGGCCTTTTTTTTCGCACGTAAGAATGGGCGGCCTGTGCCTGTGCTTCGTTCGACCCTACAGGTGCAGGCGGACGGAAGTCTGGCGGCCAAAGGATATGGACTCGAATCTGCAAGTTCACCTGCATCGCTCGACGACCTGAAAATGATTTGACTTGTTGGTGATGGAATTCCACGGTGTGATTTTCAAGATCAGTGGCGCAGTTTTGGAATTCTGCTGCTTCTTTGAGGTACAGTGGGTAGGGGTGGTGGTCCTGTGATACTCACGTACAGTGGACTCAAATTTGTGCATACGTCTCGTCCTATGTTAGCGATGCCACCGCGGATAATTTGACACTGACTGGATTTATGGTAGCTGATGCTACCAGCGCACCTTCAACGCTCTAATCTGTCGTTTACTTGCATCGCAATTGTGTCCCAGGTTGCAGGGAAAGATGTTGTAGGCGTGAGTGATGAATAATTATCTTCAGTTGACGGGATGCATATGAAAGAGTGCATTTGTTTGCTTGGCTTAGTTCGCTGCTAAGGAGCCCTCCCGTTGTTCGTGCGTTCTTCCTGCAGATACATTATCGACATGTGGGTTGCTCAGTGTCAAGTTGTGACAGCTCTCCCTCCAGCGCTGAAAGTGGGGTCTTCAATTCATGGGGCCTTTAAGACGGGGAGTCTGACTCTGCACTCACGAGCATGGGCCACGGAATGCCTCAATTTAGCCTTTGCGCTCAAAAAACACCTCAGAGGTGCATGCACTTGCACAGTAATCAGCACACAGAATACATGATGTTTATGAGATGATTTGTCGGGGATTCAAATCTGGATCGTCATGCACAGAGAAATTTATCCTCTCTGTTAATATACTATTGACGTGCAAATATGTTCAGCTCGTCGTTGCTAACAGCAAATTGATTGGACCAATTGAACTTCTCCAGATCAAAATTTGGCCCATGCAGGGTGTCGGAGCGAAAGTCTGGAAGCGCCTCGAATAATATAGCCATGGCATCAGTACCTTCCAATGGTCAATCAGAGGCGAAGCCTACACAGAGTTGAGGCTTTGAAGTCTTCCAAAACTATGGTCGTTGCTGATAAGGCCAACTGCTATGATAGTGGTCGGCGTTGATGTGATAGAGCTAGCCGCAGGAGAATCAGACTTTCGAACACCACAAGCAGTTGTTGAGGTTATTTCGAACTTTCTGGTGATTTGTGTGAAGAGGTTTCCATGTACATCTTTGAGTTCGAGGAGTTTACTTCATACCTACAACTGAAGGAGTGAAGGAGTCGTATGAAGTTCTCTGTGCTCATTAAGTCGAAGAAATTATCATATACCAGCATGTACGATTCTGGTATAATATGTCTTACTTTCTGACCTGAAAATTCTGCTGTAAGATGAATCTTACAGCAGAATCTTCAGTCAGAACAACCTAAGATGAATCTTACGTTGTTCGGACTGAAGTGATTGAAATCAAACTCACATTAGGTTGGCGGCTTAACTGACAGGTACTCTTGGTTCCTGGAGATGCATTTGGGGAGCCTAGGTGCCTCCGGATCTCACATGCAGCATGTGACATGCTCCATTGATTGAAGAGCTCGAAGAGGCAATGTCAAGTAGTCAGAAGGGTTCGAATCTTCCGACGCGAGTGGAGTCAACGATATCTCCAGCTAAATATCCTCCAGCACTCATATAGTACCCATTCTCGAGCATGAGACTCGCGTTCCATTGAGGCGATGGAAATCCTACCTCTCAGTGGACACTCGGTTACAATTTCATCCTCATGTTTCTTAGACGTTGCTAATGGCCACCAATTTGAGTATGGTGTGCGGCTTAAAGATAATATCTTGACGTCGTATGGAGGCGTATGTTTTTACAGTCTACTAGAACAAAATCCGCATTCGAATGGAAGAGACTTGTCATACTCCACGGAAGTGTCTTAACGATCAAGTAATGATCTCATATGAGTCCCAAAGGTACAATTGGATTTTATTTTGTGTGACGAGACAAAAATCCGTGAGGTCCATTTGGTCCTGCAAATTCCACCTGAATGGACAGATCCTGTGCAATTTAAGGTACAGAAGAGTCCAAGCCAGGGCACAGTCGGGCTCTGGGAGATGTACAAGGACCTGATTTGTAGCTGCCTAGATACGAAAGAGAATGAATGGTCAAAACTCAACGCCCCTGGAGACCAAATAAATAGCAGGCCTGAGAGACTAAACCCTCATCAGTCAGAGAGCTGAAGTGTGGTCGATTAAAACTTTTCTAGGTCAGATCAATTGTTGCAAAATCTAGGTCATGGGACGATTGTTTACTTGGACCAGTAGTGGAGTGCAACCAATCATTGTCACCTCCTCCTCCATTGGCTTTATTCCAGGAAGATGACTGAAGTTTAGAAGTCAGAGATTTCTGCGGTGGCACTGTCGCTGCCAGGGATTGAGTCCACGGATCTGTGGGTGCGGTACGAGAAGGCCAGCCTCCAGATGAAGGCCAAGACTTTTCTCCTACTTCTGCATTTGGTGTCTTTGTCTTCTCTTGGTCTGGACCATCTGGTTTCTGGGACCAAACATCAGTCGTCTGCAGTCCTCTTGATGGTACTGACGGTACCCTCGCTGGTTCGGCCCAAGTATCCTGTTTCTGCGAACCTGAGGGTCGTCTGTCTGAAGAAGGCCAAGGTGGCGGTTGGATCCAGCTTGTGTCCTCCTGTTGTCCATATGAGGCCAATCTGGAAGCCTTTCGAGTCCCACCGCCAGGTGTTGGAACAGTTTCGCTCCTAGCATGGAAAGCGTCTGCGATGAGGCTTCTTCTCTCGTGTGTTCTGGCGGGCAGTGTCACTAACTTGACGGACGTGCCCTTGTCAACTGTGAAATCAGAGGAAGGACGTGTTCTCAGACAAGCAACCTTGAAAATTACTAGCATCTTTATATTGAGTACATGTCTCGTGAATCTCAATATCGAGGTTAATCAGAACACATCCCAGGTTCATTATAGGCTTCGATCACTTTCTGGGAGAGATTTACCAACAGGGCTCGTGGGGCTTGTAGGGTCCGAGCCAACCGGTGATGCGAAAAAGGGCTTGATGTACTTCTTATCCAGTTTGACAAAGTTAGCACTGCACCAAACCAATGGAACAGATAAATTGGTCCTGACGAGAATGGGCCAAGTCCATTGGCTAGCTCATGTTAACGTCATTTTCAGTGTTCCTCACCACTTTCACATCTCAGAACTGTTTCAGTCAATTTGTCGAAAAAAAAGCTACGAGGAGAAAATGGGAGACGCATGGAACACAAAACTACCAGATTCGAAACATAGTGTTTAGTAAAGATAACCTTACTCGCTCTTGAGTCTACGAAGTTTCCTCTGTAGCTTTGCTTTCTGCCTTTCGAGAATGCCCAGCCTAGCATCGTCTTCACTTTCATCGTCAGATGCTTGTACCGGCTGTTACAAGTTCCAGCCAGGTATTACTTCACTATTTAGGCAACGAACTTGTTACTCCATGCATTCAGCTAAAGAAGCAGTTTTTGAAATTTTGACAAACACACTGAAAATAGTTCCCAAATGAAAGCTCGATCAATCGACGTTTTCATCCCTCCCTTAAGAGAGTTATGTCTGCGTGCTCAAATTCTATGGGATAATTACAACAAACAGAGGGAAAGATGACTCGGAGAGTTGTTTCACAACCACAAGACAATCCTGGGCTTCGAATTACAAACTAATGATATAGGAAGTTCTATATCTATGAGGTCTTCTGGTGATTCTATGAATCGAATGTGGTCAGGACAAAGTGGACGGATCCTTACCGTTTCAACACGCTGACTAGGAGGCATGGGTTCCTGCAAGCACCACCGTCACATTCTATGTCAGGAGATTGTTTGAAGACATCCTTGACACCTTCATATCAGACTTCCTCTTAGTTCGGTTTAATACCAACAAAATGTCTTGCTTCACACCAGGTGAACTTGCTCTTCTTACACTTGGTTCCGGCGCATCATGGCCTTCTGATGGTCCACTCATCTCAATCTTCAAGTAAGTGAGGACAAAAGGTGTGGACCCTCCCACCAACAAGACCTGACCAAGAGGAATCAACGAACAACTCAGAAACACTTTCCTTACCCCGTTCAAGCTGATCTTGAGATAGTATTTGACATGTTTTAATATATATATCTCTCATTCTGTGTCAAGTTGTGACAGTACATAATGTATTTGGCGGAATGTGCTGCACATTTCTGTTTTCTTTCACCTTTGAGTCTTTTGGCTATAACAGTACACTTTTAGGACTTGATGCATAAACGCCAGAGAAGCCAGCAAATCATGACCCATAGCGAGCAAGAATGTCAAGAAATTGAAGTGAGTGCCCCCTTATTGAGCAAAAAATATTCAGGACGCTTAGTTGCAAGAACGTGTCCAAATATTCTCACGAATTAGGATTGACAACATTTTTCTCATGCATTAAAACTACTTCGTTAACCCGACTTGACCTTGGATTCGGACGAAAGAGGTAAATAAACTCCAGCTCTGCAAGCCCATTCAAGAGGCAATCACACTATCCACCCGCACTAGAAATTCTTGAGTTGACACCTTCATCTAAGAATCAAGTTCAACTCCATGATCTCCACACAACAGTCCAGCTAGTTTAAGGCGTTGCATTACGGCCACATAATCCATACTTATATTTACATGGTAAGGTCTTTAGGTATATAAGCATTCAAGCCGAGACATTCCTCGAAGAATATTCGACATGGGCTGTGTCTTACTGTGATAAAGATGGTTATCAAGGTTGAGGTAATCCATACAAATATCCACATGGTAAGGTCTTTAGGTGAGTAAGCATTCAAGCCGAGACATCCCTCGAAGGATGTTCGACATGGGCTGTATCTTACTGTGAAAAAGATGGTAAATAAGGTTGAGGTAAGTAACACCCGTCCATGATTGTCAGGGAGATCAGTCACTGACTGGAGGGCCAGTGCGAAAGCCATGGCTCCTCTTAGTCCTGTCAAGGCAGTAGAAACCTTCAGATATAATGGTGATTTTGAACCATATTCTTAACGAGCACTTGAAGATCATCAACTGCGGCGAAGGCTCGAATTGTTACCATTAACTATTTCCGTTCTTAAGTGCAACAAGAGAAAAGTTTACAGCTCACCACTGTACCAGAGAGCATGCTGCTGATTTCGTGGTATATGCAGAGGCTTTTCCCGGTATTTATTCACAATGATCGAACAGGGATAGACATTTAGAGCCCTGCAACCACCCTACAAGGACTCCATCAAGCTCAAAAAATGTATGAAATCTCTTGTAAAACTTGAAATTTAACTTGGGAAACTGACTATGAAAACCAAGCAACTTCAGGGGTGCTGGCTTTTTATAGCACATGAAAATAGGAGGGACTCATGGTGGTATTTACCTCCCAATCAAAATGCTGATCTGTGCATCCAGGAAAAGATCGTACAAGAGAGGTCAAGGAGACATTTCCCCAAGGTCAAGCTGCAACTTAAGGTCAAGTATTCAAGTACACTCACTCTTAAGACCTTGAACAGTCGTGCACTTACTGCTTACATAACCTCAATACAAAGCAGATAATTATGAGGAGAAAATCTTATAGACTGATTTTCATTTAAGATGAATACAAGACTTGTTTCTCATGCCCATGACCATGTGAAGAACACTATTAAGCCCGAAAGAGCACTATTAGATTACTGTATGACGGCAAGCAGCTGATAAACATGTCACAGATATATAAACAAAAAAAAAACAAGGATACAATCGTGAAGAAAGTGAACCCAATATTATTCCAGCTCTGTTGCTCCAGAAACATAGCAACACCCATGTAGATGAATCTGTCAGTCAGAACAACGAACATATTTTATATCTCAGGGGTTTAGCAATCCTTAAGCGCAGGAGAAAGGAGTCATCTGTCTGGTTGTGGTACCTACACAAAAGTTTCTGAAAGTTTGGCGAGCATCTGAAAGAAGCTTGTAGTGATCGTTTGAGCTACAGAAGACATCAGTGGAGCTGTATAGTACTTCATTGTCTGTTTAACAACCAAAATGTTAGTCATACATAGCTCCTATGTAGACCAATCTCACTACCTTTCACCACTGAAAAAGCTGAAGAGATTACCATATGCATCTGAAATTACATCTCTGTCGAGGAAACAGAAGGGTATGGGACTGGTCAAGACAGAATAACGACGGACCTACAGAAGAGATGTTGAAGAACTGATGCATTATCAAGAATAAATAAGTCCTGGTCATATGGTACATACAAGTGGTGGGCATTGTAAGTTGAAGATACAGTCAACTTACAATTCCGCAGAAGAGAATGGCCACGATGCCTGAGAGCTCTAGAGCATCGGCCATCATGTATGACGCGTACGGAAACAACACCATCAGACATGACTCCAAAACTCCAAGTCTGTGCAACCAATTACGACTACTATAAAACATCACATAATTGACGATGGGTAACTACAAGACAATTAAATATATATAATACTAAGTTCAAAACATCTAGAAGGGATTGAAGATGACATCAATCTTCTATGAGAGTTGAATCTTCCCTCTGCCGTTCTCAAACTGAGGTGAATAGATTCAGATTTAGACTGAGGCCCTATTCTTAGCTACTCAATGGCTGTTTCTTCAATTGACTATCATTTAGAAGGGAACCAAAGTTGAAGATAACGACATCATAACGTTTCTTAGCCTCCTCACATATAACTCGCACCGGTAGACTCTCATGAGATCTATGTCGCTAACTCCTGCTGAAAATAACTATGGTACTGCTCAGAATGAACAGACGAATAAAATACTGCTTTTTATCTTTCGTATGAGATTGTAGCACCTAGGTAGTTTATTGAGTTTATCTGAGGACCTAACATGAGGCAAGAAACCTAAAATGTTCAGAAAAAGTTAAGATTTGCGAACCCGTGATCATTCAAACCACCGTATTTGACTAGCAGAGCACTTCCCAAAGCGCAGATTACACCTGAACAAACATGAAGAAGTTTCTTAGTCACAAAATGGCGTCATTGAAACCTCCTATAGTAAGTTCTGAATGATACTTGCAACCTTGCTTTTCCACTGAGGCGGTATATCATATCCACATATCCTCATATCCCCATATCCTTCATGTATGCCATTTGAGGGATGAATTCGGTACGCTGTTTTGAACTTTCAGTTCGGTTCATTTCAAGCTATTCATCAGCAGACTTGCAAAGTCTTACTGCACAAACTAAGAGTAGGTAATGAGCTAAGTACATGCGTCAGAATACTTAGAAAGACAATGATCAAATTAGGACGCATCCGGGCTTGACAATTCTACACGTACCGATGGAGAAGGAACCGATGAAATTTGCTATGAAGTATGAGAATGCTCCAAATATGCCTCCTTTGCTTATCTCGGTGCCAACAAAACTAAGTAGAGTTCTGCAGGAGCAAAAGTTCTGCTTAGCTTTCTGGTGTGAATGTTCTCCTTTTAAGCACACAAAGATTAAAATAATGTTTGTTTTGGGTCCCGTGGGCATCGAAATTTCAAGTAGAGAATTTCCAAATAAAACTTCTTGTCCACAATAATTGCAGTCTTAAAAAGTTCAGCCACGACCTCGACTTTGCTGAACAAGCTGCCGAAAAGCTAAAGAAATAAGTATAATTCTTGTCTCCAAAACCTAAAGACATGAATTTGTAAATTGATTCTTATAAGTTCTTACTTCACCATCTCATAAAAACAAAAGTTTGGGAGAAAACATTGAAATATATATTAGAATTTTGATGTGGGGCAGGCGGCACAGGTTAACCTCTAAGGCTTCCATAACGTTTCGGAAAAAAATTGTGAACAATTCAGATAGGTATGAAGTTCATACCTGTACAGTACGATAGCTACCTGCGCACACACACCAAAGGAGAAGACATTATTCTCAGAGAGCAACCAGAACTCGAGAATCATTACGCAAGAAAATGAACTTCATCCCCATAAGGATCACCCCAGCAGAGAAAAGTCACGGAGGTGCTCACAGCATCGTTGAGAACAGACTCTCCGAAGACGTACGCATACAAGTTCGCGTCAACGCCCAGCTCCTGGTCTCAAGTGAGATAGTCAAAGATGGAGACACTTGTGGGACATGGTTGAGCTTACATGAAACTCAGAAGGTCAAGTTCCCATCTAGAAGTAATCTGATCGTGTTGAGCCAAGAGATCACTCTTCACATCACTCCGCGAATCCAGTATTTAATGATATAATGATTCATAATCTGAGTAATATGATATTCCAGTCTGCTATTGAAGAGAATTGATTTCCTCACTCCAGCAGACGAAAATACTGCGCCAGCTTGGTGCGGACTTCGTTCGGGACTCTTTAGGTTACATGTGATCAAGTATGACTGGAAGTCTAACTTGCCCTCCAAATCATGTGCTACCAAAAATCTGAGCATCTTCTCAGCAGCAAATTTGTCGAATTGATCTAGAACTTTTAGCGGTACTTCTACTTGCACATTAAAATTTAATTTGACCTCAGATACAATAATGGTGTCCTCGTTGAGGTGCTTCAAAGAAAGAAGTCGTTACCCAGTTCTCTATATAGAAAGCTATGTTGAGACGCAGTAGCTCATTTAAAACAAGGATGGTGGTAGATTGATGTAAAGATTCCTCCCTTCTCAACTGTTCAGAGGCTTACATTGAAAAGAGCAAGAACGGTAACAGGATCCGTTGCGGAAATAAGTGCTCCGAAGGTCAAGCACACCATGAAGGGCATGGCGTGCGTCAGTTTTAAGGACCCAAATATCCAGCTGAAAAAGGTATCACGAACGATGACTTTTAGGCCACCCATCGGCAAAATTTGAATACTTTGAAAAGCAAAAGCCACAGAATGCTCATAATTCTTAGACTGTCTGTTTGCAGCATGTGAACAAGTAAATAATATACTCCTGAATTGCCAACTTTTCCGGATAGCGGTTGGAAGGCTGATAGAAGCCCTTCATACATACGGAAATATCTCTTTCTTCGAACACATTCATTTAGCCTTCTCTGATTGAAAGCTACAACAGCACATACTTTCTGATAAATGCGGCATGACGAACAACAAGGTCATTTTCCGACGCCCAAGGTGTGGTAACTTACAGACATATCCCAGTGACAAAAGTAGATACCAAAGTCCCGAGGAACGCAAAAGTACAGATTGCTCCAAAGTTGCCAAAAAATGGTCTCTGCAGAGACACACAACATTTGAGGGGCCAGGAACCACTGGCAGACACGAATGCTACCATGCCTGCGAGTTAGGTCTTAAGCTGAAGCAAGATCTGAGAATAGAGTTATAGAAGAAAATTTAAGTGGAAACAGTAAGCTTACAGTCTTGAGACTCCAGCCTGATTCGGTGTCGGTCATCTGTTAAGGTAGGCACTCAGAAAGGATTCAAACAGAACCTTGCAGTCTAAGGATGACATGTCCTAGAGCTAATGACCCCTTAATGTAAGGTCAGTAAGGAATATCTTCGACATTTCTGTAAGTTGTCTCCAAACTAGCGATCATCAATTTTCCCAACTCAACAGTCTATAAGGATATAAGATGATGGGAGGAAGAAGAAAGTAGAAGAAGAACTGATTGTTGAAATTGATCCACGAACTGCATTACCACCAAGTCAAACGGAAAATCAGGCCACAGAGAATTAGGTCTAAAGCTGCCTTCATTAAATCTTCTGCATTTTACTTTACTGGAAACAGCACATCTTTGCTAGATTTACGCCAAAGGTAGAAAACATGCATTTCATGAAACAACGCGTGGTTTCAGCTGTTTCATCTCACCTAAAACCACTCTCCTCGCCACTGATTCTTACGGCCATTCCAACGAACACACCTGAGAAATTGTAAGTAATTGTAAAAATTGTAAGTAGACTTCAGCTCAATGAGAGATTCTATTTTCGCCATGGCCGTCAACAAAGGGAGAAAAGAACTGAAGAAATACTCTTTTCATGGTTCACCCACCCAAGCACCGGGGATGAAGATATGACTATGACCTGGTTTTGCTAAAGAGCAACACCACTTTGAACAGATCAGACATTACGAGCTGAGATGATGCTGAAGAGCAGAAAGTGATGAGAAGTTTGAGCTCCCCACGTGAAGAAAGTAGGTCCAGAACGGTCGAACAGTCACTGATTGTAAGCGATAATCTTTTGATGAACACAAGTTTACATGAAAGAATCAGTGGAATTTTTGAGAGAGCACATACCCAGAATTAAAGCAGCGCCCGCCTCGTGAACGATCATAATTTTATTTCGCCTTAGAACATGACCGATCACGAACGTACATCCGAGCATAAAAATCTGGACCAGGATAGACACACTCGCAACATATGCTGGCTGCTCATCTTCCTGAACGGAAAGCGAGAAATTCCTCCCAGGGTACGCCAGAATGACCGCCTTCATCATCGCTATTCGGATTCTTCTTCCCTGTGCTCGATGCGATCACGGAGTCTCGGGAGCAAGAACCGCAGCTTTGGCACGCTTCTTCCTCCCGCGAAACGTCATCGCGAAGTGCACAGGCCCGAAGAATTGAAGCTCATCAGTTTCGAAGGTGGCCCGAATCATGCACTGCACTGCAATCCGAGATCGCCCAGAAGAGAAGAAAGGATCAGACGCAGAGACACTTTCGCAAGAATCAGCAGAAAGCTCGTCGAGCGCAAGCTCGGAATTGCGCTCGACGGACCTTCAAATCTCCCGAGGCTGGAATCGAACCGCGCGGGCGAGCGCAGGCGCGGGGCGCGTGCGTGGAGACGGATCGATCGAGTGGACGGAAGAGCGAGCGACGACATGGAAACTCGGGCACTCTCGTGCCGCAGTGCCCGGACGGACGTCGAGAGTCGAGAGTCGAGACTGCAGGAGACGGGAACAGACAGCAGAGCTGAGCTGAGCTGGCCGAGCTCTCATGTCCCATGGCCGTGACCACCAACGGCCAGTTAACCCTTCCTCCGATTTCTTGCTCCTGGTTAGGTTGTCGGTAACCGCGCCTGCTCTCTGGCCAACTCAAGCCTCGTCTGGGTGCCTGTGACCGACATCTCCCTTGTCATTCACATACGCGATTATCAACATGGCACACAGATTTCGTTGAAATTTGCTTGATGTATTTCATTAATATATTCTGAAATGTACTCAAGAAATTACAAAAATGCAGTCCTGAATTTATGAAGAATAATAGACTTACATGTACTATTTTCTACTTACTACTATACCAAAAATTATAAGTGTATCAATTATGCTCATAAGATTATACACAATAAAAATTACTGGGTTTTATGAACTTCTTTTTTGCACTTTTTTCAAAAAAAAATTTAATACAATTTAGTCCAAAAATTTATACATAGTATCAATATAATTATTGAATTTTAAATTCTATCTACCATATGACGAATAATTGTTCAAATATATGCCTGAAATTACTGGGAAATGGTATTCATCAATTCCGTGACAAGCTCACACAATGAGAGAGCTTGTACGCTCGAAACAGAGAGAATCTCATGGTAACTTTCCTTTTGTATGTATGTTGTCTTATCTTCTCTCAGGCGCCTTCGTCAACATATTTGACAGAAGACAACGTGTGTGTGCTGTGCCAAAGTTAGACCTTGTAGGCATCTGCAAAGTCATTGAGAGAATCCGGAAGTAGAAATGGTGGTCCAATACAGTGACATGGCATGTACATGATTGCCACATGATTTTGCATCATGCCTGAAACAAGAATTGTCACACACATCGTTAACTCGGAGATTTGATGAGCAAGTGAACTAGATAAGACCAGTAAAACAACCAAAAGACTTGATGATACTTGGTCTCGTTATTTCTAGGGCCACATCTCAATGGCGACTTGAGCAATCCAGCCTTATCTTATGGTCAAATGTGACCGCACGTCCTGGTAGAACTAGAGTTCTTCTATTTAGATCCAGACCAGTCCGATTTATGATCATCTAGATGCTGCAGTTGCGACTGATTTGAAGAATCATCAAGGCTTTGAGACGTCCTTGGCTCCGTAGAATGTTCAGAACCAAAGGCATGGCAACTTCACGTACATGCTCTCGGCTTGCGTGTTGCTCCAGCACTATGATCGGGATCTTCATTCTACATGGCTTCAGTACTGCAGGTGCTCTGGGAGAATTTATCTGCACCTAGAGAAGGCAGACTACGGATGACACTGTCGATTTCAGTGATTATATGCAAAGTGCTTCAGAGCTGGAGGAGGATTACCTTGTGGCTTCCATTTACCAGCCAGCTGAAGATGTACCTCATCGTCATCGAAAATAGGCAGCTTTACCACGCTACCCATTAGTCGGATGGTGCCTCGGAGTACTAATACTTCTCCTCCTCTTCCCAATACCGTTTCGGACAGAAATGCTAGCTCATCCATTATGTTTTCTGAGTATCCTACAAATAACTTTGGAAATAATAAAATCAATAAACCAGGATGTTAGATATTGAAAACATAAACTTACAAGTACATTGAGTAAATGAAAACCATTTTTTTCAGTTATGATGTAGTTCCAATTAAAATATTGATTATACTTTGAACCAAAATATCACCACAATGTTCAGGTTTAAACTTATACTCTTCATGTTTTATTAACAGCAAAGTAAGTGATGAAAACTTTGATGCAAAACTTGCAGTATAAATTGAAATCCATTTAAAAGGATTCTTTAATCTCATGCCTAGTATAACATATTCATAACATTTAATATGTAAATTATGAAAAAAACTGAATATCATTATATTTCATTTTCAGATATAATTGATTCAATTATGATCTATCAAGACTCATGATATTCATTAGAAATGATATTCTAGTTTAATTCTAGCGATAGCATATTATAAGTTTAATGAACTTGAAAGATAAAATTTAGAAAATAAATTACACTTCTAGTCCGTTGAGGTATAATGATACAGTTTTAATCCTGAAATGTAATGTTAGATTAGAAAAATCATATACCTAGGAAATGTTTTCAAAATTTTAATACATAAATAATCATAAAATTGAATTTTTTTTGCAATAAAATGAAAATTTGTTATCAGAGAAATAGACTAAATAATTTAAGATTTTAAAATGTTGTTAGCTAAAAATAGCCAAGAGGGTCGCTGGGTATAAATACCTTAGCTAATTAGTACAACAGCGCACGACAGGAATTATCGGATTTTTCCGAAGGGACTAGAAGGTACCAGAAAAGACTTGTAGCTGTAGTATATATACTGTACACGTAAGACCTGAGATTACAATCTTTATGCCATCAATGCGAGAATACTGAACACATGGCGCTCTCAAAGTCCGCCTCCAGAGGCCTCGAGCAATTTGGTCTCTTCGTTTTCGCCAATCTCCTGTACACGTCTGACATGCGACTTCGTTTGCAGTTAGTCATGCAAATCCTGGGGTATAAATACCCCAGGATTTGTGTATTACCTTAACACTTTCAGTATAGTTTTCACGTGTGAGGTTTCGATGTGTAAATAACCTCAAGAGGGTGAAGTACGTTATAACCTGGTGTCGGTTGTACGTCAAGAGTGCGAAGCAAGCTATAGGTTTGGTGTAAGATGGTGTCTTGCGCGAAGAGATTTCCCAAGCCATATGCTGTGCGAGACGCAGTACCAGGTATGCGAATTCGTGGATGTAGAGCTGCTCAAGTGCCCGAAAGACAAAAGGTAGAAAAACCTGCAGCTGAGTTGGAGAAGTTGCAGAAGCGCACCCATACTGTTACAGTTCTGTCTGATTCTGAGCGTGATGAAGCAGAGGCTATATGTTCTCCGGATAAGGAGCTACAAGCGGAATTGTCCGACGTTCGTGAAGCAGCTAGTGCTGGGCGGTTTGAGGTTAAGGAGTTATAAGCGGTTCTATAAATTTTGAAAACATCTCATTTCCTTGAGAGTAAGCAGTTTCACTGCTTACTCTCAAGGGAATTGCTTATTCCGTCAAGTTCTATGCATGAAATGGATTCCGTTAGCACTTCTCGGTGTACTCGTGCCATAGTTGTTCTAGTCCATCAACATGAGCCAGTCCCACGACAGCGACGACCTTCCCCGGGTGTACATTCCGATGTTCGGACGTGGAGGAAAGCTGTCACGAAGGAGGTGGTAACGCTTCAGGATAAAGTTGACGCCTTGTTGAATGGCCGAGAAATTGCGGAAGTGGAACCTGACATGCCTGATCTCCCTCTCCAAAGCGTGAAGGAGGACACTGAAGACGTGCGAGGAGAGTGATGATGATGTGATGACCGCTAGCGGAGAAAAGCGAAATGCCAACTTCATCTCCGAGTCTAAAGACCGACTCTGTCGAGGAAATTGTTCAGGACCAATTGAAACTTGAAGAGGAGGAGGCTGGATGTCAGTCGGGTGAAAAGGTTACTGCGTCAGTTAAATGTGGCGATGTCGAGGAAATCGATCTGGCCAATTCCGACATCTGCAAGAGAGAAAGTCTCTCAGATTCGATAGAAGACGATGAGTCTCGACTGGAGGCAGAGGGAGGAAAAGGTGGGAATATTGTCGAAGAAAAAGAAGTAGGTGTGGAGCTGTTGAGTGTCTGGAGTAGTGGCACAAGAAAATTCTTCCAGGCATGCCCATGCCCCCCTTTCAACGTCAAAAGGCATGCCCCAGGATGCCCGTATTAAGATACGTATATATGTTACGTATCCGAAAGTGTACTTTTATATAAATAAAGCACTCTTACAAGAAAAACTGTTAAAAAGCTCTAGAGATACGTATATATTTGTTCGTACGTATGACCATGCCTTGTAAAGAAGAATGTGAAGAATGCATGCCCCCGGGGGGGGGCATGCCTTTGAGGTTGTGCCTTCAACTCTGGTCTGGAGGCTGGCGAGTTGGTGTTGGTATCTGCACATGCGTCTGGCGGAAAGACGGTTGTTGCTGAGTATGCCATTGCAATGTCACTTCGTGACAAGAAGCTTGTTGTATATATCTCACCCATCAAAGCCCTCAGTGACCAAAAGTTACAGGAGTTGGTCTACAATAGCAGCAATTGTGAACCGGAGGTTTTCTCTTCTTGCAAGGAACAACTGGATTTTGGGCTACAGGTGGTGGTGACTATGTTCACAGGCTTTGCGTTCGGATATTCTGTCTCCAGGTTGCAGTTTCGTGATATCCCTGTGATTCAAGCGGCAGGGCCGACCGGAGCGGCCGGGCGAATGGCAAACTCTCCCACTCTTGTCTGATCAGGTGACGGCGGCAAGCCCACGAACGGCAGGCCTCACCGAACCGGGGCCGTATACCTCATGAACGGCCGCGTGGCGGGTCCCCAGCTCCCCCCACTCCCGCGCGGCCTGTGCGACAGGCGGTCCAACGGCGGTCGAACGCGGCCTGAGCAGGGCCGAGCGGCGAGGCCCCCACTCCCGCGCGGCAAGTCGGACGGCCGCGCGTCGCGGGGAGGATCCGTGCGCTATATGACAATTTTTGTAGATAATTATTCAACAATTATTTTTTTCTTCAAAAAACTTTAGTCCATGATTACAAGGCCCAATGCAATAATAATGCTTGTGATATGTTTAAATAGTTTACACTTCTATGTTTTTCAATATTCATCATTGATTCTTTAGCATTTGAAAATTAAACAAATTCTGAGCTTCCAACATAATAATCAATTCCCAAATGAATTTCATATTTAGGTTCTTGGGCATTTTATGATCGATAATGCGAAAAAGTAATGAAATTCCCATTCTCAATTCTATACTAATAAAAAAGATAGAAGTATTATAGTTGGTGTATATGGATTTTTTGTGCACTTTACGCATTCTACAGGATTCGAACCTATGACAGTCGACTTAGAAGTTTTTTACTCTATCCAACTCTTCAAGATTTTTCAAAATTTTTAGAATTTTTTTACTCGATTTTTGTAATTACAACGCATTCGCCTCTACATGCAATAATCAAATTCATCAATACTGTACTTTTGATCTAGATCTACTTTCATATCTTTAAAAAAACTAATACACTCATTTTACACCTGATGCTTATCATAGAAATGTAATCTTTCAACTTTACTTCTTTCGCGTGGACCTCTGGAGTACTCCGCTTTACATGATCAACAAAAGATTTTTTTTTAAATGACAAGTATAGTATTGGTTGTCTTGATTTCTTTCATCTTCATATAATACCGCGTTTAAGTCAAGTAGATGGTTTAAATAAATCTAATAATCTACATCAACTTTGAAATTAAATAAGTTATTAGGTGTTAAAGATAAAGCTCTAAGAGTCCAATTCACTTAGAAATTTTCAAATTTGATTGATTTGTAAATTTAGAGGATTGTTGAGTTTAATTCCAATCCAAAATAAAGTAGTTCCAATTCCAAGTAAATTCGAATCCTAACTATATATAAGTAGGATGTTTGCAAATTCAAAGAATTGTTGAAATTAATTCCAATTAAAAAATAAATTATAGTTCTAACTAAATATATCAACACATTTACAAATTCAGAGAGTTTCTGAAATTGATTCTAATTAAAGAGTAAATTCGAGTCTTATCTAAATATAACTAGTACGTTGATAAATTTAGAGAATTGTTGAAATGAATTCCAATTAAAGAATAAATTCGAGTCTTAACTAAATATGACTAGTAAGGTGATAAATTCAGAAAATGGTTGAAGTTAATTCCAATTACAGAGTAAATTTGAATCTTAACTAAATATACCTAGATGATCGGGGGTTAATTACCATAGTTTAATACTGGAATAGTTAATGCTCACGGATCTTTCCCGGTGGAGGAATACCTCTTGAGGATGAATGTGTCTGTCGTGTTTATCGCTTGAATTGAGTGTTTCACAGTCCGTTATTGTCACCTTCGAAGATGGACAATCACCGTCCAGCGCGTTCACCTGCCCACAGCTGTTCGCGTGGTCGATTGTGGTTGCCCCTCCGACCGCAGAAAGTATAGGGCGGTTGGGGGCGACGCCGTGAATTTAAAATTACACTCTAAATTTACATTTACTTTGCACCGCCTGTATATTTACAGGCTCTCGGCCCCAGTCCCGCCGGCCTGAGCAGAAAGACCGGGGCCGCTCCGGCCTCTGTCCTGCCGCTCGGAGGGATGCGGTTCAGACCGCGTCGCCCTTCCCTGCCGCTCGGGGAGGGGTTGGAATAGCGTGCCACTATGCCGGCCCTCCCAACCTGCGGCCGCACCGATCGGCAGACAGGCAGGCTCAAGTAGGCTTGGCCACGGTCCGGTTAACGGTTAACCGGTCCGGGAAATGTGCGGACCGGTTAACCGGTCCAATTAACCGGTTAACCGGTAAGTTAACCGGTCCGGCATTTTGCGTTAACGGTTAACCGAGGTTTTAACCGGTTAACCATCTGTCCCGACCCTACGACGGGAGGGGCTGTGGCCGGGAGCGAAGGAGGAATTGCGCAATAGCTCGAGTACTCAAATGAGCCCCCACTCGGACTGTTGAAAATCCTCCCGGTTGAAAACGCTCTCGAATTGGAGAGACTTCGACTTTGCGCCAGGGTGCAGAGAAGCTGGAGAAACACATCCGAGCTTGAGATTTATGCTAGGGATTATCCACTTATCGAATTGGGTGATAAAAAAATTTACTTATTTATTTGCAGCAGAATTAGACCAGCGAGGCTCGCTGGTCTAATTCTGTTGCCAGAGGAAATTTTTTTCCCCGGACCGGTTAACCGGTCCGGAGAAATCTGGGACCGGTTAACCGTCGGTCCGGACCGTGGCCAAGCCTAGGCTCAAGAGAGCGAGGAGTGTCGTCTAGCTAGAAGACGGACGGAGCGTGTGTGTGCGAAGTTTCCATCCGCTCTCAGATGATTTGCACCAGAGGTGCTGAGATTTGTATGCACTTCCACACAACAAAACGCTCCATTCCCACGCTGAGTTTCTTCAGCCTTCAAGGCCAACATCCTCCACTTGGCTCCTGACGCTCTGACTGTCACAGTGAGAACGGTCGCTGTTCAGTTGGGGGAAAGACGAACCTGTCAGTTCGGCGAGAGACCCCTCGCAACCAAGATACGCTACACAAGTCTACTGCTGAGCCAGAAGCTAGATTCCGATTCCGATTTCGAGCGGACAGCGGATTCAGAAAGTAAGATTCTCCATAAGCCTAGCGTTGTTTGTGGTACGGCTCTACTTGAAGGGGTCTTTATTCCGTTATGCTCTATACTTCATACGTCAGACAAGGGGTATTAACCGTACATCGAGGCCGTCCGTCTGACAAAAGTGCAATGGCTGACAGTGCTGAGTTTGGCGGAGCTGAGTAGGAGTCCATGAAGACCACTAGGCAGCTCGTATCTACGCTGCGGTGTTGACTCCAAAGACAGCTGTCTCATGTGAGCTTCACGTGGAAGTTCTCGGAAGAACTTCACGTGCCGCACGACACCATTCTGTCGATTAAAATCGAAACTGACCACCGATCAGCGTGAAATTGATACAAACTATCAAGTTTGCTGCTCAATTCGAAGCTTGCTCTTGACTGTGTAAGACCTGTTTTTCTTCCCGTCTTCCACCAACCATTGCATGTCAGAGTAATGAAGTTCTTACAAAGTTGCAGGGAGGGAAGGCGGGAATGGGGTAGCGAGAGTATATTGAATAAAATTGGAGGATGAATGTCAGGTCTTCACTGGTGCCTTCATATATGAGAGTGGAGAATTACGTTGTACATGAATATTTAGGATACGAGTCTCCGGTTGGTATGAAGTGAGGATTTGGAACATGTCTCTGCTTATGAAAGTTGCAGAAATTTGGAGTTAAGCTAATCACTGCTGCCCTTCATGAGTTCTGGCTGTCTGCTAAGTCTCGCGGGAATAATTATTCCGAATTCTGCTCTCACTAGCAGACTACTGGCACTGAGGTCGCGGCCGTTGCTCAAATCGGCCACGGTTGCACAGCGTTTGGGGAGAGGTGTTAGCGCGAAGGCCCCCAGGAATATGGAAGACTCCGTCGAGCCACCAATCTTTGAGACGTGTTCGAGTCCTTGGGAAGACCCCCTCCTGTCACGATTCTTTGGGTCGAGTTCGACTCCTTGGGAAGACTCCCTCGAGTCATATTTCCCCGATATTGTCGCAGCCGAAGCAACTGAGCTGAACGTGCCGCTGCTTGCCCCCTTTAGAATTGCCACAACGAAGTTAGAAGTCGTGCGGAATGTGGCGGTTCGAGTGGCGCTAAGGGATGGGAGTGTTGGATGGGGGGAGATTCCGACACTTCCCCCGGTGACAGCCGAGGATCAACCAACAGCTCTCAAGAAGGCAAGAGAGGCTTGTAAATATTTGAAAGAGCTGAAGGGAATTCAACTGAAAAAGGTCCTTGAAGCTCTGGCCGAAATCTGCCCGGGCCACGAGTTTTCGTCTGTAAGTTACAAGGCCCAATCGACACTATTGCAATGTGATCGCTTTGTGGTGTTTCAGATCCTACGATTGTCATTGTCAAATATCGTGCCTTGACTTCCACGGAATGTTGTTTGCAGGTCAGAGCAGGGTTAGAAATGGCGGTGGTTGATGCTGTAGCTCACAGCCTCCAACTACCTCTCTGGAAATATTTCGGAGGGTGCAGCAAGTCAATCAGCACTGATATTACGGTACAGAGTATAACCCTTTACTCTGTTAAAATTATCTATTTTGGATAGTTTACAGTTCGAATGAAATCTGATCATCTATACCATGCTTGCTTGGGTACATCCTGAAGGAATCTGTCAGTTGTTGGTCATGTTAAAGTAGGTATTATAAGAACGTTGATATTTTTTGGTGTGGATTGAAATATGTCAGAGTCTATTGGCGTATACTGGATGGAGTTTTCATACACTGTGGTTATATCTTCCAGCAGCAGCAACTAAAACTCTTGCAGCATTCTCACTCAGTTATTTCCTTGTCCATCAAATTCCCCGTACAGATACCAATTTGTCCGCCAGAAGAGGCTGAAATTCTAGCTCGCTTGTATTATGCAAGAGGCTTTAAAACAATCAAGACTAAAGTCGGTGGAAGGGCAATTTCTTTAGATATCGCTCTGTTGAAAGCGATCCGACGAGGACATCCCACCTGTTCCCTTATCTTGGATGCCAACGGTGGATACGATTCCAAATCAGCCCTCTATGTTCTCGACGAGCTGCATGGTACACAAATTGAACCTTTATTCCCTCACTGTGGAAGGAAATGTGGTCGGATTACCATAAATTCTTTCATAATGTATGACGTCTTAGTCTCAGAAGATTCTAACAAATATTTGGAGTTCCAAAGCTTATGGGCACTTGGGTTTTTGTTGCATGATGCCAACAGAAGAAGGGTTGTTACCATGTCTATTTGAACAGCCAGTCCCGAGAGAAGACTGGGAGGGTCTTGGCCGTATCAGCAACATTGCAAGACAATTTTACGGGGTTTCGGTGGCAGCTGATGAGAGTTGTCGAGACGTCAGCGATGCGAAACTCATCATAGAGGGAGGCTTGGCTGACGTGCTTAACATTAAGTTGGCTAAAATGGGTCTTTTAGAAGCTATGGAAATAATCAGGATGGTGGAGAAGTCAGGGCTGGGATTAATGATTGGTGGCATGGTGGAAACGCGGCTTGCTATGGGCTTTTCTGCGCATCTTGCGGCTGGTTTGGGAACCTTCAGGTTTAAGCTTCTTCATAGAATCACCTTTTCCACTAGATTTAGCATTTCTTTGCTTCCCCATTCTGTTAATTTGCAGTCCTTTTCATTTGTTGCTGTATTCCTACCGTTTCAGATCGTCTCACCATATTGTTTGAAACAGCTTCATTGATCTCGATACCCCTCTGTTACTGGCTGAAGATCCTGTCCATGGTGGATACGAAGGTGAGCTTCTCCAGCTCTGACAGATATCTTCTTGCTCCTTCTTGACCATCCTGATGATATGAAACAACATGTGTTTGTACTGGTCTTGTGTTGCACTAGGTCGAAGGTCTGTAGGTCCAACCCTAAAACGTATGACTAACGTCACCCAACCAAACCGTGGTCCTTTGCGCAGCTGATGGTGCTGAATACAAGTTCACGAATGACTTCGGAAGTGGCAGCTTTCTCTGAAGATTGATCTCTAAATGGATCCTGGATTTAGAAAGGTAAGTATGAGGGTAGATGTTTTGATAGTTCATATAAAAAAGGCTTCTTACGTTTCTGGATTCAACTGATACTCAACAAACCTTGTCGAAGATGGTGTAGCTTGAAGACGTAGAACATTGAGAATGTGTATAGGGTTTTAATGGTATTTATCTGTATACGTTCATGTATACAGGGCCTTCTCAATTTCAGAAAAGTATGTTTAAACTTTTCTGCCACACATGGGCCTATGGTCATATATTGACTTTTGAAAGTTGTTGCAAACAACTAGGAGTCACCTCCAGCCTTCCCACTCTACTTTTCACGTTTTGAATGAACGATCAGGTTTTTTAATATCTTGCTTTTTTGTTGTTATATACAGATATATTCTTTTCTACAACGGCTCATTGTAGAGGAGTCGGAAGGTTGAAGTGAAGTCTGGCATGAAGTGAAGGAACGGTTGAGGACAGGGCTTAGAATACACCGATTGTGCCTCTGCACTAAATTGGCAACAGCGAAGCATGTGCATAGAAGATAAATGTTTCAGTGCCTCATCTAGATCTCGATGCAAGCCAAATCTGAATTGAGGAAAAAACCACGATGTAGGCCCCACCTACTGTACAGATGATAGATTAGGGGCCTACATTAACATTTATTCAGTGGCACAATTTGTACATTAGCCAACGGAGCGGTTTGGTACTAGGAGATGTTCTAGGCGTCACTTTTTGCGTAGGTCTCAGATCTTAAGGTTGCCTATACTGTACTGTAAACTATATTGTCCACAGCGTGGGCACTGCGAACGATCCAAGGCATTGTTTCAACAATAAGTATCACGCTGTAAATTAGGAGGATTCTTTATAAGATGCATCTTATGTATCCCACCACTGCAGAAAACAGTAAGCAAATTTATTACTTGATGTGATTGACTAAGTACGGACCCTTGTAACCTTATTGGCTTGCAGATGACATTTGTTGCGGAAACAGTGGTTAGATAGATGTCTGCTTGCGTAACCCACTATGGAAGCTTGTGGGGTTTACGTTGCAATCTCTTGATTTTGTTGTTAGATTCGAATCCTCGTAGAACCTAGGTAAAGGTAGACAAGAATGAGAATGGCGAGGAAATATGATAACTATAGACACCAAACCTTTTCTATCGCCTATCGTTGAATTACATCCACCTCTCGTAGAACTATATCCACTTCTCTCAAGGCGTTAAAAGAAAGAAAAGGTGTAAGCTCTATGTCAAAGAAGCTAAAAACTAGACCAAACTAAACTGAACTCATAAGTGAAGTCTAAATCTACGTTCAGGTGTTAAATAGAGGATTTGAGTACTGCCCCATATACATGTTGGGCCAAAATGCAATGCATGTGATCTGATGTCGTCAAATTATTGACGACATCAGATTGACCTTTGTGACAGGGTTTGGGTATGATGATGACCCTTCTTAAAGGATAGAGAAATACCCTTCATATGAGAAACAGAAGGTAAACCTGTGAAATATATCGCAAGAATAAAAAATGATTAAAAGAAACGAATATGCATCACATTTTGATAATAACGATAATTACAAAAAGAATCAACAAAATCTTCTTTGTGTTGTAAGTGTCTTGCAAATTTATATTCGGTATCACTTTAAGAAAATTAGAGATATATGGACATAAAGTTAAGGGTGAAATTCCTGACATCAAAGAATTTGAAAGAATTTGGTATGTTTTTGGCGAAATGTACTATCGACAGGGTCTAATACGCAATTGTCAGATACCTGCAATTTCTTGTTGACCTATATACTAAACACATGAAGCACTGAAAGTTGCAATTTAAAGAGAGATGTAATTGATAAGTCCCCTGACAAGTTTCGCTCCTTAATAAACTGTAAAGGGAAAGATTGATTCGATCTACTGAATACTAAAAGGATTTGCAGTTTTCATGAATCAATTTTACTTTTATCAAAAATATGAAAAACTTAATTATGGGTGGTGTAGACATATTCTGTGTTGAAAAGAAGTTTTCATCAAAATGAGATAAAATGACAAATGTTTGGACCTAGCTCGCGAAGATTCAGCTCGAAGAATGTGCTTAACAAGATGTAACTTTTCGGTGTTCGTTTGAAGCTGAAAGAAAGGGTACTACATGAGGAAATTATGTTGATTTCTGCAGCAGAGAGTGAGATTTTATGTTGTTTTTGAATTTCTTCCTTCCTTCATAGAAGGTTAAGCGCAGTTTCAGTATACATTATAATAAGAAAATAAGGATATAAGAATATTCCACGTAAGAGCCCTCGATTTGGCGCCTCTGGAATCAATGAAAGCTTCATGCTGGTAGCCCTGGCGCCACTCTTCTAAAACGAACGCGAAACAGATCGACAATCACTATAATCTTTCAAAAGCTTCCAAGATTCGTGAGAACTTCATCATGGAAGCTCAAGGTATACTGTCATGTATGTGACTTCCGCATAATAATGTATATACGGTAGCTTTGGGTAGACGCACCAACACAAGGACCGATTTATGAGTGACTCATGCTCGCGGAAGACGAGTTCTGGTGGGCGCCGCCAGTGTCTGCAGAGGCACTCATGGCTGTGATCCAGTAACTAATATATCCACTGTACCCTACTACTATTGTTTTGAAGCACTTTATTCTCGCTAGGTGTAACTCAGGCTGAGCCTTATTTATGTGAACCAGGTAGAGTTGAATGATGTAACTTAGAGATGAGAGCTGAATGTCTTGGGGCTAAAATCTACTCTGAGCGATCGAGATATCCAAATCCAGCGAAGTCAGAAGAGACCAAAGGAAACGAAGATGCCTTAGACTCTCCCCTTTGTTAGTCTCTTTCTCTCAGATCTGTAATGTTGTTGGCATTCAACTCATGAGTGCGGATGGTAACATCTAACTGCTCAAATGCGAGTCCAGCTGCTGTGGAAGAGCCAGTTCTTCCTGCGAATTCAGGGCAAGGAAGAACTCGGAAATGCATGAATTGAGCTCGTTCATGCAGCTTTGCATCGCAGACGAGGTGTCGAAGCTGGAGTTGTGGCCGCAGTACCGTGGGTGGCGATTGAGAGCGAGTCTGTGCCGCCGTATCCAGCATCCGCAGAACTGATTTCTCTAACTACCCTAAGTATCGAGTCTCAATCTCACGAACTTAATCTGAATAAAACACGACAGAACTTTAGACAAATAACACAAAAGAGCAAAGAATTAGCGTCCCTGCCAGAATAGTGAACTATCTGAGAGTACGTCAGTCATCAATCGCACATTTGCAGTGTTCTATGGCTGGTCTCGTCCCACAGGACAAAGAAGGCAAGCAGAGAAATTCGAATGCATGGAGTTAGAACGCGGTAGGCTCTAAGTGCAACATTTAAGTGATGAACTTCGAGGATCAAGATGTCCATAAGATTCAAAACCGACTGCGCAACCTTTATCACGATAGATAATAGTAGTATATAATGTCGACACGAACCATCGTTCTGCCAAGCCTTCTCTTTGTGGCTAATCTCAGTTTAAGATCCGGGAAAAGTAACAGAAACGCGCAGTCACTGAAAAGTCTTGCGAATAAACAAGGCTTTGCAGTTTCGGACCAGGCGTTTTAGTGACGGGCTGCTTCGCTGACTGTTCGAGGTCAGCAAGCTCCCGTGATATTTTCACTCTAGCACAACCGGAGTAGTTGAAACTGCATTGCAATCAGTTGAGGGTCCAGAAGAGCTATCGTGAAGTGTGTAAGACTCGACAGGTGATGGCTGGCCCGATCGAAAACAAGTGAAATGATCTGTCGATTGAGTTCTCCGGACCTTCTCCTTGTGGAGACTAGAAAACCAAGAGCCTTCTACTGCTCGTACTACTGATCACATCGTGCCTTTTAGCTTCAGTGAGACAAAATTCAGATTTCAGACGAATCTATTAGAAAATCAGGCTCGAGAACACGACTAATGTTCTTCTCTCCTTCAACTTTCCGGCCTCACCACACGAAACATCGACAAGTCAAGTACCTCCGTACACGAGCTCATTAGAAGCTCAAACCTTTGAATCAAATCCTGTCTTATCCAAGAATGCATCAATTGAAAGTGAATATTATGATCAATTTTGGAAGATTTAAATAATATCTTTCTTTTCCACTGCCGGATCCGTAAAAGGGAAATTAAAATGGGTGAGGCAAGTTGCTATGTTCCTTACGCTTAGCCAATAAGAAATATAAGCAATTCGTTTCTTTATTCTGAAACGAATACAAAGAAATCATTTTTATAAAATACAGTCACAGCTACTGCGAAATTTCAATTTCCAGGAGGCATGGGCAACATTCCGAGGCCGCTTATGTCCTACCGTTGGTTAGTCCTATAGCCGTTAGCGGCCCGCTCCTTTCGCGAAAGCGCAGCCGGTGACGTTGCAATGACCAAGTACAGTAGGTGTGGACTACTGATGTGTTACCGGCTTGTGCCTACCGCGACGCTCACAACGACCGGCGCTGCTCCGCGCGCTACGAGAGTTAAAGTAATTGGGCTCGAGTCGGGCAGCTTACCAACCTAGAGTGACCTGTCGCCCTGCCCGAGGTTGGCGCGTGTCCGTCAGTGGTGGGGTCGAGTCATTGTCCGAGGTCCTCGTTCCTCTGCAGACTTCGAAGGAGTCCAGTGCTCTTTCTTTTAGACATGGGGGATAGCAATTGTGCTCTTAGTCGCCACTTTCCCCGCCCAATTGCGCTCGCCATTTCGTTCTGCACAGTCTCGCTGTCCCGCTGCTGAGTTCGACGGTTTGTGATGGTCCGGTCGACGTGTTTTGCGGCGATTCTTGGCCTGGTATGACCCACTTCTGCAGTAAATTCTGTAGCTGTCGTTTCTTGCAGGTAGTGAGTAAATTTACCTTTTCGTTATGTTCAATATTCATTGTTGCCCACATGCAGCCGTCTATCTTTCTTCTGTCGTCGTCAGCCTTCGTCGGTCATATTCTTGGATTTACTCCAAAAGAACTTGCCTTTTGGGCAATATTCTGGTGAGGTACTGATGTCACTTTGATAGAATATTGTATTTTAGTTGTCCCGACCCGTTTTCCATGCAACCTTCGTTTGAGCTGGAAGATAACCATGACCTATTCATTCAGTTATCCTTCTACTGTAAGTGATAGTTTGAGAGTCCGGTGTAGCATTTTTCCTTTCATGAGCTTTCCCGGTGCTGGACTCACATGCAAATGCTACTGTTTCTCTGGTGATCCCATCCATTTAGTGCATCTCGTTCTATCGCATAACGACAGCTTTTGATTTGATGATGTTCTATGCCATATCCCTGGGAGAGAAGCTAGCTGACAGAGCAGGCTGTTGTCTTTTAGCTTGTCTTCAAAGACTGCGTTAAAGCTTTTGACTTTCTGCACCAAATGTAGCTGCGTCAAACACTGGCTGAAACTTGCTCCTAGCACTAGTCATCTCGTGCCTTCACTTCATCCGTGTACTTCGCTTGCATGCGATGTTAACACCCCCGGAAATTCGATTCTGCAATCAGAGCTAGTAGGATGCAGGGAAGCTCAATTGGTCGATGTTCTTCTTGTGAGTCTCGGGAGCCCGCCTCTGTTCACCACCGTATGACACAACTCCCACGGGTTGTTGGAGCTTTCGGCGTGGTCTATTTCTGTACATTTGAGCTACCACAATCAGCTGAAAGAAATCAAAATTTCACACTGCAATTCGCCTCAGGGTCATTTCACAGGAAGTTCTCTTCGAGTATTATGATTTCTTGCGGGTAAATCAATACCTCTAGTAATCAGCTCCGTGACGCTGGGACTTCCTTCTCTAGCGAAAGTTCTAGGGTTTTTGTAACTGTAGATGGGAGCTGGAATCAGAGCGATGTCGAGTGGAATTTGCTTCACATTTTCCTCTGTTTCGTTTTACGTCCATTTTTCGTAATTCGATACGCCGTAACGGTCTCGCTTGCCCAGCTCACTTTCTTTTTTGGTTCTTTAATGGCAGGCAATCAATCGACAACGCCACAGTTGACAGAGTGCTGAGGATTGCAGTTCTGGCCTTCATGACACTAGACATTGCGTAGTGCGGTCACTTGTTAATGCTGGCATCGCACATCGACAGCGACTGCAGTAGAGCAGCTCTCGCGTGCTGGATTTTTAGTGGTGATAAGACGGAAAGTCGCGACGTATTATACGAAGCGAGACAGTCAGAACCCTCTTTTGTTAAACCCTGGGCTCATGGAGCCTGACGATCCAGTGTGGATGGAACTGGACAGTCCGACATCTGGGCCGCAAACTAGTCAAAATGGATTGAATCCCGGGAATTCTTTTCCTCTCAGAACTCCGAGCACAGCCAGTCGCGTCGCGCGTGGGACTCCGAGCACAAGCGGCGAGCAGGCATCGGCCTTGAAAACTTTTGGTCCAATGAAAGGGAAACCACCTGTTTTAACGGATGAAGAGAAAGCGGAAATTTATAAGAGGCACGAAGCAGAGGATGAAAGACGCTGGTTCGTTGCGAAATCTTTCTTCGATGCCAGATCCCTGGTGGCAGATCATATTACTTCTTTCAATAACTTCGTCGGGAAAGGAATTCAGAAAATGTTTGACGAGTCGGAGCCTTTCGAGGTGCAGCCCGAGACCGCATATGGTGTAGAGGGTGGAATTCGGAAGGTTGTCATCCGGTTCACCGACATAGAGTTGAACAGGAAGCCTGAAGTAGAGCACGAAGACAGAGAAATTTCGCACCATACTGATGAAGTGGCCAAACCAGCTGATGAAATGGCCAAACCAGCGACTCCCGATGATCTTGACAAAGGAAAGTACAGCAAGGGAGGGAAGGTGAGCGCCAACTGGCTTGCAAATACCGAAAGTAATGGCGACGCTGGTGCGTGGGACTCCGAGACTCCGGAAGCTTCTGTTCGCGGAGGAGCAAGTACGAGTGCAGCGGGTGGTGGTGCTTGGGGTGAAGACGATACCGTTGTAGGGAAAGGGAAGGGCAAGTTTGGCAAATCGGGCAGCAAGTGGGATAAAACTATGAAGCCAAACGATGTTTTATATGCTGATCAGCCTGGAGCTGGGGACGGTGAGTCTGTAGTTGGAAAAGGAAAGAGAGGCCAGTCTTTTACCAGCTGGGAGAAAACAACGAAACCTAACGAGGTCATGTTTGCCGACCAGCTCACAAACTCCGAAGCTCCGAATCAACAATCAGACTTGAACTTTGACCTGGACATTCCATCCGACGTAGCGGGAAAAGATTTAGAGGACCTCATACCGAAAATTTCTGCGTCAATGGATGAGGATCCAGCAACAGAAGGCTGGGCCCAGGAGAAGGCTTCAACTACAAATGCGGCGAATGGAAGTGTTTTAGACGAAGATCCTGATAGTCCTGTCATTGGCCGTCGAACTAGAAGAAGCAAGAGACCCAAGTTGGATCTTAATGATGATGGCGAGGATAAATTTGAAGAGTTCATTATGAAAGTTCCTGTCAAGGAGAATCCAGCCGCAGAATGTCCCGCAAATGGGGAACCGACATACAAGGAGTGTGGAAAGGAGATACGCGAGGCCAATTACAAGCTCTTGCCGGTTGAGGCGCGGCTCAGGGGCATAACGTATTCATCACCAATTTACGCGAAAGTTACCATGGAGGTTGTATTCCAGTGCCTACTTTTTTCAATTGGGAAGGGCAGAATCAATCTCTTGGAACCTGAGCTTCATCTTTCATGTCATGCATCGTAAGGACGTTGAGACCAGATTTTCCAGGCTGTCAGAACCCGTGAAGCCTGAACATCTAAGTTCTGCTTGTGACGATCAGATGGAAGTAGCCACTTGATCTGGTGAACTGGGCAAAACATTGGATGTCACCGTCAGTCCCATGGTGCAATGTCGTCAGTAAAAGCAACTTTCTTCATGCCAAAGCATTCAAGTATTATATTAATCATTTTTTTGAGATTTCCAGCTCCAAACGTAGTAGTGTACCTCGGCGGCGGTCACTTCTTCCTTGTGGGGTGAGGGATTTTACATCTGCTCCTCTGAGATCACCTCACTTCTCTCATGGACTGTTCTCTGTGTACGTTCTCTGTGTAGGTTCATCACCCTCGTACCGAATACCAAAGGAAAGATAAAGCCTCGTCTTCCACTCCTAAGTTTGACTCTGGTCAAGTTCAAGTCATCGAAGAGAGGGTTCTTTTGGGAAGGATTCCTGTGATGGTGAGGTCTTCTTTGTGTCATCTGGCTCAGAACACAAGCTCCGAGGACTCACCAAGGGAGCATGGTGACTGCTGCCTGGATCCAGGGGGTTATTTTATAATCAAAGGCTCCGAAAAGGTATGTTGATATGGGGATTAACTGCAGCTCTCATTTGATTAAACCTGCAGTTCGATGATGGATGTTGGGTGGAATGTGGTAAAATTCTTGCTTAGTTTTGGCTGGTTATGGTTGCTTCCTGCAACTCTGCACAGGTTATAGTTGCTCAAGAGGAGCGAAACGGGCACCGGGTTTGGCTGTCGAATAATAAAGGGGTCTGGATTGCTAATTACGTGTCAAGGCGGAAGGGCTTCGGCAATTACAATTACCAGAGGACATTGGTTAAACTCACACCTCCGACCAAAAAGATCAGTGCCCTGCAGACGAGTTTTTGGCCTCTTTTCACAGTGGTGCTTCCAGGCATTGATCCCATTCCCTTAGCTTTGCTCTTTTGTGCCCTTGGTGTCAAATCTGATCGAGAAATCATCCAGATGATCTGCTATAAAGACTCACAGAAGAAAAGCGAAGATGAATTGGATAAGATGAGGGACGAAATGCTGTTCCTGGATCCGGAGATGGTTCAAATCGTTGCTCCTTCTTTGAAAGATGCAGACAACCAACTTGCGAAGTCTTTCAGTGACTGGGACGAAAATAGTTATCAGACCTCTAAACGTGACGTAGATATTGCGTTGTACTATATTGGAAGCAGAAGCGTGAAGAAGCCCGACCCCGATGAGCGGTTGAAACATGGACAAGAACTGCTCAAGAAAAAGTTTCTACCACATGTGGAGGGCGAGCGAAGTAAGGCTTATTTCCTAAGCTATATGGCGCGACTTATATGTTTGGGTTACTTGGGACGTCGCCAACCAACTGACAGAGACGACTTTAAAAATAAGCGTCTTGAGTTTGCTGGTGAAGTCATTTCTCATCAGTTTCGCAAACTCATGGGTCATGTACAGAACACAATGAGGAAAAGGATACAAAAGCATTTAGGAAAGAACCAGGATCTCGCATCTATCGAGAAGTACGTGGAAGATAAACTGATAACCAGAGGATTTAGAAACTCTTTCTCCAGTGGTAACTGGATGGGGCATGATATGATGAAGAATTCAGGAATAGTGTTCGATCTGAAGAGAGGAAATCCGATATCTACCTTGTGTCAGCTGCGTGAGCTGAGACAGTATGTCCCACCGACCGTCAAAGTGGGAGAAGATGCACGCCACCCGTAAGTTTTCTTTGACGCTCATGAATTTTGTACTTTGGTGCCTGCTTGCTGCAGAATTCATCTCCTCACCTTTCCAGTCATGTGTTGGTGAGGCTCCGTAAAATGTGGAAAAAGCTCCGTGCAACATAATCTATCAGAATTTTTTCATATTACTAGAGCAGCTGTGTACATTGGTTCTGACATTAGGTGTCTGCGTGCATATATGTGTTTCTGTTGGGTCAACAACTTCGGTGGCGATAACTCGAATTACCTTGACATTCTGACTGTTCGTTCAGGACCTTCTCTCAGTGGGGTCGAGTGTGTCCGATCGATACGCCTGATGGGGAGTCTTGCGGTCTAGTTAAAAATATGGCCCTTACTGGGATTATTAGCTCTGCTGGTACAGAAGCACCTGTATTTGACGCCTTGGAAAGTAACGGCGTGGAATCTCTTGAGGATCTCTCTTCCAATACTATATGGAGAGTAACCAAGGTGTTTGTTAATGGGACATGGGTCGGCGTTGTTCAGCTCAATCGAACAAAATCCTTAGTAAAAGTACTTCGGACGCTGCGAAAGAAACCACCAACAGCCGACCTTTATCAGGTTTGAAATGTTCTGCGCATTTGTTACCGCAAGCTCCACTGGAAAAACCATTGCTCATATCTGCATACCTCAAATCGCTAATATTTCCGGCTTTTATGCTCGGAGTACATTCCATTTCTTTCAATAGATGCAGATTGATTTCACAGCATTGTTTATTCCTCTGCAGATGGAAGTAGCGTATGATGCCCTGAGGCGAGAGCTGCATGTGAGCACAGATGCTGGAAGAGTTTTGAGGCCTCTTTTGGTCGTCAAGAAGAACAAACTAAATCTCAACTTAGACGTAGTAAAACACTATACATCTGAGAAGATGGGAGAACCACATGAGCGCTTCTCTTGGTTCTTACAGAAGAATGTCATCGAGTTGCTAGGCGTTGAAGAAGAAGAAAAAGCTCTTATTGCCCTTCATGGAGCCGACTTGGAGAGGGCCAGACACTTTCAGTTGAAAAAGAACGTTAAATTCTCTCACGCAGAGATTCATCCGTCACTCATACTGGGTCTTAGTGCGTCTGTTATTCCCTTCCCGCACCGCAACCAGAGTTCAAGAAATCTCTTTCAAGCACACAAACACTCGAAGCAAGCGATTGGTGTCTATGTGACTAACCTAGCTTGTAGAGCAGATACATCTGGACAACATCTGTTCTATCCACAGGTTTGTGTTTTACTCTGCTTTAAAAGCTCATATATCCCCACTTTCCTAGTCCTTAAAAGAGGTCACGCCATTTGCTGGCTGGTGTGCCTTCCACAGGTTTTCTCAGTTTTATCTAATGCGGATGGTAGTGCCTCATAGCGGGCTTTTCCCTGAGGTACGGGGCCAAATAGGAAGCTCTGGTAGACGCAAGCAATTCTAGTGTATATATGCCGTTTTTCACTTTCGTTGACCGATCCAAAACTGGTCCACAAGAGGGCATTGTTATCGTATAGATTTTGTTTCTCTTCTATTTCCTGTACCAAGTCTAAATTGCTTTTGGATGATAGCTGTACGCGCCTCATTATGATCTGATAATCTGCAGGTGCAACTGGTGAAGACAAATATCGTCAATTGCCTTCAGAAAGATGAGATATTTAGTGGCCAAAATGCTATAGTGGCAATAGCCTGCTATACTGGTTACAATCAGGAAGACTCCATAATCATGGATCAGTCTGCTCTTGACCGGGGTATGTTCAGAACTCAGCACTACCGGACTTTTAAATCTGAGGAGCGATCCGATCACGAGACCTTCGGTAAACCTAGTGCTTCAGATGAGAATGGTGGGCCGAGAGCCTTGAGGTCTGATCAGATATTGGAGGAGGATGGACTTCCCTATATCGGTTGCAACATAGGAATGAATGACGTCATTGTTGGTAAAGTCGCCAAGAATGCTGAAACTTCTGATGGATGTCGCATGACTGACACGAGCACGAGGCTGAAGGCACACGAGAAGGGCAGAGTGGAGCAGGTGATTCTTGTCCAGGATGAAGAGGGGAGGAAGATTGCAAAAGTGAAACTGAGGGAAACACGCATTCCTCAAGTTGGTGATAAGTTTTCTAGCATGCATGGTCAGAAAGGTGTTGTTGGGATGGTTTTTACTCAGGAAGATCTGCCTTTTACCCAAGAAGGAATTGTACCTGATATTATCATCAACCCTCATGCCTTTCCAAGTCGGCAGACCCTTGGACAGATGTGCGAGAGTGCCCTCGGGAAGGCACGCGCCAAACGAGGAGAACAGCTCTTTGCAACACCTTTCAATCCTGCATCCACCGTCGAGTCAATCACAGACGCTCTTCATCAGTAGGTTTCTCGAATCAGATTGGATTTCCATCTTTTCATGCATCGTTCTCGTATCTGGAGTCCTTCCTGAAGCAGTGATTATGCTGCTTGAATTGGAATGTGTAGATTGAAATATAGCTCCTGTTTGTGTTTCAGTTTTCCTGACTGAAGTTGTGATTTTGCAGGAGCGGGTACAATGGGTGGGGAACGGAAACGATGTACAATGGGTTTACTGGGAAAGCAATGGAAGCGAAGATTTTCATAGGTTCAACATTCTATCAAAGACTCACTCATATGGTGGAAGACAAGATCAAGTACCGTAGCCGTGGGCATGTTCACCCACTCACTCGACAACCTGTTTCTGACAGAAAACGACACGGCGGTGTCAAGTTTGGTGAGATGGAGCGAGATTGTTTGATAGCTCATGGTGCTGCTGCCACTCTTCAAGAGAGGACTTTTCATCTTAGTGACTACCACGAGATACATATATGTAGAGGCTGTAAGCAGATGGCGCATATGGGAGTGGACAGGATTCCTACCTGTCGTTTTTGCAAGAAAGACAAGAGAATAGAAGAGATCGTCAAAGTTGAGATCCCCTATGCGTGTAAGTTGCTCATTCAGGAGCTTCAGAGCATGGGTATTTCTGTCGGTCTGGATACGGAAGTTATGTGAGGACTCGGTGAGATATACTCTCTGGAAGTTTAGATATCTGTACTATAGGCGATGTTAGGTAGAATACCCTCAGTTCGGACTCAAATTTTCTACAAGCCTTTTTGTGCTCGGTCTTTCAGCTAGTTCTCTCAGATTAGTAATGCAGGTGAATGTGTCGACTCATGAAGACACAGGAAACAAGCATGAGTGGTAGATAATGACGCTGTCAACGACAGGGAAATAACCCTTTCAACATCAATATTTCCGGACTTCTGCGTACAGGCAGTGTACTTGCTGCAATCCTCTGGTGTCTAGTAGAATAGTATGTGTTTATGATTAGTTACTCCGTGCCGCTAGTATGCGTAAGTATGTTTTGTAATGCCTTCTTTGAATAGTTTGTACTTCTCAGGGCTAGTAGTAATCTGAAATCGTGAAATTGGTCTGACTAGGCCATTCTTTTGTTCAGAGTGGTGTCAAGTGTGCATCTTCTATTTCGTACACGCACATGCCCTGAAGTCCCACGTGAAGGCTTCGGGACCAGCAGTCGAGAATTTTCAGTGGTAAAATCACAATATGTTGGGTCTAAAATTTGCCCATATCAAATCAGCGGCTTTGGTTTACAGAAAAATCCATAAAACTTCCAAGCAGTGAAGAGGTGAAGACAATTGTCCCTGTTTTATCCAGAACTTTTTGTCAAGTTTGCAAAACTGTCAAAACCACACTTCATCACAAAAATTGATCATTCCTAAACTTGGTCATGTCTGCAAAAAACTCTCTCGTGGACTTTCAACCACGTATGAAATGCATTTGTCACCGTACCACAATGATGTTCCTCATTTGTTGTCATACCACAATAAAGGTTCTGATTCCTTGAATAGGTGGACTTCTCTAATACCCACCCATTGTCAGCGTGTAGTCTGGAATCTAAAAACTCCAATTCTCCAGGTCTCATGGGGCACAAGGTAATCATCCAACCATCCTATCAAGAATACATTGAAGAGATCCGTTGTGTAATTTCCAAGACTGGAGCCTTCATAGTCAGATGACACCTATGAAAGGAATAGGTCAAGATTGGTAGCAGGAGATAACGAGCATGTGCCCGCTACTGGGCTGGGTTTGCTGAAAATCTACAAAAGGTTCTCTTTCTCCCCAGAACATCTGACGCTAGTTGGTGGCAAACATATTTCTTGTAGTTCACATCCCCAAATATGAAAAATTGGTGTTGCCTAAGGGACTCAAAACTATTCAATACAAAATGGTGTTGCCTACGGGACTCAGTTTTATTTGATACCATGATACTTGTGAGGCCTAAGTAATAAGAAAGAAACCCTTCCCTTGATTTTCGATGGACATGAAGAAAATCAGAATTCCATACAGCAGCGCAAAGCAGCAATCAGGCTCAGATGTAGCCTAACGTTCTCTCAGATGAGAATATCTTCGTTGCTGCCATGAATTCTCCTGTGGCACTGACGTGATCAACTCTGATAAAATGACTGCATCGACTGCACACAAATCATGGTGACAAAACCCACTCGCACATCAACATCGTTTCTGTTTGTTGCATTTTAATACCATATATGACCTTCTTGGGTCTACAACATGGACAGAATTTGGGCCCGAGGTGCAATCAAGTGCCCTGATTATTGCAAAAAAATTTATGACTCACTCTCCGTCTTTATCTCCAATTCATTTCCTCTCTGTGATCCCTGCCTGCTGTCCATATGCGTCTACCGTCACTCGCAGACCTCACCCAATTGGAGAAACCTCGAGATTGCAATTCACCCTTCGTCGACTCCAGAGTAAGCTGACCAAGCTATAACTGGAGTTCGCACCTCTCGCTTTAAAATTTACCAAATCAATCCTGCATTCTCGAATCCGAAAAGTAAGAAACTACTCCAAGGCATGGTTTCTCCTCTCGTGATATGAAGCTCCTTCGGCCTTATGAGCACATTTGGGACCCATTGATCACAACTGCCTACGTAGTCACTTCAGATTGCAGCAAAGGCTAAAAGCCATTATCTAAGACATTTGCCAAAGAAATTTCCCTTGCGCATCAGCGGTTCGACAAGTTACCAATTTCTTCAAAATCATGTGGTTGAGAAAAAAAAGGAAAAGTGATCCTGCAATTCAGCCCTAAATTGGACAGCGATTGGACTTGCAAGACGCACCTGAGAGATTGCCGTGTATGTGCAGATACAGCGGGGGTCGGCAGCCCTAACCAGCATGTTGGGGGCGAAGATGACCTTCCCGGATCTCCTTCATCTTGTGCATGCGCACCAGAAACAGCTCGTACTCACATTTCTCGTACGAGTGGCGCTGATCCTCGCACTTCCAGGGCAGGTAGTAGGTGCTGCTTCGGCACTTATTGAGCGGAATGAGCAGATGCGCGCACAGATCCCGCGAGCTGATCGGCACTCGCGCGTTCACCATCTCCTCCTGCGTCGCCACCATCTCTCCCCCGCCCATCGCTCCGATTGCGCACCACCCCTCTCGCTCCGATTCTCCTTCAAGGTTTCTCGAGATGCTGCTGCCTCTGCCTCGCGCTCGGTCGCTCGATCAGTGAGAGGGCCCCTTGCGCCTCAACGCTCTTGTCGACAATTCCTCTGCTCTCGATCCCGATCCAGCTCCTCGTGCCTCTGTGACGACACTGCGACCCAACTGCACTGCGTGCTGTGGTTACCACGTAGAGTGTAACCCCGTCACGAATCTCTATTCGGTCATTGGATGTGGTTTGACGTGTTCCAGAATATATCACTTTACTTTCGGTATGGTAAATAATCACCAAAACTTTTGATTTTACTCCTTTGGTGAATCCGCTTATTTATAACTTTTCTTTCTATGATATGCTTGGAGACAGCGGTATAGATTAATTTAATCCAACTGGCATATCATAATAAAAAACCTGAGGGAGAGAAAGTGCCGACCTTCTGGAGTACAAGTCATCTTAAATTGTACAATTCTGACGTAAATCTCCTATTAACAATTCTTCTAACAGACTAACACCGATCGCTGTTCTTTCCGTTATCACCGTGGGTGTTGATTGATTCAAATAATTGCGTCCTCGATGCAGTACAACTTCTCAAGCCGTCAACAGATGTTTAAGTATTTTCATGTAGAGACTTCTTCAGGAAAATTATGTGAAATCGTACCATGAACCGAAAGTTATTGTAAGAACTATCCTACACAAGTATTTGTGACCGTGATCTTTACATACTTACTATGACATCTTAGATGGAACAGGTTATATTTTACATTGTGGGGATAAGTTTTGATTTTGTGTTTTTATTTGTATGCACTTGAGCGCCTGGTTGTAGATGATACATTTTTCAGTAACCCAGAAAAAGTTCTTAGTATCCAGTATATGACAAAGCAATACTCATATCCCTCGTGTATATTAAAAGTCACACGATAGCTCAACTCCCCTCTCAAGTTTCAGAAACTATACTCATCACCTGACCGTCAGCCTCAAGAATTTTTGTAGTAACACTTAGAAAATGGAGTTTTGCTAATCGGGCTAAGTACGAAACCTAATGACCTTAAACACACGCACACCAACTTAGAATCTCGTAATAAACATGCTTTACAAGAAAAGTGCACAATCAGAATCATAACTAACTGGAACTCAAGACCTATGGCACGTTATCTACAAAATTGAGACTCTGTATTTATTGCTTGGTTATCATTGATCGAAAAATCCACGAGATGGTAGGTTCAGCTGTGAAACAATACTAATTCAAGCTTGGCATTTAGGCTTAATATTTGAAGCTTTTATGTCTATAAAAAATGAAAAAAGGTTTTAAAGAAACAGTAGTTTCAGAGTCAATAACGAGACCTTGTTCCAAACCACATGAAAAACTTATAACCATCGCTCGATAGCACGACACATGAAAGCGTATTTTGGGGTCGAACCATGTCATAACATGTTACCGACCTCAGCGTTCCCTTCAATTACAACTTTCTCATTAGTGGACTTTGACGACCAAAACTCAATCGGGAAGTGCTGCAATCGGGAACTGATGAATTTGGAATAATTTAATCGCTCAAATTCCTTTTCACATGAAAAGGAGATCGTACGAAGCTTCGTGCCAAGGTCGATGGTAGGATCTGGATCAGACTAACCGTAAAATACAAAACTCTGACTATCCGCGACAAACGCACAATTTTTCAGAATTACTGCATTCACCAGCGAGTGAATGTGCAGTCCTCGAGGACGATTCCTTTCACCTTCACTGCGAGGACGATGCCCATAAACAAAAGCAAAGTGCGGTAAAGTGTGCTGACACAAACAGTGAGATGGGTCGGCGAGGGAGGGGAGGTAGAGAACGAAAGTGCAGTGCGTGATTGCTGGTGAATCTGGACAGGGATGCATTATGTTGAAACCCGGCGTGCTGTAGCATCATCAACTCTCAGGTTTGATCGAGCGGATGGGGATGGAGAGTCGCCCATCGCTGTCAGGCACATTCTTTTAGATGTGCACGTCGTGCATAGGTTTTTGCTCTGAACCGGAATTGAGTTTCATGCATTAGGCTGCGGAGTCGGATCGTTGAGGTTTTGTGCAGGCAGGCATCTGCAGTCCGACGGAGGTATCTGACTCACAGCCCTTCATGGGGTCGTCTCGTGCGAGCTCGGGCTCCTTCTGGATCCTGTCACTTTTCCTGGCGGTGTTGATGCTTTCCCCTCTCTGCCTCGCCAAGTATGAGAGACCTGCAATATCGGTATGTTCGAGATTGGAATTGGTTTGAGCTCGTGCTCGTGTGACTTGATTTGGCGCTGTTTGCATATTTGCATGCCGATTTCGATGCTGGATTGGAGAGTTCTCAGGTCTTGGGGTTCTATCGATTTGTCTCTGTAATTATTAACTTCCCTCTTATCCCAGTCCCAGAGGTGATGAAATGTTCAAGTTGTATTCTCTTGTGATGATATGGTCGAGAAAGACAGGGAGGATACCTAAAACCCTCCAAGAGGCAAGGACCTTTACATTAGCCTCCACACATGCAAATTCGATTCGTTCTCAGAGAAGCCCACATCCTATCTGCCGGGGAGCGTCCTTTTACGTCTGTAGCTTTCACCTCTCAAGGCTCAAGGTCGGATCTTAACCATTCTCTGGAGTGATTTGCATATAGCTTTTCTTTTGTGCTTGTTCTCTGCGTAGTAATTCGTCACCACCATTTCAGAGCAGACCGTACTCGCTGGTTCCACGTTCTCCACTGCATTGAGTCTGTTATACTTTAGTTTGCAGGTAGCTCTATCGCTGAGCTGGTACTTGAGAAGTCACGACATTTTTGACAGTTTTCTGCATGACTACTGATCATGAACCATAGTAAGGGTTCAGAACAGTCTGAACCCCAACTTGATGCCATCTGCATCTGCTAAGTTTAGTAAGAAGGTCTAGCTACTGGGGCCTCGAGCTCTTTCTTCTGCAAAGACGAGCATGCTTTATCTACTTCTCTGTGTCTTAGGCCTATTAAGTACCTCCTGGTATGGAGAGTGGAGATTGTATGACTTCGGTCTTCAGTCCAAATCTTTCAGTCATGACCTGCTACTGAAAGGACATTGATATCGCCACTCTTTTTAGGCACTGGGTTCGAATTAGCACTTGTAGAGCTCCTTGTGCACCAGATATGATGATGTTCCAGTTCAAAAGCGTTGAGTTTACAATATCTCAAAGTTCAGCCAGTTTGCACACAGAGCTTCCGAGTTTGTTATCAACCTAGAACTGACCCAAAGACCATACTAGCTAACCAAAACAATAAAATTGGCAACAAGGCTTTGAACTCTTTCTATGAGCTGATATGACCAGAATTGAAGGATGTGATTTGTCGAACACTGACTTCGCTTTAGTGCCTGTGGACTCTGCTTAACCCATCGGATTTAAGATCATGCAGGACCGAGATTTAAATAGGAGGAAAGAAGCTTGCTACGTCGACATCGACAAGTATGTATGCCATGACATTGAGTCTGCTTTCGTTAGCAGACGCAGTATACAAGAATGTTTCTTGTCTCATATAGAAGAAGTTCAGGGTTAAGGGCTAGGTTTTCTAGACAACTGATGGTGTCGTTTTTGTTTTTTTGTTTTTGTTTGTAACGCAGTGGATTGTGGGGTAGAGGATGCCGTTCTTCTCAAATCGCCAAAGAGAACTGCGCTTTGCGATGTGTATCAGGTGGCTGCTATAACACAGTCTATGGAGAAGATCCGGTATGTCCTGTGTATTAAAAACTCATTTTTCACTACATCACACGGTGTATTGCTCAGTAGATGATATACAATTTGTAACACCTTACACATCTCCAGAAGCTTTTGCTCCCAAATGCCTCAAATGCCTCAAACCTGACTTATCTTTTCCGCATCATGTAGCTCGAAGAAGGTGAGGTTGACATCAGAAGAGGGCGAGAATTTCGCAACTGTCTACGCAAGTAAGTATAATTTGCACTCGTCTCCATTCCAAGCAAACGAGGCTGAAAAAATTCGAAGCAAATTTTTTCTGTTTAAGCAGTTGTGTTTCCACCATATGCATACATCATCAAGAGCACATGGTCGTAATTACTTTCGCTGACTCTTACTCTGTTGTTGGTGGCCGGCGATAACAGGGAAATACAGGAGGAGAAGAAATTAGCGAAAGAGTAGAAGGCGAGAACATGATGTCTAACGTGAGTCTAGTGAGCTGTACATATTCAGGGATGTTCAAGATCTGTACAGTATGCTCAGGACACTGATCTTGTAAATTTTCTATTTCAGTTATCCTCGCAAATGATGGTTCGAAAACCTTACTTTTCAAAGCATTTATCCGAGCTAATCATGTCCTCTTGAACATCGAAACATTTCATACGTCTAAGGCATATAATTCAATGATATTGGTTGACCAGGTCTTCTGCATGCATGCTTTCTGCAAATTATGCCTGTTTGCCGCTGACAAGTCCCTTCGAATTTGAGTCCAAAAGTCAGAAAGTTTGAGTCGAGACAGCGAAGTTTTTCTAATCGTGTGTACCCGCTATATATCAACTCACCTTGCGTGTGGAATTAAATGGAGTCTGTGAAAGCAGCAGCTTCGTGAAGACCACAGTTGATTTCCGTAATGAAATTGAAAGCACAAAACTTCGCTTGATTTCAGTGAACATGTGCAGGAGCAGAGGAGCACTGCAGTTCTATGTTAAAGCAGCAACCAAGGTCCCGTAAACCTCAATAGCTATTTGAGCCTCGGCCTTTGCCAGATCCGTGGTGGCTGAGTTGAGCTTTGTGGTGTAGTCAGCTAGTCCTTTCCTGGCTGCCTCGATGTCCAATTCCTCCGCAAGAACCGCTTCCACCGCTAAAATGTCAGTGACAGAGTTGGGATGCACGAAGGCAAACCCACTGCTCACGATGTACTTTTTCACATCCGCGCCATCGTGTACGCTTAGAACGCCTGGCTTTAGCTGTGCTATCGTGGAAACATGGCCTGGAAGGACGCCCATCATCCCACTTGTGGCTGGAACTATCACCATATCGACCTGCAAGTCCCACGGAGGCCCACCCGTCACTTAGATGGAGGGTTACACTGCAAAGTTAGCTGGCAGTTATAACTTTGCAGTCTCACCTTTTCAAAAGATATTGGCATGGAAAGGTGTGGAAGGTAAGGAGTCCAGATTCCAGCGACTGACAGCTAAATATCAGATACCTGAGAGAGCACATAACCCATGATGCCGACATCATGTTCAAGGAAATTTAAGGAGTACTGTACAGCGGTTACATTCACCGGTGTATCAATTCTGTGAAACCGGGGGGCAATAAGCAGGAATTGAATGACCAGAGATGGTTCAAGACATTTGTTCTTTCTATATGGCAACACCTTATGCTCTAGAAACGGACAAAGTTCTCTCGGGATTAATCTACTGAAGAGGTCAATGCATGAGAACGATCTTCCAACACAGCGGAGTCACCCAAGCGAAAAGCCTCCCCTTCTGTGCAAGAAGCTTCGCTCAATGATTGGTTCTCTCTACTTTTGCAAAGAGTTGTTTGAAATATTGAGCTCGGTAGTTGTGCAGTGAACGGATTTTGGATTTATCGTAGTTGATTAACCTGTATGGTGAGAGCACAAGTGAATGAAGAAAAGAAATTCTACATATTCATTCTATGCAAACATTGAACATGAATTTGAAGACTATTGAATAATCTTCCACCTAACAATATAATCCATCTCAGTATGATGTGATGATGATCCGTTAGATCCTTGGATCACACACTGTACATATTCCGCCCTGGTCTGACCCAGCCACTCAACACTTTGTCAGATACCCTGAGAGAAGAAACTCGGTACAATACATATATGGGGATCTTAAACAAGTCCATGTTCCGGACGATAACCCACGGTGTCTCCAGTCTCCAGACCTGTAGAGGAATTCGATAGTTCCTGCCGCAACTCACTTAACCAGCGAATTCACAATTCATCCCACGACATACTTGTGTAGAAGTCAGTTGAGTTCCCTTGGGTTCTATTCCTGCAGGATTGCTTCCAGTTACCGAGTGCTATATGCTGTTTCTGGGTTGGGCACGATGCTCTTTCCCATAAAGTCCGGCCCATGGCCTCACTAAGGGAGTGCCAATGCCCTTTATTTTCTGGAAAGCGAGTACTACAGCAAAAAGGATGGGGAGACCAGTCACGTACCACGTATTCATGGATACCACCAAATCGGGTATGAAGGGCTACACCCCAATTCCCCAAGATATCCCAATTATTTGGGCATACTTGAACAAATCTGAAGAATCATCATTTAGCGACATTCGTCTTTTATTTGAATCAGTTAGGCTTTCTCGAAAGCCTAACTGATTGGGAAAAATAATCCAAGATGCCCGAAGTATCTGCTCTGGAGAGTGGACTCGCTACGCTACTGTATGATCTTCTACCCGTAACACTCCCCCAATTCAACCGTAGTCCTCGGCGTGGGAGAACGGTAAGTGAGGGAGTCCCACAGGAGCTTTGAGAAGTCTCGACTGTCAGTGCTCATTGACTGCAGCATGGCATGGGATGGAGGACCGTATAGGATGCCAGCCGTATGGAGCTTGATTGTTAAGCTCTTGAAATTTATCACTAATTTATTCGATCACTGAAACTCCTCCTTCTATCAAACTTCTGCCTCAAGAACTACAACAGAAAGGCGCAACGTCGGGATCTGATCTGGTCTGAGTCCACCAAACTGAATATGCTTTCCACGTTTCATCGTCTTACTCCTACTCCCTCCCCTCCTGAAGTACTTCTTTCAGAAGATTTGAAACCTACTCTCTCCATGTGCTACTCACCCACGACGACGAGCAAGGATTTAGAGAGTCGCTGAGAAGCCGACTTTGTGAAAAGTCACTACTGCGCATCGTCCACTTGTGCACAGACATCCGCATGAAAACTACGAGCACATTTGATCAAGCTTCGTCCGTTTTTGTTTCCGTGGGAAGAACCCAGCCTGAAACTTGCAACGATCGGTTGCAACTCCAGAAAAGAATCGCCTGTCACTAAACGACATCAGGCATGCTCGTTACCATGGAAAGTTCGACATTCCTGTATGCGTGTCGATTGCACAGAAAGCTCCAAGGCTCGTCCCACTACTCCAGTACAAAATTCCATGACACAAAAAATAAAGTGGTTCATCTGCCAGATGCGCATATTTGTGGTTGAATGTGGTCGTACAACAATCACATGCACACTTCCACATCAAAGCAAAAATGCACATTCGACTCTCATGGTTCCAACCGTGCGAACGAGCTCGACTAGAAGCTGGGAATGTCTGTCTACATACAGACAGACTCGAGACTCGGGGCAGAGCAAATAACGCTTCAACGTCCTGATCTCTTCTACTTACAAATGAATAACTTCCGTCCCTTAATATCAAAAGTTTCCTTCACTTAAGACCAATATTCCTTGCCAGCCATGAATAAATTTTCATCATCATCGCTCAGCTAGAACGAATTGAGGGAGGGAGCTCAATGGTATCGATGACAGATAGCACTGAAGCCAACAGGTGGAGCCTCGGGACCACTTCGACCAAAGTAAGCCCCCAAGTACAATAATCCCAATCACTGAATTTACTCTTGACCCGATCAGACTTGGAACATGCAACGATCAGTGACAGCTGCAGCAGCTGCGAGAAGGCAACGAAACAGAAACAGAAGGCAAGATGATCAAGGACTGAGCCGATAGATCGCCGACCTGTTTGGCCTCCAGCTCATACTTTCGAGGAAGCACGAAGTTGACGGTGAGTTTGGTGGGGATGGTTGCCGGGACAGGAGGTCGCCCTTCGAGAAAATCCGACGGCACCTTCGGCATCTCGAGCAAGGGCGCAACTTTTTTCCAGGCCTTCCTGAGATCATCCGTTATGGCCGGTGCCTTTTTCGGCTTGTCTGCGCTCGCAGCGTCGTCTGCATATGCACGAGCAGGCCCGAGCCTCGACAATGCGACCGGGCTGCTGCCGCCGCCGCCGCGTGCAGTCGTAGCAGCAGCACACGAACCCGCAAATCTCCGCAGCAACCACATTTCTCGTCGATCTCCCGCTTCCGATATCTCTCGATTTCGTGAGCTCTGTGGAGGTTACGGTTGCGATGCGAAGGTTAGAAAGAATGCATTCCCGTAGCCATCGGAAAGCTCCGTGCGCAAGCCATTGATTTTCTACCGCTTCATGATAGTAGGAAGAACGCAACACATTAAATTTTTAGTTGATTCGATTAGTGATCGGAAGCGCAGACAAACCTCACTAAATAGAAATGTCAAATCTGCAGTCTCGAGCAGAAGATTCGAACTGTGTCTGAATGGAAGGAAGCTTTTACTGATAGGGATGCGACGGCAACAACGCGAGGATCGTTGCCATTTTGCGAGACATGGATTCTGGTCAGTGCTCGCTCAGAGTATGGTTCGAGGACCGAAGTGAGCCTCGATGGGTTCTCATTTCTTGCAAGATCCTCCTCTGGCTCAGAAGCATGTAACCGCCGGATGATGGAAAGTGGAAGACGAGGGAAATTACAGGTCTCCTTTCAGAGGATACGGCGGTAACTTTCGAAGTTACAGTCTGGACCGCCATTGGAGGTCGGGAAATGATGGAATGAATCATGATCGGAGAAGCTCGTCGTCATTAACCGCCGTTCTGTGCTTCTGATCATGACTCGTCGAGTGCGATCTTGATAGCATCTTGAAGGAGGGAGTTCCGGGCAGATTCATCGCACGCACGACCAATCGCTCGCGCGATATCGATTTCCAAGTTCCTCTAGCTTATTCTGCATCTGCGTCTTATCCAGGGAAGACCTTCAGTCGGACCTCGAGACGTGATCGGCCTCATCATCAAACCCTCCGCTCAGTTATTTCAACTGCAGCTGCTCATTCTCCATCGCATTCCAGTTGAAGCTGCATGTCGAGCAAAGAGGAGGCGTCAATGGATCCAGAATTGGATGATGTAGATCCAACATTAGGTGAGAACAGGTGTCCCACATGTGAGTCTTGTGACCCGCCTCGTCGAAGAGTGTCCCGTTTGTTGCTTGAGGAGCATGGAGTTTCGGTGGAGCCCCAATTTTCTCAACCGACCTGCAGTTGTCTGTCTGCGGCTATTTGATTATGCTGTACAAATTGTATAAAACTGATTTCCGAGATTTCCTCCTCAGTCAGTGCGAGCGGATTTCAGCGTTATCGTACTGTGGATCGGGTGTATGCGTTGGTGGTGATTGTGATGTTGAAAGGAATGTGACAAAGTGGAAGATGATGAATGCAGCTGCAGCACTGAAAAAGACACTGGAAAAGCGCGGAGCTTTGGGCGGCATGAAAGCCAAAATTCGCGCAGAGCTCTATAAAGTCATCGATCATTCCGACGATGTAAACCTCTCAACCACGAAAGCCTTGTCCTCGATGTCTTCACCTGCGAGTCCTTCAAAGATTAAAGAAAGAGCTCATGTAATACGTGCCCACTGCCCAGAAAGAACAGAACAGGTCGATCCCAAGTCGTATCATCATACTATCATATAGTACTGCCGAAGGTCAGAACCTTGTGAAGGGTGACCTTTCACAGCAATCAATCCAGCGAGCATTGCAACCTTAAAGTTTCAATTTCACATTAAACGGCTCACACTGTTACCATACCATAGCTGTACACGGCTTGAATTTGTCCTTTGAGCCATGAATAATGTTTGGCATTAATTCGAACGTCTTGACTATCAGGAACCACGATCCAAGACACTGTCGGACCGAGACTTCATAATGAATGAGCTCGTCCGTGACTACTTGTTGCATTGCAAACTGAACTACTCGCTTTCTGTGTTCACTCCGGGTACGTTGAAACCTCATGTGCATCATGATGCTTGTGAATGGACGGACAATTTAGGAATATAATGCCACTAAATACTATCACTCACGTATCTAACAATCACAAGGGTCTGCGTTTTAAGAATTTAACAGCAGGAAAGAATACACTTTGGTCAGGAAATTTGGCTGCTTGGGCCATCAATTTACGACACCAAAACATTACGAGGATGTTGATATCCCGACAATTTCAATCCCTGCAAACATCTTAAACGTCTGCATGATTGCTACGGCAACTTTAGCTTTAATTGACCAGAAGCACGTAAAAAGTGAGCTGACTTACAGGAAGACCACTGTTCCTTAGAAAGTGCTTACGCCCGTGAGTGCATGCGATATGGCAGAGAGTGGGCAACCGGAAATGTTCTTAGGCCGCTCTCAGCTGGCCAAAGAATTTGGAATTGTAGAGACAAACGCCAAGTTCAAGAACCTGTAAGCTTCTCATGAACTTCTAGATCAGTGGTTTTTTTTTGAATTCTTGCTTCCATCAAGAATCGTTCAAAGGAATTTTCATGTAGATTGGAGCTGCCTCTGGACCATCACATCTTTGAGATTAATCAAAACATCATCAAATCCCACAATCCCTAGGTTACTAACAGTCAGTTCACATGTGCTTGCAGACCACTCTTGTTCACACTTATCAGCAAGGTGCATCCTCAAGGTTGGGATTTTTTTAAGCTCAAGGACTAAAGAGACGCTAATGTGAGAACCAAACGGTTACAGCTTACATTCGTACCAGCTCAGAACTTCCTATACAACAAACCGTGTGTATAAACACATCTGACTTTCAGCACCCCTAGCAGGATCAGCTCTAGACTGCTACAAATGGTACGACGTTTACGTAGACCCGTGTGGACAAAGAAAGTGTAAATATAACCGAATTGTCACTGTTAATTATTACTTGTCAAGGGAAGGGAAGGGCTTAAAACATTTGTTTGTGTTCGAGGAAAACTCAAATTTATTGTTTCTTAGTTGGAGAGCAGCCTGAAATCAGTCTCAAGTTCCCAAATTTGAAGTTTGAGAATTTCAAGATGTTTTTCCACTTACTTGCGCGAGCTAAATTGAATTCTGATGAATCTTGGATTGACATTTATTTATTGTGACATCCAGCTCAAGTCACAATGTTACTCTATTACAAGAATTCTGTGAAGAAAGAAGTTAAAGGAGAAAATGTCAAACTCACTTCTGTGACAAGTTAGCACCGATATTCAGCTTTGGACCTGGATAAACTCGTCACACTGCCAACAAGAAGAATCATGCATGCAGTGTGGTGATTCTTAATCCTGATCCCCTTTCGCATATGATAAACTCTTCCGGTAAGAGAGTGGATTCAATCTAGAGTGTAGCTAGCAAGGCTGTGTAGGCGGTGGATTCCTTTCATGGAAAATGAAGTTTGTTATTATCCAATAGATGAAGATATGACTGCTCGAGAAGCACTTGGAGCAGTTGCAGGCTACTCGATCCACCTTCTGAGCTCGTGAACCTCGTTCCCAAAACACGCAAACCAGTTCGCCAGCTGCTTACATCAAGCTCACGAGATCATGAACTCGATCTGGACAGTCAATCCGCATATACTGTCTTCAGTCTCGGCATATACCTCGAGGGGTCTATTTGTGACAGACATTCGCTCGAAACTGGGGACGCCATCGTTCAAGGTATGTCGCGGCGGGCTGAACAGGCCCTGCAGCAGGGATCAGCCGCCACGCGGCGCAATACAATGATTGGAATGACACGCCGTCCTGTCCGAGCTACCGACGACCACACGGTGCAAAGTCTCCGGTCATGCTCGCGTTGAAGCAAAATGCAACCTGCCCAATGCGATGCGAGGGAAGCGATTGATTATTATTCCCCAGATCCAGATCCGCGCATGGATGGTCGGGACTCAGGCGCCGCCCCGAGGCATTTAATCGATCGCGTCTGTGGGTGGAATATGCGCATCCGCATCATGCATGCAGGCAGGCAGGCTTCCTGCAGTGGCCAGAAACCTTCCAAGATGTCGATGTCGATTGTCGATGTCCAGGGCCTTTGCAAGAATCGTACATTACCAGATTCCATTCCATTTTGTACTTTTTTAGGACCGGACTCGACCGCTAGGCCTAAATCCGTCGATGGCAGTCGAAGATGCTTCCCTCCAGGAACTTGGTGCCTTACGGCAGTTCGTTAGCGGACACGTTTCGTTTTATGAAAAGATCTGCTCGCAGTCTTTCTTATGAACCGATATCTGATTCGTCGTGGGAACTTCACTAAAACACTTTGTTGCCATGCAATCAACAGAAGATCCCACCTGCTATTTTTCCTACGAGCAGGTTTGGTTTCGTATTGGTATGTTTCTATGTTGGAATACATTTCTTACTACGATACTACTTTTGTAACGTGTAATTTATTCCATGAACATGCATTGGGTTGCATCGTTTACATGACCTCAAGGATATTATGATTTTTTTTATTATCGATATTTTAAAAATCTAGATTTGAATTGTAATCCAACTTCCGTACGAAACATTATTTGTCATTATACCATCTCGTATATCCCTTGGTTTCTTATCTGTTTTTTCTTGTACATGTTGATGGAGATTTCACATTTGTCTTTCTGGCTTTGAATGACTGATTTTAATTTCCATTGCATACTTGAGATTTTTGTAGTTGTCCTATACTCTTGTCGTTGCGAGATTGTGAATATTCAACACATTATGAATATTTGTGCCTTTTGCTCTGGACTTGGATATGATCTATATCCTACTTATTTGAATAGAGAAAAGTTGCCTTGAAAATTTGCAGATATCATAAATTTTACTAAGGGTCCAAGTATGTTGGTACTCGGACGTCGAACTTTGAGCGGTGGTAAATGCTCGACATCAAGTATCAAGATCTTCAATCTTCTAAAATGCAACTGAGGTTGACTTGTCCATTGAAGTTGGCAAACGTGAAGGGTCAGAGAGGCACCGATAACATGACATTTTTTAAGAATCACTGGCGTCCAAGGTCACTGAACATAATATGAAAGAGTAAACTATGAATGATCATTCAGTTAGCCATCTATGATTATAGTCCGACTTTGACGATGTAGATAGCATTATTCAAACGATGAAACATAGAAGTTGACTTTTTTGATCGCAAGATGGAGGAAAAACTCGTATTTTTAAAACCCAATTATACCTCGGAAAGAACGCCTAGAAAATCGAATAAGACGTTATTGGCATGCTATGATTGATTGTTGCTTGAAGGTTTGTCAATTGGAATTGTTCGAACCCAGAGGAACATTCCTTACATTTCAAAGAATTTTGTTTTGGTGTTCAAGTGAATTATACTCTTTGTTTGCGCATAAATCCTCTATTATATATCAAAGTACTACAGAGATCCAAGTGAAGAACACAGAAAAGACCCTATGAAAATTTCTTTTCATAGTTGAAGTGAACTGCATTCCCATATCCATATACATGAGTGATATTGCACCTCTTGACGCGAGGTCGATACTAGAGAATGGGTTAGAATTTCAATCCTTTTCGTTGTATACTTCGCTCAGGTTCTGACACAGAAAAAAGACCAAAAACCCAGGGCGAACATCGATTTAAGGAAAATACTTGATGGATGGATAACAAGGTAGCACCGGATGAAATAATTTCCAGTATAAATTCACAGGAATGAAGGAAATGGTAGGAACAGGAGGCCTTCCACGAGAGATGGAAAACCGACTAACAGGACGGCTTTTGAAGCGGACGAGAGCGAACCACTGGCGCCGTCCGATGTTCGCAATCGAGAGGACTCAAGAGGGTGGTGCATTGCAAAAATATTCTCTGACAGATGCCGTCGATCTCGTGAGATCCAAAAACTCCAGTCCCGACGGTGATTGGCGCGGTGGTAGGTGGTGGTGCTGGTGGCGGACGAGAGGAAAGGGCGCCTGACACGAGCGCGCGGTCGCGCGACCGCGGGGGAGGCGGGGGCGAAAGCGGGAAGTGACGCCACGGGGCAAGAACGCGACAGAAGAGCGCACGATCTCCAGGCCCGCGCGACCGGACGGACGGAACTTTGACGAGCGAGCGATCGAATGAGCAGCCGCGAAGAGAAGAGCGCGGGCGCGCAGCGAGCAGAGCAGCGCGAGAAGCAGAGACTCCGCTCGAGGGACGAGGACGAAGGACGCAAGGGAGCAAAAGCTCGGGGCTCTGGCGCTCGAGCGGGCACACCCACAGACAGAGCAGCAGCAGCAGCTGCAGCAGGAGGTGCGGTGTGGTAGGAAAGGGTAGGCAGGGGAAGCAGGCGCTTCGCCGGATCGAGTGTTTTGGACTCGGCGCATGACGCAAGCCTGCGGGCGGAACTCTCTTCGACGAAGAAACTCGGGGTGAGCTTCACCGCAATCTTTCTCCGCTGCATTCCCCGGAATAGGAGGAGGAGGAGGAGGAGGATAGTCGGTGTCGTGAATGATTGATTCATTGATTTGTGAAGGAAAATGTCGGAGCATGTAGACCCGGCCCGGGGACTGGTAGGAAGGACGATTGCGAGCAGAGCGGAGCGCAGAGTCCACGACGAGTGGAGTGGTGGAGGCTGATCTGTGTGATTGTGTGAGTGCAGTCCGGAGTCGGAGGTCAATGCTGCGTTCGAGTACATTTTGTTCGGTGAAGCGCTTGCAGGGTGCTGGTCTACACCATTTTCCCCTCGCCGCACACCCTCCCATAGGTGGACCCCTACCAGCCTGAGGTAGGAATTTCGAAAGTTCATTTAGGTCTCTTTCTCGTGATTTCTTTTCTTGTTCAGCGACAGTGCCGAGTTCCTATCGCTGCGAATTCGAGCTGGCGGGATTCGATTTCCAGAGTCCGTCGGTGCGGGAGGCGAGGAATTAACTTGGCGTAATTTGATGCAGGAAACTGGGAGCTACCGAGTTGTTGTACATAATACGTAGCACAGGTACTCGAGTTGGTTCGAATTGAAGAATTTTGTGATCTCCAATCCAGCGAGAGCTGGTTGGATAGACGAGATGCAGGGTAATTGGCCTGGGCTCCCGAATTGGGTTTTCAATGCATCGCCACCATTAGAACCGGGGGAGAAATGGTCCCGTTCGAGCTCCTGTTCCCCGAGACCTGGAGCTGGCGCTTGCTCGGGATCTCATTCTGGCTCGATTACACCTCCTGCGAAAGGGCATGTTGCTAAACCTTTCCCTCTGTCCAGCTTTAGCCCGAGTGCGGGAAAGGCAGCGATTGGAGGTGGATTGAATGCCGTGCTCCAAGCGGCCGGAGGACTGCTGCGACTACTAGGAAAAGGAGGTTCCACTAATTTCGAGAAGAGACGCAGAAAGAATCAAAGACAGTTGAAGCGCGACACAGGAGTAAAAGTTGGTGCTGAAGTGACTGAATTCAATGCTGCCGTGAGCACGTATGGAAGTAATTTAAGTGGGAGAGGCTCTGCCTCCGTTCTCCTGACCCGGGTCACTTCTGTGCTGTTTGGGCGTTTGGGCAAAATGAGAGAGCGCAACGCCTTGCCTACAATCCTTGCTGCGCTCTTGCCTCCACTTTTGACCTAGTAAGTTATCCGCTTCACAGAATAAATGTCCACTCTGTTAGCGCAGCCCCTACTACAATTCCAATTTCAGTTTCTTTATTCCTGACGTATATGCCTCTACAAGGTTTTCTGGTTTACGAAGTCACTATGAGAAGCAATTTGTCTTTCTTAAGGGCAATGCAGATGACCTCTGCCGAAGTGGAAACTATCTGAAGCTCTGATTGTGAACTGCGAGTTTTCTGATGGCTACCTTTTGTGTTCAGTGACAGACCCTCAAATATGCTCCTGCCGGCTCCCAAGGACGTGGAGGTGGAGAACGCATGTATGGTAAAATCTGTGGAAGAGAGTGTGAAAGTACAAACCAAGATGACAGAGAAGCTTCCAAAGGACGGTGTGATTGTGGAACCTAAAACTGGTGTCAGCTTTCCTTCCTATCTTTTGTTTGGGGAGCCTGGAGCGAAGGTTGACGATTATAGTTCATGCCAGGTGATTTGCCACTTTCTATTTTGTTCAAAATATGATATTAATTGTGGAATCGTGGAAGAATGTCATGGCTCCACTTCAGACAGGTTTTGAGTCTGCACGGAGGCGAGACAACTAGCAGTTGTCAACAATGGCTGTGTATCCATTTAGCTGACCTCTTGAATTATAGAATTGAAATTGACGTTGCTCTCCACCAGGTACTGGCCGGTGTGGGTTTTCGCTCCAAAACTTTGATACGAGTGAAATCGATTGTGATTTACGCGTTCGGCCTGTGTAAGCTAATTTTCATCTTTTCTTTCCGTTTACTTTCCACAATTGAAGTCTTGCTACTTTACCTTATGCTGAAAGCATTGGTCGCCCTTATCACTAAGTATCTCGGATAGTCAAATGTTATAACTTTAGCTGAAGTTAAGTTTTCAAGTTTTGTTTGGTACTCATATCACCTCGCCTTGCTCTTTTGAAAAATCGCAGATGTGGAGCCAAACCATCTACGCGCGAAACTGGGAGATAAGTACGCAGGGGTACCTCCTGAAGAACTGAAATACCGACCGGAATTTTACGACGACCTTCTCAGGTTGAGCAAGTGTCGCATGCACTCTCCCGTAGCGACTGCTCAGAGTGACCCATATCCCAGATGGGACGGCAAAGAATTTCTTGTTTCTTTTCAGTAATATGCGATTTTCGCATCACTTTTATTAATCTACTGTGTTTGCGCTTGTACTGTTGTGCAGTCAAGGGGTGGGTATGACAGTTCGTCTCGTCGTGCACTACAAAGGCCTGAGTATGGGAATGGTCCGCAGGTACGGGGTGTGCACAACAAAACTGAAATATAATAGTCGCTCTTCCGGGAAGAGTTGGAGGATATCGCGCATAATAATCTTCAACGCTAAAGCATAATGAGCGAGGTTGTTACTAACGCACTTCTTCTGTTGGTGTCATGCAGTGCGTTTGAGAGTTCTTTGAAACTGCGACTCAAGAGGGTATATTACCTGAATTCATACCCTTTTACAAGTTAATCGCTTATCACAGCCCTTCGATTTTACGTTTTCGAAGGAACTGTAAGTCACTGAAGTGATTTCACTTTGCAGATTAAGGGTGTAGAGGACGATGAAGGATTACAAGATTTTTGCTCACTCATGTCGGAAGACTTGAGAATTTTTCGGGTACGGTTCAGGGAGATTTTTCTCTTTGATAGTCTTCTGTCTCTTTTTATGTATGTTGTACTAAATGGACGTCGGAACTGCTCAAAATTTTTTTTCCTTTAGAGTACTGAATGAAGTCATTGACTTGCTTCTGTCCTTGTCGATGCAAACAACAGGGAACGACTATTGATGTTCGCTGGCAACCAGGCGGTGCTCTTCAAACTGAAAGTAAGGGGTCCACTATGCATCATGAAATTCATTAACTCTCTAACTTGTGGTGATCTCTTATCCCTGACGTTTGACCTTTTTCTCTTTTCTGTGTGTCAGTTGGCGGTCATCAACTTGGGACAGTCTTCAGTCACCATCTATGCCGTAAGTTCACGTCCTGAAGGCTTCGAAGTTTTGGAAGGTTTAATCAATTGTGTTATCTATAAGATTAAATAAACATATTCTTTCTTTTATTTTATTTTTCAGTAACAACTAAATTTGGGACCGATTGGAGGTGCAGAACACTGAGCTTATAGTTTAGAAGCATCTAAGCTAGAAGATCAATGTAATCGGTAAGGGTGTCGTAGGCTACGATACAGTCGTATTCAATGATATCGTCCTTCACCTTGTTTGCTTGAACATACTCATTGGTCTTTTGACTCCCGTTTTGTGTTTCCAGGGGCCTTTTTTGACCTATATATTGGAGAAACTCCTGTGTCGGAATCAGCCAAGTACGAAATAGGCGAGAGTTTTGGCCGCTTGTTGACGAACCGCCCGCATGTTTAACATCACAATCACCATTCAATATCACTCCCAGCATCCTGAGGTAATCTTTCACGGAGCTCAACACGTATACAGCCGTTCATTCGTAGCAACAGTAATTGTTGGTGGCAACATACAGTGATGCAGCTGTGTACTTTTTGGTCTGCTGTCTTGAGGATTGAGAGATTGCCTCCTTCAACACACTCGATTGAATGCAACTTCCAAAACAAGGTGGTTTATGTAGATAATGTTATAATCCTAATGTGCTCCATGCATCTTAATCAGACTCGGTTAGTTTAGCAAATAAAAGAAACTACCTCATCGACAGTGTGTTGGACATGCTATAGGTCAATGGGTTTGCTGGTCCGAAGATATACAGAGATAATTTTCATATTAATTGGAAATGTAGGGTAAGGTCTGCCCGACGTAGAATTGTAGCTACGTTATACCTCCATTATTTGATGACCATATTAAAGACTAGCTAAAGCTGGCTTTGACAGACCACTTCTAGAAAGAATATAGAGCAGTCGTCCTCCCCCCATTAGTGTATTTTATTTAGTGGTTCTGGCCACGCACCATTTGTTTCTGTTGTACTGCGTGTGAAATTATCAAACGTCATCCGATGAGTCCTCCCTTTTAACGATGAAGACGTGTTGGCTCGGTTCATAACATATATATCCCCATCATGGGAAGCGTCGTGATTATTGGTCTGAAAATTGTGCCAAAAAAGCTTTCTGGAAACATTTGTGAAGCAAACTTTGCTCCGCAAAAGCAAGAGGAAAGAAATATCCTAGTCGTGATGAAATTGTAATGCAGAACTACAATATGTACTGTACATTTCAACAGAGAAATGGTGGGTCGTACGGTGGCTTAGCTCGGACTGTTTTCAACGTCAAACCTCACACAAACTGCATAGTATATTTTCAGATGCACATATTGTTAAGAACAGTAAAGATCATCTTGAGAACTCAATCTTGAAGAGCTACATAAAATAAATGTACAGTCGTACTTAAAAAATTGTGTTTTTCTAAGTCGTGCCCAAATGGCTTGAGAATGGAATAAAAAAAAACGTGTACCCGTTACGGTAACGAGCGGTAAGTGAGATGGGATTTACAGGCTCATTCTATCTCCTTGAACAAAAGATGCGAATCTGTACAGAAACTGTAGGTCTTGCACTGAACGAATACTGGAATGAAAGGTATGTGCATTGCGCACAAGAGGTCTGCGAGAACAAGCCCGAAGAGGTGATATACATTCCTCTGCTAACTTCTAGAATTATTTTTAAACGAAAACGATAATACGATCAAAAAACCTCTTGGTAAGGCCCATCGAATCCAACTGATATGTACATTCATTAAAGTGCTACGAAGATCTATGACTTTGCTTCACTAAAAGGTTTGTAACTCTGCGAGTTCCACTGTCCAACTTCAAAATAAAGCTCGTGAAATCTTTCCAATATTAACCATTTTTTATTGGTTTTGAACGTTGAACGTGTGTGAGGGTACTAAAGATTGTTGGAGAGTTGTGTTCAAGGAACTTGCCAACTAGAAGACTTGCCACAAATGTCTGTAAAAGGCCATTCACATCATAACAACTAGTCAGTTCTATGAACGGATAATTTAAAAAAGGGTTATCACTTTAGTTTAAGGAGGAATGAAATCTACCCAAAATTGTTGGATCTAGAGTATTATAAATGTTTCGGGGATTGTTAAATTCACCTTTTCACTCTCGTACTCTTTGAACGCCCTCGTCTTTTGGGGTAATATGCAATGTAAATCAAGGTGAATATCAATTACTTTTTAGGCCCAAAATGCTTGACAATTGATTGAGGAGGGGAAAATTCAAGCTCTGCAGGTTTAGTATGCTTGTCGTAGGCTATCACTCTTTGGTTTATGGAAATCTGTGAGTTCGGTTGTATAACGAAGTGAACAAGAGCAACTTGTGAACTTTTGTTGGTAGAGAAAGCAGGCCGAGGGTGAGGATGGGAAATTAAATGGGGATTTAACAATCCCCATTTAATATAACAACATATTTTTGATATGTTTATATATATTTTCTTGTTGTATATAGTTTTCATATTATAAATTTATAACATTTATATACATCAAGGTTCTTATTAAGTGAAATTTGTCTTTATGATGACGGAAAGAGGCTTATTTGAAGTCACATAACATATGAAGATATAGAATGTTTGCGGAAGAGTAAGAAGCGTTAGTAGTAAGAAGACATGACACTCATGTCACTCTTGAGATTTATTTTAGTTTCAACGTGTGTTTCTGAACACCACACAGAGAGGCAAGGTGGAGGCACCTTCTTCTCTTTGTCACACATATGTCGCCTTTGGTTTTTTTTCTTTGTTTTATGTGGAATGTGAGTAAGGTGCTTAGAGCTCGACGTGTTTATACTTTAGTACAAAAGCGTATGCAGTTTTCTCATTCTGCAATGATAGTGTAGAGACTAGAATTTCTGGAAACTTTGTAGTTTCTGAAGCGTACAATAACATATAGAAGGGTTAGTAACGGAGAAGCTCATGGCTTTGAGCCTGTACGCTCTTGGAAAAACATGTGTTGATTTTTGGAGAATCTAAACATCTCTATACAGGCAAAACAATTCCACACATTTCTAAGCTTTTGAAATCGAGTTGAACTCTCTTGTATTGTGCTGTGTTTTGATATGTTGTACCAACATTGATTGGCACGTCTGTCATTTGGTATCATAGCACTATTAGAAGTATTTGGACAGTATCAATGGATACTTTGTCGTTCCGAGGCACCATCTCGCTCTAGGACGCCACCGCAGACATGAAGTCACAACCGCGGGCGCAGTAGGGAGAGAAGTGACGACAACGATGAAATCGTCCACAAGTGCGTCATTAGTGAAGCAGGGAGGGGAAGTACCATTGTATATACCACGCTAACGTCCACAAATTACATCGATTGCACGATAGAAATGAAGATCAATCTGCAAACTCAAGATCTGTGGAGACCATAAAAAATGTTGATGACCTAAGTGACCGCAACGACATGCTCGCGCTCTCCGCATTCATGTGGGTGGTTCTCACGCAGATGATAGGCGCATTTGTCGTCAAGGCAACGGCCAAGGCGGCTTAGGATATCATCAAGGTGATCGATCGTATGGGAGTGGATCGCGTTCGAGAAGCGACAGCTCAATGACTATGCAATGAGTTCAAACAGATTACCTTCCAGAATGACTGAATGTTTGACACCTTCGGCTTATGAATCACTAAGATCGTAAAACAACCTGCGTACCCTAGACAACCTTGTCTATGAAGTCAAGATGGTCGAGAAGATACTCCAAGTTGTTCCGCCTCAATTTTCACATATGGCATGCTCGATCAAAACAATGCTCAATCTGAACGCCATGACGATGGAGGAACTTATCAAACATCTCCGCAGAGTTGGAGGGAGATGTGGCATGAACATGCAAAGCTCAAGTACTCGATTTTTCCTCATTGAAGAAAAATGGAATGTGCAAAAAAGACAACGCGAGCTTTGACAGGATTTAAATTCCAACGACAACAACAACGTGACGAAAAGCCGCCCTAAATCGCAATCTTGTGCACATGAGAATACCAAACGTATAATTTGCAAAGGTAAGACTCAAAGTGACATGTCACAACTAAAATGTTTCAATTTCAACAAGTTGAGACATTTTTCTAGGGACTCCGGGGAACCACGGCGTGAACACAAAGGATAGCAACGTGAAAACTTTGTCAAGGCTGACAAGGAAAAGCATCACTACTTCTTGCACGAGGATGCAAGATCATAATGATGAGGACCAAACTATGCTGATGGTGCAAATCATGCCGAAAGCAGTTGATGTATCATATCTCACGACGTACGAGATGACACCAACAACACTAGAGACTGATATCACCAAATGAGCATCATTCATCGATATGCGCGTGAATCTTGTCAAAGATATACAACCCAACAACACTTGGGTTTTAGACCGGCATCAGCAATCGCATGACAAGACAGAAGTCTGTTTTTGCTGAGCTCAACACCAGCATTATCGGAACAGTAAAATTTGGGGACACATCAATGGTGAACATTAAGCTACGCGACACGGTTTTCTTTGTAAGTTGGAACGGTGAACATCTTGCACATACTGATGTTTATTACACTCAATTGTTTAGCAATTGATTAAGTCTTTGGCATCTAGAAAAAAAAAGTTCTCAAATTATCATCGAACATAACATTCTTTGACTTTAAGATTGATAACGACGCTTGCTCGCCAAAGTCCAACGAGCACGAAACAGATTGTCCGTCTTGACGACAACGTGTGAAAATGGCATCAATAGTAGGGACATTTAAACTTTGACGCTTTAAGTAGATTGTCAAATCACGAAATGTTACGAGGTTGAACACATCAATCAACTTTACAACAATTGTCTAGCAGTTAAGTAACGACGGGCGCCGTTTTGCCAGAATGTGAAGAGTCAAATAGCCAGGCTTCTCAATCTGGTGCACGGATTTGTTCGTACATGTAACCATCTTTAGTTAGTTAGAACTAAAGTAGAGGTTACTCTAAATATTGATGAGTAAATTTTAGCGTGCACTAGTCATGGCTGCCACGTCAGCATTCCGCGTGCTTGGTAGGTAGAAAGTATATGTGTTAGTTGGAAGCGCCATGTGAGCGATCCTTGTGCCCGTTAGGTAAGAATTGATTGTGTTAGTTGGGAGCGTCACGTCAACAATCTGTGTGCTTGTGAGGGTTATACGTCATGTCATCCATTCACTAGGAGTGGGATGGATGGTGGGATCAAGATCTTATTTCATTGTACTTGTTAAAGATAGCTATATAAGGAAGAGTATAACCATTATTGGTATCTCTCATCTTCAGAGTTTATAATTCTATCTTCGAATGAACTTCTTTCTAAACCTTGGTGTTACAGTACCTATCGCACCATCAATTTCGGCTGGACTTTGCTACTTTCATCTCCTCGCCAACCATCTGGGCCTTTATATGTGGTTAATATTGTTCATCACAAAAGACAAGACGGAAACAAAATTAAAGCATTTCAAAGCAGGGATCAAGATGGAGAAAGTATGCAAGATGCGGCTTTTTCACATAGACCACGATGGAGAGTTTACTGCAGTGACATTCTTAATATAATGCACCGACAATTACTTTGGACGGTAGGTCAAAGTGTCATACTCACGGCAGCAAAATAGGGTCGTGAGACGGCAAAATTAGACTAGCATCGCGACGGCAATGAGCTTATGAAGATGAATGATGTGCCAACGAGATTTTGAAGTAAGACGGTGAACACCGCGATCAATATCCTAAATCTCTCGCTGACAAATAGCTTTAATGGTAAGACATACTACAAGGTCTGGCACGGCTACAAACCTAATGTTAATCATCTTCACGTGTTTGGTTGTGTTGCGTGCGTGAAGGTGGTGAAGATGCACTTGGCGAAGCTTGACAATTAGAGTAGACTGATAATATTTCTCGGTTACAAGCTCGGATTGGAAGCACACTATGTCTACAATCTCATCAGCAATCGCGTTCATGTCACACGAGATGTGATTTTCGACAAAAATGAGTAGTGGTACTAGATGAATCAAGGAGTGCAACAGACAACGACAACTCCATCGTCAACAATGAATTTGTCG